ATGATGATAAGGTATATCGGTTGCGGTCTGATGCATGCAAGTCGGTTGAATAAAGTTACAGTATTATATTTATGCACAGAATGAATATTAAAATAAATGTTGGAATCTAGCAAAAAAGCATTAATATTGTAAGATATGAAATTATGCTACATTATATTAAAGGCATTTTGTATACAATGAGAAAAAATCAACGATGGATTGAGCCCATACTCTCTTTTTTTTTTTTTTTTTTTCTTTTTTGTGGGTAGTCCCATCCAACCAATATTTTTCTTGTAAATTAGTTACAGAAATTTTTATGAGGTAATTTGACGGAAATTGTATCTTCTATGTTAAAAATTTGTTGTAAAACTTCACATATTTTAGTATAACAAAATTAATGTCGAAATTGTTTTAGTAGATGTTGCTATATTACAGTGCATAAAACCCACAAGAGAAAACGTTAAGGCATGAATTTATTTTGGTGGGTTTTCTTATTAACCAGGCTCGTTAGGGAACAGCCCACTTCGAACATTGTCCATTCGAGCTGGGTCATGAGATTCTACTTTGGAGATCCGTTGTGAGAAGTTTCTCTTATACGAGAACTAAGTCATATGACAAAATAAATGGGCTTACAAAATTTTCAACTACGTTAACCCAAATTTGACTATTTATTTTATAGTGAACATATACATCCGTAGCATACCAGATTAGAAGTCTACAAATTAAGCAATACCATGCAAGATTTTGATGTCCCCATCCCCATGATTTGTTTACATATATAAGAGTCCAAATCATTTTAAATATCAAATATCCTACAGTTAAATGTTTTTTTAGTTAACTAGGCATATGATGTTTTTTAGTCCAAACCGACCACGTTTGTTCAATCAAATAATATAACTCGTCACCATTTACTCTAAACAAATATGCTTCAAAAACAGATGAATGATTCCTTTACTAACCGTTAGAATCTGAATCGCACCGTTGAATATGGAGCATGTAGTACCATGAAGAACTCCACAAAGTTTCAGCTAGATCGGACAACATTTTGACCACCAAATGTCGCCTTCAATAAAACGTCTCGGGCTGTTTTCAGGTTCTTAGCACATATTTGGACAGCTTATCAGCAGTTTCTTTGGCCAGAAAGCAAAGCACATAAATTCTTAAGTTTAACTCCTATTGAAGCTCTGTCAGGTTCTGTAGACTCTTGGCATTGTGGTGATTACGCTAGTATCTTTACCTTGCCAGAACGACGTCATAACCAGCGTCGGCGAGCCTCCAAACACGCCTTCTCCACACTGTTTTCATTTCCTTGTTCCTCTTTCTTATTCTTCTCTTCTCACCTCTGGTCTGCTCCGGCTTCATCATCTTCACTTCTCCTTACTATCACAAACCCATTCTCTCTTTTATAAATGATTTACACTCGTGGTGGGGATGATAATCTATTTTCGTCCGTGACGTCTCCTCCATCTCCACTCCCATCTTCTCCGTCGCAACCAATCTCTTCTCATCCTTCTCTTCTCCTTGTCTATATCACGTCCTCTTTGTAAGATCGAGTTCTATTTCTCTATTGGTGGTCCAACTCTCTCTTTCCTCTCCACGAATGATTGATCACCATGACAAAAACGAAACGGTGGCTCACGATCTCTTTCTTTTAAGGAATGAATAACATCAAAGACAAGAGTATGACTATATCTTCACAAGTCTTAATGATTAAAGTGTTGGTCTGCTCATAGGTTTAGGTTTTGCGTTTCTCTTTGACGGCTTCCATGAGGAGGGTGATACATACACGTTGTGAAATCCTTGTCGTTAATTAGATAGAGTTTGGGATCTAATGGGCTGGAATCAATGATGTAAATCGGCCCAATAAAGAAATGAGGGAGCGGGGTGTTACAATAAGGAACTTGCTCATCTATGTTTTCATGCATTTAAGCAAAAATTATTTATTCGACAAACAACCTAAGATAAAAAAAAAAAAAAAATAACTGAAATGTTAGACACTTTAATTTGCACAAGATTACTTCTCCAATATGTTGAAATCGATAAAAAATTTAACACATGATAACTCATGAACTCAGCTATAAAAATAGGTGTTAATGTGTGTGATTTTTCACCTTAGAACATAGAAGCCACACAGAAAGTTACAAGTGTACAACTAATAGTATGCTGTAGCCTGTATGCAGTATATAAGGTTCGATCTCGTAGATACTTACAAGCTACAAAGACATAAATTACGATACGAATATGTCAGAAAGAAATAAAGCTGAGACAAAATAAAAGAGAAGGTTTTGTTTGGGGTTTATTTTTGATACATATATCAGGAAATGGAGATAGTACAAGAACTATAGAAAATTTTGGAAAAAACATTTGTTGTGTTTGAAGTTTTTTTTTTTTTAGTTATAAACTTATACCAAAACTGAAAGATGTCATATATACTAACACAAAAGATGAACAAAATAGTCATATATTCATATCAATAAGAAAAAAAAAAACACAGTGATTTAATGTTTACAGGTTTCTCTACACCAACACACACACACACGCATATATATATTGACCTCTTTCAGTTTTGGTGTAACTAAAGAAAAAAAAATAGTGGCCCTTTTTCTAAATTGTCACGTTATGGTGTAGGGCCTTAACTTCCTAAGAAATTAAATGTAGAAAATCCTGAAAAATGATTACGTTTATTGGGTAGAGGAGACATAAAGACGTGGACGTAGTTGGTCGGAGAATGACGGGAGAACGTGAACGTACCGACCAAACTTAAATATGTGATCTCTATGAATTAGAGAGTTTTGAACTCTTACTTGCTCCAAACCGACCAAGCCATACCAACTTTTAAATTTTCAAAAAAAGACTAAATATGGCCCTTTAAATATGATCATATATAAAAATGAGAAAATGAGAGGGACATTAATTTGATAATCTGTGGCAATGAAAAATTACACTAACAAATATTGAAGAGTTTATCTGTAACATAATGGGATATATGTATGTAATCATATCCCGTGTGTTCAGGGATTCAAATCTCGTAATTATTGTTGGTGATTAATTGGTGATTGATATCTCACATATCTTTGTATTTAATTAGTGAGATACATCTCTTTTTATATTAAAATTGTGTAATCGCTCTCTGCTTCTTCCAAACTATTTTATGTTCGAATAAATTCACAAACTGTTGAAGTGGTCACAATCTAGTCGAGTCTGGAGGATTTTTTGTAAATTTATTTATCATAATTTTGATGTTCGCTAATTACTAATTAATATTTACTTTTAAAGGTTTGGAAACTCGTTTGAATTCAAGACTATATAACTATTTGTGTAACATATCTTTTTTCTTGATAGGGTAGGTCCAATCCAACATATCACCAGTTCAGTATTTGAGGCTTGTTATTTCATTATCTGAAACAAAATTGAAGTAATAAGACAAAACAAAATTGGCTGGGATGCACCCAAATAAATATCAGCCATGTGCCACAACTGATGTACTTCTTATTTCAGAATAGCTCTCAGTCAATAAGTGTATTCCATAAACTTTTACCGAACCAAATGTTTTTATTTACAATTTGTTTTTACCTTATAATGTAAATGTTTTGTCCATCAATATCAAGAAGACCAAAATTAGAAGAATCTAAGTGTAGGTTAGGAGAAAATGATTTCAAGGTTTCTTATATATGTTAGGTTTGCATGTGTTGTTTTTTTTTTTTTTCTAAGAAATTATCGACATCAATCTCTCTCCTTTTCTTTGAATGCCGTCAATGAGAAGACATATGAATTAGTGTATGTCAGAATATGGATTAGATTTATATGGAAAGAACAAAATGGAAGGTAGGAGAAATTAACTAATGGTGCGGTGTACGAATGGTCCAACGTTGCACATGGTGATCTGCATGTGTATAATTTATTGTCTTTAATTCTTTGTTCGTGTTTTGGTAATCCTAGAGTTTGCTGGTTGTGTTAGTCTATCAAAATCAAGCTGGATATTAGAAGAACACAAAAAAAAAGTGATCAATGTATTAGACCACCACCACAAGCATGCATTGCTTTTAATCCAAATTTTGACTACAAAGTGTTTAGTCGCTTGTGCTGGTTTGGTTTGGCTAAGTCGGTCTACTTTCTATTCATCCAATCGATTGATGTTTTCTGGATCCACGATTTTTGACTGCATATTTTGGTTGTGGCATAGTAATAGTCTAATAGATTAGGGTAATATGTGTTTGGAAGAGTTTCTTGAATTTTTGTTTTTTGCGGAACTATTGAATCATGTTATGGCCTGTGGGGTTGGTTCTAGAGGTAGATGGTTCGTGTGTCCAATCGTTTCACGAACTTTATTATCCATGTACCCCACAAAAGATTTTAGTGAATCTACTCCCACCCATCCATTGCTATTCACGTTTTGAAACCAAACAAAATGAAATCCGAATGACGAAAATGTCCCTACATATTCCCGCCGAAATGTTGGAAGAAGAATCACAAAGAAGAAAATGGTGTGATTGGACGACATGGAGCGATCATAAATTCATAATTCATACATGTCATTGAGAAAAAAAAAATTCCACTAAATAAAACGCAAAGTAATTTGGAACTTTAAAGCTCCTGACTTGTGTTTGTAGAGTTATGCTATATTGCTATATACCTCTCGAGTATTTTTTTTTTTATAAATAATTTGTAAGTTCTTTTTTAAATAAATTTATCGAAAAATTCTAAGTCGAGGTCCATACATCTACTTTCAGGATGTTTGTTTGGACTTTCGGTTTTGCCGAGTCATCTTTCGAAGCGAACCCCTCCCAAGTGTAACATTAAATGACTTTTCAACGCCTAAGTTACATTTTTAGCATAATCATGTGTAAATATGTAATATTGTAGTGTTGATATAAAATAAAATAAAAAATTCATCAAATATACCAATCAAATGATTAGTGTTCATAAAAATTTTCATGTCTCTTAATTATTATCTAAATTAGCTACGGCTCTTTAAGAAAAATAAACAAAATAAAATCATTTTCATAATTCACAGTCCCTGGTATTCTCAATTATAGTTATTAAACCGTACAATACAATTGCACAAAAGCCTTCCAGGAATATTACAACTCCAACAACAAACCGAAAGACACAAATCAACAGACAAAGATTCATCTAAAAAAGATCCAACGGCCAGAAACCCATTACGATGCGAAATAAAAAAAAAAAAAACAAATCACGAAAAATTCATCAGATTAACAACAATTGAATTTGACGTCTTCTAGTAATCGGTGGTTGGCAATTGCTCGTGGGCATTTTCATCGATGAAGACAAAATCGTAGATAATTCCGGCGAGTCCACCACCAACAAGAGGACCAGCCCAGTAAACCCAGTGGTTAGTCCACGTCCAGCTTACGACGGCTGGTCCGAAAGCAACGGCTGGGTTCATGGAGGCTCCGCTGAAAGCTCCACCGGCGAGGATGTTAGCTCCAACTATGAAACCGATGGCGATTGGTGCGATTGTTCCGAGACTACCCTTCTTGGGGTCAACGGCTGTGGCGTAGACGGTGTAGACGAGCCCGAAGGTCATCACGATTTCGAAGACGAGAGCGTTCAATGATCCTACTCCGGCAGAGAGACCGAACGCTGGAATTGGCTGAATAATAATAATTTCAAAATAGGTTTAATTACTTGCCGGAGAAGTTAGGTCAAACGGGTGATTTTAGTTTGAATATTCAATATTAGATAAACCAAGGAATAATGTTCAGTTCAAAAATCGGATTGAAGATAATTTTGAACCAAACTACAAAATAGAGAAAAAAAAAACAGAGAATCGAAAATTAATTCTTTGGGAAAATACTACTTAGATCAAAAATTAAAACTCTACTAAACCGATACTTATTTTAGAATCCGTTTTACGTTTTAGTAACTAGTTTTCTAAAACAACAAGATCAAAAAAAAAAAAAAAAAAATTCGAGTGGATGAAAAATTAACATTGATACGATTAAAATGGTTTTTACTATTAGAAAAAACTAATAACATATTTAGCTTGACCCTAACTAAAAGTTAAACCCTAAACAAACCTATTTGTACTAGATTTATATAGTTTAATGACTAATTTTTCGAAACAAAAACATTAAACCGGTTTAGTAGGGCAATAAGTATAAGTGACGTTACCTCGCCACCGGTGGCAAAGCTAAGGAGGAAACAAGCGGCGACGGAGCCAAGAAGCTGAGCAATCCAGTAGAGAATACCACGGAGGAGAGTGATGTTACCACCGAGTAAGACACCGAAGGTAACGGCAGGGTTAACGTGACCACCGGAAATGTTAGCGCCAACAGAAACAGCGACAAAGAGACCGAAAGCATGAGCTAAGGCAGCGGCGACGAGGCCGGAAGGAGTGGTGGCTCCATTGTCAGTGAGCTTGTTGAAAGCAATTCCGGAGCCTGATCCGGCAAAGACGAAGATCAAAGTCGAGATAAACTCAGCGAGCGCCGCCCTAAGTGCGTTGGGGTGATAGACCTCTTCTTGGACTCCACCAATGGCGATGTTTCTGGTCGGCATGATCGTAAAAGATTTAACGGCTGAGGTTAAAAGCTTTTGATTAAGAGAGAGTGAAGAGATTGGTTTGGTTTTCTTATGTGTTGTACGTATATATATAGCCGAGTGTTTTTTTAATAGTGGTAGATAAAATCTATTTCTTGTCATATAAACAAAAGGTTTTCTATAAAACCTTATTTTGCATTTTTCTAATCGGCATTTTTTTACAAAAAAAATTAAATTGTTGTTTATTTGGAGAACACTAATATTACATTCGATGCAGTTTGAATTGTACCAGAAGAAGAAATATAGAATTTACAGTAATTTGAATGTAATTTTTTGGGAAATGTTAACATACTATATATACATGTTGAATTGTCTATCATAGTTACATGTTTACAAATTGTAGATTTTGTATTCTAAAATGGTCGGATATATTTTTGGATTATATATAATACCATTTACAATATTAAAAAAGAATATATATATTCCAATTATGTAATAGATGAAAAGAATTGTATTTTTGTTCTATCTATTACCTCATAGATCATATCATATGAACCAAATAGTATATAATATTACATTAACTTTAGAATTTTAGATTTGTAATTAATAAAAAGTCAAAAATTTATGCATACGACTTCTTTTTTTTTTTTAATGCATAAGACTTTGGCAACAGTCCTTTCTGTTCCCAATTTTCACAATAATAATTTGAAATCGATTAGTGGTTCATTAATCGCCTAATTAAATCAGGGATGCAAAATATTAGTTTTGTTGATTCGTAATCTTTAACGTTAATACCTGTACCAGTTACTTATAAGAATTAGTTGAAAAAAAGAAAATAAAAGAACATATTATTATATATAGGGGTGTCAAAATGGGTCAAGATTCATGGGTCAACCAAAACTCAACTCAACCCATGAACCCTAATGAGTTGAAATTTTGACTCAAATGAGTTGATGGATCAAATGACTATCTAACCATTTGGTAACATCGAACCAGACCAAACAAATAACCGGTTTGGTACGAACCGCGACGATTAGGGACAGTTAATGAAGGAGATGCCACATGGTGTAGGATCCACATTGATCACGTGTCGGTCGAGATAAGGTCAGTGAATGGATTACAGCTGGATTTGTCACTGACCAATCACAAGTGCCAGCCTGTCCTTACCCCTTCCACTTTTATGACCTTACCTTTCCTTAATCTCACCCCATCTTTTTTTATCTAATTTTTGTAGATTTTTTTCTTTTTTTTTTCCTCATTGTAGATTTTTTTCTTAATTAAGAGATCCCTAAGTTTATAATTTATATTGATTCCTAAAAATCCATAAATATTTTTACTATTATTATTAGTGACCAAATATCATTGGAATTGCAGTAGAATAACTAGATTTGTGTTGTTTACTAAAAAAATTATATATATATTTCTTTCTTTTATTTCTCTCAATCTTCTTACATATATATATATATATATATATATATGTATAAGTTTGAATAACTATATATATATTTGAATAAGTATAAGTTTTAAGAAATATAGTTTGGTCATAATTAGTCATGGTAGATTATAAATTTGATTGTGATTATAAATTCTGTGTCATCTTGGTTCCACTCTTCGATAATAATAACTTATTTGTCAGCGAATGTTATTTTTTGTTTTGCTATCATCTAAACAGTAATTATTTTATTTTATTTTTAAAAACAAGGGAGTTTAGACACCTATTGTTTAGAAACCAAAACATTATTATTCACTATTGTCAAATCAAACTAATTATTAAACAAGAATGCAATAATGTGGACGGGCCTGTGGAGCTTTTTTCTCCATTATCGCCGGCCTGACACAATGGCCGGTGGATATTTTGGACCTCTCCAAGTTCTCAGATATAGACATTGATATAATTTATTAAATCAAAATAGATGCTGAAATTTCGTAAATAATTATAAATGCTGAAATTCGAAATATAGATACATGTATTTATATAATAGCCTTTAAAGTTTACACCATGCATAAAATATGGTGATCTTAGAATTGACATTAACGTTGCTGAAAATTGAAATGGTGATCTTAGAACACGCCATGCATAAAATATGGTTACTGTTGAACGAACTGTTTGTGAGAAAGCGAACGAGATTAAATAGTGATTGAAATGTTGTAGATAATACTACCAAATATTTAAATTTTAATAATTTTTTTGATATATAAGTAAGTTATTTTATTGAATGTTTTTGAGCTAATAAAGCAATCGCTTTGTACCCCATCATAGTTGTTGTGTAATAAAAACCATCTACAGTGCATATTTTTCTCTTTATTATTTGAAAATATCTTGTACTAATATATGACAACTTTTTTTTTTTAATATGTGTATTTTGATGTAGTAAACACCATTCACTTTTCTGAATACTGTCATGTGGATCCTATAATGGAACATCAATAATTTTAATTTACCAAAAAGTATATATTGTCAGAATTCTATATGCTTTATTAGTTACAAGGCTCCACAAATTATTGTCATGTTACATCATTTTAATATATGAATTGGAGTAATAATTGTGTCAGCAGCTTAAATTCGGTTTATATATAGCCGAGGCATTGTTACTTGTTAGAAAGAAATAAACATATTTACACTGAGACAAACAAAAAACTTGATTGAATGATCAGAAAAAGAATTTTGATTAATTTAGACCGCTTAATGCCAAAAATAATACTGACCACTTCGTTAAGAAGAATATGCTTTTAGGATATGAGGCTAACAAAACTTATGCTTTCATTATGCAGCATAACTAACAGATTAGTTCAAATCTAAAAAATAATGCGAGCATCTAATCATTTTATGAACTATTAATACGTCCTTAAGCTAATAAACAAGAAAACAAAAGGTCACGGTCACGTATACGTGCACCACGTGTAAGTGTACATTTTTGGCTTCTTTAAAGTTTAGATAGGGCTTAGAAAAACTAGAGTTCTTTTACCAAAAAAAAAAAAAAAAAAAAAAAAAAAAAAAAAAAAAAAAAAAAAAAAAACTAGAGTTGTTTATTTTACAAGACACGAGAAATGGTGTAGAAGTGGTCTTGTCTTATGGGTTATTATAATATCACTTACCTTTTTTTGTTCAACATAAAAAGTTTATAATATTTGATTTCCTTATCAATCATTGCTTAAAGAAATTTCAACATATCTGTATAATAATACAGTACATGTTGAGTCTACTTTATAAGATGTTAAATTATTTTTAATGAATATAATAATGTAGTAGACGGTTTTTGTTTTGGAACAAAAGTTACTTTTCTCATATGAAATGGTTAAATTATTTTACGATGTCTTTGTTTCCTGTAATTTGATGGGTGTGTGTTTTCACCGTAATTGGATGGTTTAGAAATCTTAAAATATGTCAGTATTATGCAATTACATGTAGAGGTACCAAGTGATTGTTAGTGAAATATTTTTTTTTTACTATTATTAAGGTTATATAATACTATGTTCTAACGATACTAGCAATTTCTTTTAAAACCGTTAGTTTATCACAACTCAAATTTAAATTTGATTAATTAACATATATTGTTGACGAATTTAAATTTGATTAATTAACATATATTAATACCCTATTTTTTTAATTATATACTTCTCCGTTTCAAAATATAAGATATTTTAGCTAAAAACACAAAATTTTAAAAATTAATTAATTTTTTTTGTTTTTATTTTCTTACATTTAAAACATAATTTAATATTTACTTAAAGAGAGTTCGGCCAATGAAAAAATTATTGCATAATAGAAATAGTCACAAAGTTGTATAAATTTAATATTTGCACAGAAACTTAATTTTTTTTTCTGTCTAAAACATCTTATATTGTGAAACAAAATAAAATGAGTAAAGCATCCTATAATATGAAACAAATGGAGTATATTTAGATCATACTGAAACAATATCACATATAAAAACAATTTTATTTACTATCACTCAGATTATATAATGTTATGTTCCAACAGTAATAGAAAGTTATATTAAAACTGTTATTTTATTTAAGTTGGATTTAAATTTGATTACATATATATATATATATTGTTGACGAAAAATACTAATTTATCTAAAATTATTTCTTTTATCAAATAGTATATTTTTGAAGAAATAAAAGCAAGGGAAAAAAATTTAATACTAATCACCAAACAGATAACGTTTTATATTTCTATGTATACGTGGTGGACAAAAAATGATATTAGAATACTAAGAATGACTTGGTATATGGATCCATAATAGTAGGATCCACAATAATAGGTATAATAAACAGCATTAGTCCAAAAGAAATGGTTAGTATGTAAATGTCACTTCCCAATATCGATGTCACACGATAACGGCGATGACTAGTCTACATTATTAGTCTTAGTCTTTCATTTTATATGCATTTTTGTTATTTCATCATATTTGTTCAATCAAATTATAATAGTGGGTGATTAGATAAATTAAAGAGAATAAGTGCGGTCAATGCGTAACAAATAGATTATATAAGACAAGCGGTGTAGAACAACTATCGCCAACTATATATTTTACATTTTTCATTTCTGTCTAATGACAGGGGTAAATATCATGACTACCATTTCAATAGTTTTAATTATTAAATTCAAAACTCTCATACAAACGGATAAATATGTGTGTGAACAAGTGTTAGTATAAAATTAACTCTTTTTTAATGTATATTGGAATGATCCCAAATTATCATTTTACATATATTTTTAATAAAAAAAGGTGAGCTTAAAATCATGTATATGAATTTTTGAGTAAATATATTTTGATATTGATATCATTCTTGAATAGCTGCATCTAAAAAACAAAACCAATTAAAGAGAAATATGTTTTCTTGTTTCTAGAACGAACATGCATGTAAGTGGAACTAGATACAGTTGAAAATCAATATGAATATCCTAGGAAATACGATTGAGAGTAATATATACAATAAAGAAAAAAAAAACCCTGCTTTTGTATTGATGGAAAAATTATAACATCACATCTTGAACTTAAAAAAAAAAAAAAAATGCTTCTGCATTGGCTTATATATAAATAACATGTCTTTTTAACAAAAATGGGACATCAAATTAATTTTTTTGATTCTTTAAATTAAATGTCAAGACTGTGAAAACACAAACAGAGATTACAAAAATAATTATGATAATAAATTTGTAAATTGGTCACAGAAATGCGAAAACTTGAGATCAAACTTCATTTATAGCCTATATGCTGCAATGCATGAGAGTGAATAACTTTTACCTTATGGACTCCATTACACAAGAGAAAAGCCTCAGCTACAAATTTTTGCTATGCAAGAGCAAGACAATGTTTTTGAGTTGTTCTATAATAAATCAAAAAATCCTTCACATATTTCCAAGGGTAAGCTCAGCTTTCTTCAATCTAAAAAAACAATGATACAGAAATGTTTCTAGATACACCAATAACATCTGACTGAACCAGCAGCGTGCAAGGTTCATTATTGTTGCACCAATGTTGGAGTTAGCTGGTACAAAAGTCTTAGCCAGAGTTCATGCCAACAAACACTACAACGCATTGTATCTACAAGGTACTCTAGAACTTAGCAAAAACCAAACCTCATGCTCAACAAGTAAAAGAATCTCGCTTTTAAGCAGTAAAGTTAGACGCAAGGCAACATTGTGAAAGAGTTCCAGACGCACACATAAAAAAACAGAACCTCTTAAAACATCATGTATAATGCAATTTTTACATGGAGTACAAAGCATCTCAACCAATTCAACTCGAACTTACATGGTGCTCGATTTCTGGCACAACATGTTACATGTCAATTCAGAGTCCAGATCTTGTCCGATGTAAATCTGACATCCCGCAATCCCCCCTGCCAAAGTCAGGAGTGCAAATTCAACATTGTTATGAGCAATAATCTTTCTATACAAGACAGCTAAGGGAATGATGCCAGAATTGTAATCAGCTATGCCCAACCATAACCTCAGAAGCATGAAAAATTCAAAACAGAGGCAAAAGAAAATAACCGATAGAACTAGCAGAGATATATAACCCTCAAGGCCATCAGCATGAAGCACACATATAATTTCTTCCATTAACTTCTGATACGGCTGCAACCACCTCATCATCTTAAATTTCATTTAGTAGTCTTACAACAAAATTAAGCATAGAGTTGTGTTAAATGGAAGTATTGTTCATTAAATTTCAATGTCAATATTTTTCTGACAAAATTTTCTCTATATGGAGATGGACTTGAGAAGTTCCATTTGAAAGAATTAAAAGGAGTGGAAAACATTTAAAACACACTTATCTCCTCTGATCTCTTTCAACCTGAGCCTCCTGTAGCATTGTTTGCCAAAGCTCTTTAACATAATGACGAAACTTTCTCTGAAACCAAGCTTCAATCTCCGCGCAATGCACATTCGGATTCTGTTCCCAGCTCTTTCTCAAAGTCTCCAAACTATCAATCTTCTTCTCTGTCAAAACTCTCACCAAACTCCTAACTCTTTCTAAACCCCAAACTTCTCTTTCCAACAACATTTCAGGTTTCCCAGCCATTAACACCCTCACGCTTTTTAAACAAGGCAATACCTCTCCTTGAAGCAAAGCGCATCCGAAAACCGCTGCTCGGTCTCTATCCTTTGTTATTGCCAAACTGTGAGCTGGAAGCCCACAATTACGAGGACCAAAACTCGGAACGGCCCAGCACAAAACTCGGAACCCTCACTCGAGTAATATGGTTTCGGGTCCTTGAGTGGTGTGGAGAACACGAAGAGAGACTTTGCGTGCTTCACCAGCCATTCCGGCTTTACCCGTGTCACTCCATGCATGTACGGTCTGTTGGTGAGTAGGAGCTCGCTGTAGACTAAAAACTCTGGAGCCGAGTTTAAGAGAGACGACCAACGGTGCAAGAAAACTAGTTCTTGAACCGCGCAGGCTTGGTATTCCGTCGCTTTAGTCTTTCTAGCTACACGGTCAGCCCAGCCTGCACATACGGCTTCTCCTAACAACTCTGCTTCATTTTGTAAAAGCAGGTTTCTTGAGGAAGATGGTCCGGTGATTCTCCATGACTTCTCTACGTCTTGTATAGTCCCATGAGTCCATGAGAAACCGTCTTTGGTTTCAGAAGGCTTAGAACAGCTGAAAACAATTCGCAAAAGCTGATCTTTGAGCTTAGACATTTCATCCATGGTCTTCAATTGCAGCCCGTTGGACTCGCAGAAGCCCGCGCCATTCTCCGAGACCTCAATGGAATGCAATGCGTAAGCAACAGTCAAAGCATCGCTGCTTGGGTTGGAAAATCTGTACCGAGCGGCTTTGATCTTCTCTTTCCGCTCCTTTCTCCGTTGTTTATCTTCTTGCTAATCCTCCAGATTGAAGACTCTTTTGTTGTTCCTCGTAGTAATCCTGTCGGATTTTAATGACTCGAGTGAGCATCCCAATGAGAATGTCTGTGTTCAAGCTTCTTTCATGGACTTCATCGAGAATAATCACAGAGTAACGCCTCAATAAGAAATCATTCTGCAGCAGGAAAACTTATACAATCAAGTATCCATGATTCAAATGGAAAAGAATCTACAAAACAAACCGTCTATTACCTGAATCTCACGGAGTAAAATCCCATCAGTCATAAACTTGATAGAGGAGTTTTCGCCAATCTTTATGTCGTACCTAACTTGAAACCTGACTTCTTTACTGAGACGAAGTCCAAGCTCAAATGCCACTCTCTTGGCAGTGGCAAGGACAGCAACACGGCGTGGTTGAGTAATCCTGGTAATCCCACTTCGAGAAGTAAATTGCTTTAAACCGAAACCAGCTTCATAAAGGAACTGAAAGATTTCAGAGACTGGATTAAATCCTGATTTCAATTTCAACATAGTAATGAATTTGAGAAGCAAAACTGACAGATTCAAACTCTTCTGTTCATTCATTAAGAGATATCTTAAATAATAAATACCATCTTCAACCAAGATCCATTAACTTCAAATCAAGACACAAACATTGAAGCACGAGTTCAAATGCACAAAGTCTTGGCACAATACATACTGATAATCGAGAAAATCAGGTTCAAGAGAGTATCAAAGTCTAGTTTCACCGACGTACACTATTATAACAGGAAAACAAAGTTCATCCCACTATGAGAGACAATAATATGTTACATAAACTTCAATCATCAGATCTATCACTGACTGGAAACTACTGATAACGAAAGATATTAAAAAAAAAGAAACCAGTGTTCACATAGTCACCACCAATCAAGTACAAAGCACTACCTAGAAGTAGAACATAGACTTACCAATGTGCCAAACATCAATAAGAGGAAAAACGAAAAATGTGATTAATGAATACAAATAGAGAGAAATGTAGGTGCACACACATTCTTATAGAAGTCTTTGAAAAGCAATTGAAAAAGAAGAGTTGAGAATTTGTGATTACCTTCTGAAGAAAACAGATGATTTAGAGAGTCAGGAGAGACTAATTATGTCTCACTATTCTATTCACATCCTGTTTCAACAGCTTCATTCCTGTTGCTCTTCCTGGTTTTCAGAAGACAACGGATTTGTCTGCAATCCTTCTAAGTGCATATCCTCCAATATGACTGCAGGAAACACTTTCTTTGTTGAAGTCATAAATGGTGGCTGAAGGTGATGATCATTCATACAGCCGTTTAGCAGCCCATGCTCCTAACTTTGACCAGCCGTATCTTTGGCAAGCATCATTTATCATTGTCAACGTTTGCATAGGTGGATCAAAAGGCATCAAGAGGAGAAATTCTTCAAGCTGATGCAAGCATCCATACTTGCAGTAGAGTTCTACCATACAATCATAATGCTCAATCTGTGGTAATATAAGATATTTGGTGCTCATAGAACTGAAATACTGAAAACCGAGTTCGACATGACCTTCACGTATGCAAGCTTGTAAAATGGCCGAAAAGGTGACATGGTCAGGCTTAACTCCTTCATCTTCCAAAAGCATGAACAACTCAAAGACCTCCTTGCTTCTTCCATTACGACAACATCCACGGATAATAGAGTTCCATAGAATCAAGTCCCGTGTAGCTGCCTCTTTGAATACTTCAATAGCATAGTTGAAACATCGGCATTTGGAATACATGTCAACCATAGCACCCCGTATAACAACATCAATATTATAGCCATTTCTGATCAGGAACCCGTGGATTGCTTTTCCTAAATTTAATGCAGGAATGTTTGCACAACCTGCTAAGAGCGTTGCGAGTGTGTATTTGCTAGGTTTGGCCTCCACTTGCATACCTTCAAAGAAAGATAAAGCTTGTTCACTCCTGCCAACTCGAGCTACACCAGTCAATAAAGCATTCCATGAAACCTCATCCCTTAGTTCACTCATTTGGCGGAACCATATATTGGCACTCTGCAAGGTACCGCATTTTCCGTACATATCAAGAAGTGCATTGGCTACAATTACATTCGTATCATATCCATGTCGGTAGATAAAACCATGAGCTTGCTTTCCCATTTGAACATCTGATATACCTGAGCAGACATTTAGGATCCAGACAACAGTGACATTATCAATATCTTCAATCTCCTTGCGCATCAAAGTGAGAAAATCCAGTGCCTCATCCCATTCGTGGGCACGTACATATCCGCCCAACATTGCGTTCCATGAGATTATATTCCGTTCAGGCATTAGATCAAAGAGCTCCCTTGCCTCTTTAGTTATACCACTCATTGCATATCCCGACATCGCCGAAGTCCAAGATTTCAAATCTTTAGATTTGGTTTGGTCAAATACTCTGCGAGCACTCTCCAATCTGTCACATTTGACATACATATCAAAGATAGAAGTAGAAACAACTGTGTCTGCCACAACACTAATTTTGACAGCAATGGCGTGGATTACCTTTCCCACCTCAAGGGCCAAGGATCTTGAACAAGCTAACATTACACTAGAAACCGTGTGATTCAAAGGTCGAACATTCAACTCCAGCATCTTGAAAAACATTACCACTGCCTCATCATTAAAACCCATCTCAAGATACCGCCGCACAATCACATTCCATGAAACATCACTAGGGTTCTCAATCTCATCAAACACTCTTCTCGCATCACTCATAACAAGACACTTCCCGTAAACATCAACAATGGAAGTCTCCAAATCTACATTACCCGAATACCCATACTTCACCACAGCACAATGCAGCTGCCTCAATAACCTCAAGTCCAAGATTAAACCACATGACTTTAAAACACCAGCAAAAGAAGTCTCTGTAGCTCGTACTCCATCTCTATTCATCCTACGAAACATACGAAACACCTCATACGAGACGCCATTTTGCGCACAAGCAGTAATCACAGCGTTCCAAGACCCACCATCTCGTTCATGCATTTGCTCGAACAGCTCTCGTGCATCATCCACACACCCACATTTCCCATAAGCCTCAATAGCTCTATTCAAGAGGAAAATCGGAGGCAACGGAGAGAAAGTTACTAAATGGGATTGGACTTTACGGGCTTGCACAACAAGAGATTTCGAGGAACAAGAACGGAAAAGACGCTCGTATAGCCAATACCCAACTGGCTCTGGAGAAGCAAAGAGAACAGAGACAGCTTTCGAGACATTACCGCCTTCAAGGTGCTCAAGAATCTGACGGGTCACTGTAAAATTGGGTCGTGTAGCGATAACACGCTTGTGGGTTTTATCTTGTTTGAAAAGACGGCCAAAAGCAGAAGAAACTCCGGTCACTGACATGGTTCATGACCTGAAAGATTGAGACTTTAACGGATCATTGTAAGCTCTTTATCTATGCATCAACATCTCCTAGTGCGTTTTGGTTATCGTAATCCATTAACTCCACAATCCTATAAATTGAAGCTTATCTACAATAATTCTAACTGAAAATTGAGTCTTTATTACATTCTTACAAGTGTTTAATCTGAATAAAGTTGGAGACTTTGTGAACCTAAGAAAAACTAACCAAAGTTAGCCTAAAATCACTCGGGAATTGCAGAATACAAACGTCATAAACAAAGTATGGTATTGAATCAAAATAAGAAAGAGGCTGCAGCAACTATAGAAGGAACTGAAAATTCTGTACCTTCACATATTACGGACATTGAAGAAGGGTAGATTCCAAATTCCGCATATAAGCTACTGTCAACTAAAATCCCGAAAACGGTGATTATACCAGAGCGAAAGGTTTAGGGAACGGAGAAGAAGAGAGCTACACAGGAAAAAACGGTGTCGTTTTAATATAAGGTGTTTTTTTGAGGCGAACGACGTCGTTTTTGATGCAGGCTTTAATATAAGGTGTTTTTTTGAGGCGAACGACGTCGTTTTTGGTGCAGGCTTTAAGAAGAATATTCTCTGTGTTTGAAAACGGGCTTTGAGGTTTTTGTCTCACACTCATTCTCTATCTCAACCACTCGAGTGTTTTGATCGATGGAGTCGTTTTAACTTTTAAACACTTTGTCTATTTTCTTGTCGCAATCGCTCATTGAGCGACTCCAAAAAGAACAGGGCCTTAGTGAATGCTTTTACAGTTTTGCTTTTCGGTTTTAAGGTTTAGAACGAAACATTCTTGTCAAGAAACCTTACAAGTATTAATGGATGTGTTCGTATGAAAGGTCCACATAGCGAACCTCGAGATACATCCAACGGTCTCCTTTTCCGCTCAGCCTGGTTCTCGCCCCAAAGCCATTAGCAAACGGAACAAATCACGAATGCGATAAGTGGTGTACCACCAAATATGCTACCAATCAAACAGTACAATAAATATAAATTGCAAAGTGATTTATAATTGTTTGTACAGCATCTGTGAGTTGTTTGAATAGAGTACAGAGATTACAACTTACAACAGCGATGCTCAAGACATATCTAGTAAACTAGTCACAAGTTCACCAAAATAAGATCAAAACTTCTTCTATGTGACTGAATAATAAACACAGACCTAAATGTCCTAGACAAAATTTATAATGAACTTGGACTAGTACAAACAAAGATGAATAGTCATCAAATTTTCATACATGTCAACAAAAAAAAACGGATGATGCAGCTGTGTAATCTATTATGGTTCATCCATCACTTCTGTTAGCTTTTAGCTTTCAATACATAAAAAAGGAGTACATTTGAAGATGGCAAAATAAAAGAAAGGAAGAAGAATGGATTTACCAAAAGAAAAGCTTCTCAAGCACGTCTTTTGCTGAGACGCCATGAGTTCGGCTCGTGGTAACGATCATACAAAGGCTCAATCCGTTCTTGGCGCTTCCGCTTGCTCATTTTCGTTGGGTCAGACACTTTGAAGAACCTTGGAGCTAACTCAACAAGCCATTTTGGGTCAATCACAGTCACTTCCCTCATGTACTCTTTCGTAGTCATCACAAGATCATGATATATAACCCAGTCTGGTTGTCTCTGGAACAGCGCACTGCTCGGGTGTATATACACCGGCTGATTCTCCACCAGCGTCCTGTAACCTTCCTGTGGATCTTTTCTTGCTCCGTGGAAGAAGAATCCTGCCGTGATGGCCTTCCTTATCTTCGTGAAATTCTTTCCAGCACTTACCACGTCTAGTTTATACCTGCAAACACAGAATTCACACGTTGAGAAACTGGACTTGGATTGTCATACAATATCATTACAAGCTGAGCTCAATACAAGTTTAAATACTTACTTGTCCATAATGCTGAGAAGTTGTTTCCTCACATCTTGAGCACGTCGTAACGATCGTGACTGTATGAAGTTTTCGAAACACCATGGACCTGAGAAGTTTTTCGCCTTCCAAGCTTCATATACAGCTAGCAAAGTCAAGTGATCACCTTCGGGCTGGAAAAACTTTGCCCGTTTTTGGTCTGCTTGAGCTTGCTTCTCCCTTGGTCTATAAAATATGTTACCCGTCTGGATCATAGCAATCATCGTTAAAATCTCATCGCTGCACCCGAGATCCACACTAGCTAGCAACATTTTTGAAAGCGGCGGTTCAAGAGGAAACTCCGCCATTTTTCTACCTAGCTTTGTCAACAATCCTTCCTCATCCAAAGCTCCCAGGCTGTACAACTGTTCCATTGCAGAGATCAATGCTTGAGGTTGGGGTGGGTCCATGAAGTCAAAGGATAACAGGTCATTAATGCCCATTGCTTTCATGGTCAGGGTTGTCATTCCAAGATTGATTCTTTGGATTTCAGGGATTGACGTAGGAGGCATCTCATTACGATATGCGCTCTCTGTGTAGAGACGATAACATTTCCCTGGCCCAGTACGACCAGCACGTCCAGCCCTTTGCTTCGCTGATGCCTGTGAAATTGGAGTGATGACTAGTGATTCCAGCCCTTGCTTTGGATTGTACACGTTCTGCTTAGCAAACCCAGGATCAACAACATAGTATATCCCATCTATTGTTAAAGAAGCTTCTGCAATATTTGTAGCTACAACCACTTTCCGTTTACCAGGAGGGGGAGGATCAAAAATTCTAGACTGCATTTCACTAGGAAGGGCACTGTAAACTGGAAGTATGATGAGTTCGGGAACATTTTTACCTAGACCTTTCATCCTCTCGTACAGAGACTGGCACGCAGAATCAATTTCTTCCTGTCCCGTCAAAAAGACCAGAATGTCACCCTCAGGTTCAGTCAAGTGAATCTGTAGGACTGTGATCAGAGCTGCATCCAAGTAATCTGTTTCTGGCTGTTTGGTATATAGTATCTCAACAGGAAAGGTTCTTCCAGGAATGGTAAAAATGTTGCAGTTGAAGAAATACCCAGAGAACTTCTCTGCATCTAATGTGGCAGACGTGACTATTAGACGAAGATCGAGCCTACGTTTCATCAGCTTCTTTAGAAGACCAAACAGCACATCAGTGTGGATTGTCCGCTCGTGAGCTTCGTCAAGCATGATTACAGAGTATTGAGAGAGGTTTTCATCTATCAGAATCTCCCTAAGAAGCATACCATCAGTCATGTACTTGATCACTGTATCCGGTCCAGTACAATCTTCAAACCGAATCGCATACCCTACCTCCTCTCCTAAACGACAACCAAACTCCTCAGCTACTCTCTTGGCAACAGACATTGCAGCAACCCTACGAGGCTGAGTACACCCAATCTTTCCCTTTGTTGTATAACCAGCTTCTGCAAGGTACTGAGTCACCTGTGTTGTCTTTCCAGATCCAGTCTCACCAATAACCACCAAAACTTGATTATCGTGCACAGCCTGTATCAGCTCCTTTTTCAACTTGTATATCGGAAGGCTCTCCCTTTGCTCTTGAATAGAAAGCTTTGATCTCTGCCCAAAAGTCGGAGTTTTTCCAAAGGCATCCTTCTTCCACTCAGGCATGTCATAAGCTGATAACCCAACACCTCTAAGCTCTTGAGCAAGATGCCTTTCACCAGTTTCAGGCATAGGGTCTTCCCATGGACGATTCAGATCCTTGGGGATTGAGTCAAGCATTGTTCTTTGCTGCTGTTCCCTCATTTCTCTCCTCTCCTTAGTGAGAGCGGACTGAAGTGCAGCAGCGCGACTCAAGGAACCTTCTGGATTTTTGAAGATCTTAACCGGAGACATGTCAACAGAGTACCTAGTTTGCCCTTGTAAGAAAGCAGGTTCGTCTTCATTCATCTCAATCTCAAGTTCTTCTTCAGCACCTTCCTCTTGATAAAGCATCCCATCTCCATCCTCATCATACATTGGAAACTCATCCACTCTCAAAACACCAGAGGCAATCAACTGCTTCGCTTCCCATCTCTCAGGAGAGCTCATCTTCTTCAACGGTCTACGTGAAGGCGCAACATCATTCTCCTCCACAATCCTGATCCCCGAAATCCCAGTCTTAGTCACATGCCCATCCTTTGTTCTATACGACGGATTACTCCTGGATGAATCATCTTCATCTGAAGGCTTCCTCAAAGGAATCAAATCTCTACCCGTATTCTGATCAACATCTCTCATAGAAAGACTATATTTATCATTCGAAATAGATATAACTTTCACATAAACCTCCATATCTCTCTTCACAAACTCCTTAGCCTTATCAACCCTTCTAGTAGCCATCTGAGAAACATGAACCAAACCTTCTTTTCCTCTAAACTTATCAAACTGAACAAAACAACCCGCATCCATAACCCTAGTAACCCTCCCTTTATATACCTGATACAACTCCGGCTCATTCGCACCGCCTCTATCGTCCTCCACATACTCATCCTTCGCACGCCTATCTCTACGCCTATCTTCCCCTTCATCATCACCACCACGTCCTCTTTCTCTATGCCTCCTATCACTTCTTCTATCTTCACCTTCCTCATCTCCACGATTCCTCTCTCTATCTCTATGTCGATCTCTTCTATCATCACGATTCCTATCTCTGTCTCTATCCCTACCCGAATCCCTCCGATCTCTATCCCTATTTCGATCCTCCTCTCTCCGTCGCTCTTCAGCTTCTCTTTCAATCTCTTTCTCAAGCTCCTTAACTTTATCCTTAGTATCCTTAATCGCTAAACCTTTGAATTTCTGATCATCACCGTCCTCTTTCTTCTTCTCCGACTTAGGCTTCGGAGGATAAATCCCGTGGATTGTAGTTAACAATGACCGGACGAAGTAATCCGGCATCTCTGCACCTTCTTCCTTAAGCTTCTTATCGAATTCATCTACAGTCTCAGAGTGACGACCAAGATCGATAATGAATTCAGCCAAAACTTTTTCTGCAGATCCTAGATGCGTTTCCAATTCGTTGCAGACATTGGAGACGAGAGAGAGATGATTTAACTTGTTAAGCTCTTCTTTTTCCATTGACGAGACCAAAGGAAGCAACAAAGAGAATCGAAGAAGAAGAACTGGGTTTCTCTGGATAATCGATTTCTAGGGTTTTCTTTTCTGATAGACACACACAGTCGCAGAGATTTCTGCGTTGCTAATTTTTCTTTTTTTCTTTCCTTAGATTAAAATGAAAATAGCCGACCCAAACAGGCATGTTTCTTTAGGTTTTGTATTTGGGCCGATGCAAAACAACTTTAAAAGTTAAATGGGCTTTTACATAAAAGTCCGAAGTAAAATATATAAATGCATTGATTTTAGTTTTCTTCATCTATTTGCAGATGTCCTAGTTTGAGGATAAAAAAATTTCAAGGGAAGAGATAGGGGGTGTCAAAATAGGTCAAGATTCATGGGTCAACCAAAACTCAACTCAACCCATGAACCCTAAAGAGTTGAAATTTTTGACTCAAATGAGTTGATGGATCAAATGAGTTATTGAGTCAAATGGGTTGATGGATCAAATGAGTTGGGTTGTAATGGGTCAGTGGTTTCAATGGTTTACCCATTTAACCCATCAATTTTTGTTAAATTGAATCAAACCAATTCAAATCTCTAAACCAATTTCAATTTGAGTCTAACCAAAACTTCTAAACCGATTGAATATAGTCCTTAATTTTCCCGCCAAAAATGTAAATACACAATTTTTCTATCAAAATATAAATTCGTGATTTTCCCGCCAAAAACGTAAATCCGCAATTTTCCCGCCAAAAACGTAAATCCGTAATTTTCCCGCCAAAATTTTTTATAATTTTTAACCAAAAACGAAAATATGTAATTTTCCCGCCAAAAACGTAAATCCGTGATTTTCCCGCCAAAATTTTTTATAATTTTTAGCCAAAATGAGAATGTAAAATTTTTCCGCCAAAAACGTAAATCCGTGATTTTCCCGCCAAATTTTTTTTTATAATTTTAAACCAAAAATGAGAATGTAAAATTTTCCCGCCAAAAACGTAAATCCGTAATTTTTCCGCCAAAAACGTAAATCCGTGATTTTCCCGCCAAATAATAGTGACGTTGATTATTATTATTATTATTATTATTATTATTATTATTATTATTATTATTATTATTATTATTATTATTATTATTATTATTATTATTATTATTATTATTATTATTATTATTATTATTTTAATTATTAATTTATTTATTACATTAATAGGTTAATGGGTCAACCCATTTAACCTTCTAACCCATCAAATTAAATGAGTTGATGGGTTGACTCAACTCATTTTACTCTAAACTCATTGGGTAATGAGTTGAGTTGAGTTGGGTTAACCATTTTGACACCCCTAGGAAGAGAATAATGCAATATCTAGTAGTTGTAATGAGGACTTTCCATCACCATACCCACAAAAAGTCGAGGATAAATAATTTTTCAGTTTATTATATAGTTAACTATCACCGAGCATGTTCTCAAACTAACACTTGAATTACTATAATTTCTAACTGATGTGAACCGAGCATGTTTATTTTATCGAGCGTTTGTAGTTCTATCTATGTACTAGGGATCTTTCAAAAAGATTTTATCTCAAGATTACGTGTTAAAATATCCATGATGGGAAGAGGATTGAATTAAAATGATCTCCTCTCTTATTCAAAAAAACATTTGGTCCGAAAACTCAAAATATTTTGGTAAAATCATGAGGTTAATCCTCGGTTTTATTTTGTGTAATTATAGTATGATGGTTTTCAAAAAACAAGTTTTGCTCATGTTTTGGTTTTCTACTCGGATTTAGTTGCATTACACCATGGACGGGGATCAAATAACATCACTCATCTCAAGTACAAAGCTCGACCACCACACAGTTTTGCTACTGCGTTATACCCTCCAAATTGTAGTCCACACCGTGTGGAGAGAAAGGAACAATCATTGGCACGGAGAAGAGCCATCACCGGCACCAAGACTTCAAAAAAATCCTCGACAAAAACCATTAGAAACCGGATCATCCTACTTCGGAATTCAGGAAACAAAATGTATGACAATATGCTCTTGCTTTGGTTTTCCACTCGGATTTAGTTGTATAACATAAAAACCGCTCAAACTCTCTAAAAGGTTAACTAGTTGTAAAGTGTAAACAATAAATTTTTTTAGGAATAAAATTTTACAGTCTTTCAAAAAAAAAGAAAAAAAAAAGATAAGTCTTTGCTTTTTTTTGAAATATAAGTTTGAACTGAATTTGTTGATCAATATGTGATATCCCAGGTAAATAAACAACTTTGTATGTGTATGCGATCGGTCCATCCCAATCTTCCACAAACGAACTTCTATACATTGGTCTAAAAATAGTTCAAAACATTTCTAAGGCATGATCTTTGGACCGTGATAAGAATTGGACCGATTTGGTCGACATGCATTAGGTCGGCCAAACATTTTTTAAAAGAAACACCACAAGTTTTATATATTAACCAAACTGATGAAACTAAACAGATTGGAATATTTAAAAACCAAGCTGGGTAAGTCTATTAATGTTTTGATGGAAAATGTATATATTAAAGATTTTTGATAAAAAAACAAAAAAAAAGCCATAATGGTAAGAGAAGATGGTGTCACCTAACTACCCAGCCTCACCTACCTCATAAACCACATGAAGAAATCGAGTTACCCATGGCACACACACTCATGCCTCGACTCCAACTTTTTTTTATTACTGAAAATTTGGGTTTGATTTGTAATATTTACGGTTGACAATTTGTATATATGTAATTGATCCGATTGTGTAGAAATTGGAGATTGATTTACTTAGACATAAGAGATATAATATCATTTTTGTTAAATCTTTTTTATATATAAATTTATGGGTGTACTATCTCAAACCGAAAAATTGTGTTTGAAACAAATTCAATTGTTTTGACTGATTTATAGAAACCACAAAATAAATTTTACAAAAACGCAAGCTTTGTGAGTGTGACTTCAGTTTTGAAGATAAGAAATTGGCTAAAATACTAGATTTTTAAGAAATTCAAAAATACTAAACTGAAAATTAAAACAAATCTGATTTGCTTTAGAATGTGACAACAATTTAAGAAGTGAATCTAATTCTCTTCTTTCACTTCTTTGACTACATCCAAACAAAGAACAAAATTCCCAAATCTTTTTTTCTTCTTCTTTTTTACAAGTGGGCATTTGTGAGGTTGTGAGGCCCAACCAAAAGAGCCTCTCACTACATTCCACAAGAACCACACAAATTCAAAAGTCTCACTCTAACACAAAGAAGCATCCAAACGCAATCCTCTCACCTCCACCTCACATTCCCCTGTGCCACCATCACTTACCCTTTCTCGTCTCTCCTGAAATCAAAATCCATTATGCAAATCCATTTTCATCATCATCACCATCTTCATTCTCATCATCCATGGCCCATTTCTCATCTATGTAGATTCTCATCTCTCTACCTTCTTCTCATTTTCTCCTCTTAATTTTTCTTCTCCTTTTCAGACATGACTCTTCCTTATCGTTTCTCTTCGGTTAGAAACCACTCGCTACTACTTAAGACTTCTCATCTCTGTACACCTAGATCAGCTCTTGGTTGTTTCTCTCCCAAGGAATCTCCTTTATTCAAGAAAAACACTGCCCAATTCCTTTCTCCTCAGAAACACACTTCTCTTCCTTTGAAACTTGTCTGCCCTTTAGCTAGTTTCTCTTCTTATGCGGATTCTGAGGGAGAAGAGCAACACCATGCTGATCAACCGATACAGAATTCTCACGAATCTTCTACCAATTCGAACGAATCAGATGGGAAAGGTAATGCAGAAGCTACTGGTGACTTTTCTGGAATGGCTCAAGCCTTTCACATTTCGTCCACCACAGCGAGGGCAATCTCCATAGTCATCGCCTTCTCTGCTCTCACCCTTCCAATCTTCATGAAGTCCCTGGGGCAAGGACTGGCTCTCAAGACCAAGCTTCTCTCTTACGCGACACTACTCTTTGGTTTCTACATGGCCTGGAACATCGGAGCTAATGATGTGGCCAATGCTATGGGGACTTCTGTTGGATCTGGAGCCCTAACTATACGACAAGCTGTGATGACGGCTGCAGTTCTTGAATTCTCAGGTGCCCTTTTGATGGGAACTCATGTGACGAGCACGATGCAGAAAGGGATTCTCATGGCTAATGTGTTCCAAGGGAAAGATATGTTGCTCTTTGCTGGTCTCCTCTCTTCCTTGGCTGCAGCTGGAACTTGGTTACAGGTTCCATCTTATCTTTTGCTTCTTCCTCACTAGTTTCAAGACAGGATTTAGTAAAGTTAGAACCTTTTTAGGTTGGCATTCACAAATGATACAAATAGAGAACCTAAGTGTGTAACTGTGAATTTGACAGGTAGCTTCTTACTATGGATGGCCAGTATCGACAACTCACTGTATCGTCGGATCAATGGTTGGGTTTGGTCTTGTTTACGGAGGAGCTGGTGCCGTTTTCTGGAGTTCTCTAGCTAAAGTAGCTTCATCTTGGGTCATCTCTCCTCTATTAGGAGCTCTTGTCTCCTTTCTCGTCTACAAATGCATTAGGAGAGTAAGTAAAATAAAACCAAACCAAACAAAGGAACTAACTTTCGATTTATGACACTTCTATTCATGATGCTCAAGCTACCTTTATGCAACTTTTGCACACTCTTCTCTTGTTCTGTGCAGTTTGTTTACAGTGCACCAAACCCGGGACAAGCAGCAGCAGCAGCCGCTCCCGTCGCTGTGTTCGTAGGTGTGGCCAGTATCTCCTCAGCCGCATTGCCTCTAAGTAAGATATTTCCAATAGCTCTATCACAAGCCTTAGCCTGTGGAGTAGCAGGAGCCATTGTCTTTGACAGAATCATCCGCAAACAACTCGGTCACCTCCTAGCTAAAACAAAATCACCAGAAACATCTCAAAACCAGCCCAAAACCATCGGTTTCCTCTCCGATATCGCAGGACCAACAGGTACACAACTCGAAATAGTCTACGGAATCTTTGGCTATATGCAAGTCCTCTCCGCTTGCTTCATGTCATTCGCTCACGGAGGCAACGATGTATCCAACGCAATCGGACCATTAGCCGCCGCATTAAGCATCCTCCAAAACGGAGCAGCTGCAGGAGGAGCCGAAATCGTTATCCCAATGGATGTTCTCGCTTGGGGAGGATTCGGAATCGTTGCTGGTCTCACAATGTGGGGATACAGAGTCATTGCAACGATAGGGAAGAAGATCACTGAGCTAACACCAACAAGAGGTTTCGCGGCGGAATTCGCCGCCGCGTCGGTGGTTTTGTTTGCTTCGAAATTAGGGCTTCCGATTTCAGCTACTCATACACTTGTTGGAGCTGTGATGGGTGTTGGTTTCGCTAGAGGGCTTAATAGTGTGAGAGCTGAGACTGTGAGAGAGATTGTTGCTTCGTGGCTCGTCACCATTCCCGTAGGAGCTACACTCGCCGTTATCTACACTTGGATTTTCACCAAGATCTTATCTTTTGTGTTGTGAGTTTCATTTTTTTTGGTTTTGTGATATTGATCTTCTTCTATGTTCGTTTGAATGATTCGAATTTGGAAAAAAAACCATGAAGTTATGATCTTTCGATTCAAATCTGAGTTTTTCACCCATCGGTGAAGCTATGATCAAAGCTTGAAGCTTTCTTGTTCAATGTTAATTCGAATTACAGTGGGTGTTGTTTTTTCTTTTAAAAACGTCTTGTTGTTTGTTATCTAAACGTGAAAACGTCATAACTTGTTAAACGACATCGTTTTGTTTTCGAGTAAACGTGAGACGCGCGCATCTCTTGCTTTTCGTACACGCGTCTCGAACAAAGACTGACATGATTTTCTTCTTTAATGACGAAACTACCCTTACACGCATCCACACTTCAGCGATAAAAACGAGGGTATTTGAGACAAATCAAGAAATAGAAATATCTTTCTCTTCGTGTAAGCTAATCTCTTGCTTCTCTGGTACTTGTTCCTCTGTTTGGATTGTGGTGGTGGTGGTTCTCATGGCGGCGGTTATTGGTAACGTGGCGTTGTTACTAGACGTTAACTCTCACCGTACGGTGGTAACTGATCGGAGAATTCGTTTAACGGTGGTTGACGTCGTTCTGAATTTACAAAAGAGAGATTCGCACAGTCACGTTTCTCACTACGCGGCTCTCTCTTCCAATAAGCCTCTTGAATCTGACGGCGAGGCTAGGATTCGCCGGTTTTTAACTCGCGGTAAGGCGAATTCCAGGGCTAACGCCGTCGATTTCGACGACGCGGGATCCAGCGACGAGGAAAGCAGTGACGGAGGCGGTGGTGGTGGTGATGAGGATGAGGAGGAGGAGGCTTTCGATGTGGAGAAGGAGAGGAAGAGGAGAGCTAAGGAATTTCAGGATATGAAGGAGCTTGAGAGGAAAGCAGAGGAGTTACAGTATAAGATTGATGAAGAAGGAGACGATTCAGAGGAGAAGAAGAGGATGAGAGTGAAACGAGAGCTCCAAAAGGTTCGTTTCACATTCATATTAGTTTTTGGCCATAGGCTCATAGCAATAATCTTAGATTAGTGTAGTGTATCTTAGTGAAGGCAATTTTGAGGATTCGAAGTCGAATTGTTTAAGAAAGTGTAAGTTAGTGGTGAGGTTTTAAGAGTTGATGTGCTTATGGAAGAGATTGGTGAGAGCAGGTAGCTCAGGAGCAAGCAGAGAGGAGAAAAACAGCAGAATTGATGTTTGAATTGGGTCAAAAGGCTTATGGTAAAGGAATGTATGGACGCGCGATCGAGTTTTTAGAAGGAGCTCTTACGATTATCCCAAGGCCAACACTCTTTGGTGGTGAGGTTGGTTGAAAACACCAGAGTTTAGGTACCTTTTTTTTTGGTTTTTGAAAGAAGATTTGATTGCTAATGTTCTGTGGGGGAATTGATTTGGCCAGATTCAAATTTGGTTAGCTATGGCATATGAGGCCAATAATCGACACGCTGATTGCATTGATCTTTATCAGCAATTAGAGAAGAAACATCCGAGTCCTGGTATTCGTCGTCAAGCTTCTGAGCTTCGGTATATCTTGCAAGCTCCTAAGCTTAAGATATCTCAGGAGGAAATGGTTACTATTCCCATGATTGGTTCAAGTTACGACAGGTAAAACAAAAGGTTTCCAAATCACTCACAATTGACTTCTCATGGCTAATGCATATATCGACATCACTTGAAATGGTCTTTGTGGTGTGTTCACAGCTATGCAGTGACATGGAGTGACAAGGACAGGGATAAGGAGCGGCGAATGAATGAATCGACTACGAATCAGCTCAACTCGAGTGAAGACTTTCTTGGAAAGCTCTTGGTTTGGCGACCGGCGGTTGGTATGGAGAAGAACCGAGTCTTTTGGCTTGCTTTGACACTGTGGTTCGGTTTGGTTGGGGCAGCACTCATCTTACAAAGATAAGTAGAAGACATGTAAAAACGTTTTTCATCGCTTTCAATTATGGTTTGGTACTGTTTCTTCTACAGGTCTTGAAATTATATTTGATTTCATGTATAAATTTGTAAGCAGATGAATTCGTTGTATATAAAGTATTTGATGGAAATATATACTCCCTCCGTATTTTAATAATTGTCGTTTTAGAATTTTTATTTTTTTGAATTAGATGTCGTTTTCAAATTTCAATGCAAAATTTCTTACTTTTTAATGTTTTATGATGTCATAAAACATTAAAAAGTAATAAATTTTGCATAGAAATTTGAAAACGACATCCAATTCAAAAAAATAAAATTTCTAAAACGACAATTATTAAAATACGGAGGGAGTATAACTTTGTGGATTATGTATAATCTCTTTATAGTTAAATTTATCTTTTTTTTTAATTGCGTATAACTCCTCAAAGTGACAACTACATGACAATATAGCAACCCTTTTTGGCGTTTTATCATCGTGGAACATCATACTTGAAAACAGGTAAATTTCAATCTACATAAATTGGGAAACTTTCATGTTCGAGTGTGGACGAGCCCCTCAAAAGTTCAAAACCTTTCCTCTATGACTGACCAGTGACAACACCATGAAATATATTAAGGAGCCAAAGTGATGGAAACAATCTTAAGCTAAGCTAAAAAAATGTGTAAATGGCATTGGCCAGACACTGGTTGGTTTCTTCATATGTCTAGGATAAGACATATGAAATTAGTGTAGGATAAGACATGTGCTTCTCCTATGTTTTTATTTGATTAGTTGATATTATTACTTATGTTAGAAATCTGAAGTTGACAAGCTTGGACAACTTTGATTGCTTTATTTGTTGTTACATTTAAGTTCAACTGACATGTTTACAAATTTGAAATTACTTTGGTTGCTTTATTTGTTGTTACATTTAAGTTTAACATTGAGTAGAAGAGGTACTAATATAATTGGTGTAACTCTATTTTATCTTATATAGTTATATTTGATGTGAATTTTGTTTACTGCTCTTATAGTTTATACAAATTCAAATGCGAAAGATTACTTTAAAACTTAAAATCAAATTATAACTTGGTTGATATGAGAGGGAACGAAACATTCACAACAATAGAACATGTTTGAACTTGTTTTTGTCGTCACAATTAAAGAGAAAATAAATACACGTACATGTTAGATAGAAAATAGAGGTGTACCTAATTCAGGCTCAATAAAACAGAGGATCAGTACGAGTACGATTCGTTTTTCTCAGCTACTTTCATGTCTCTATCGAGTACTTCATTGAATAACTCATAAATTGCTTACAAAAAACATATATATTGATTATAAGAAATTGGAAACTATAAGTTATAATTAGTACTAGCAAACAAAATAAAGCTTTACTAGTATCTTTTTGATATAATAGTTTTGGCTTTATTTATTGAGATTGCGTAAGGTTTTTAAATTACTGAAGATAATTTGTCAACAAAAGGTATAATCTTTGATAGAATTTAAATCTACAAAATTCCTTTTTAATTTTTTTTTTTAATTGCATGAAAACTAAAACTTGAAGTAATGTTGCGATGGTTTCTCATTTGTCATTGTAAAAATCTGTTCTAGGTGTAGGATCGAAAATATCATTTGTTTATCTTGTGGTTGTCAGTTGTTTTCTCCTTTGATTGTAATTTCAAATTTGTAAACATGTCAATATTGACCAGATGAAAAAGACGAAAAAAAAACAAATTGTTTGTTTTCTTGGGTGGAATTACACTTTTAAATGCATTAGAGAATAAAAAACAAAAAGAAGCTAATGTAATTTATAGAAACTCTATCAAAGACTTGATAACCAAAACAAAACAAAGACCTATTGTGACCAACTACAAAGGGTGGGACAGATTTTCTTTGAATATTAGTCTTTTAGTTTATGAGTTGCTTTATTTCAGATACTTCTCCTCCCCATTCTCTTATCCTATCCTCAGCCATTGAAGCCTACATGACCACACATATCGCTTACATTAAATTTAAAACATCGAAAGCTCAAGTCGAGACAACAAATTGATTGATTTTTAATAAAAAAAAATTTACTCACCTCTGTGTCCCAATTTGTTTTGCAGATCATCCATGTTAAGACTATTGTCTGAACCACGGTTCCCGTCAACATTCCGCACCAGATTCCCTAGCACATCAAAGATTTTCGCATATCATCGGTCTTTTAGTTATGCTTCTTTAATATTTTCAAAGATTTGCAATGATGAAGATTTAAGATTCATTACCATTACACCAAAGTTAAGCTTGTATCCCAATAATAGACCAAATGGTATTCCAAACACGTAATAACAGGCGATGTTCACGTAGGCCACCACTGCTTGCCATCCAGCTCCCACAGCCACACCTAATAATCCAGTTTATTACCACAATGCCATTGAATTCATTAAAGTTTCTCACCTAACCAAAGTCGTTTTTGTCAAATTTTCCTATTTAGTTAAACCGTATCAAATCAAACGAAATGACATTTTTTCAAACCGATTTGATTTGTGAGTTAAATAGACTGATCATTACCTGATAAGACAGGTTGGACATTGTTGATGACAATAGAGAATGCAAGTATTGGTGTGAGTTCTTTAACAAGAATGATGACTTCTTCGTCTTTCACAAAAAGCGATGGATATTGATCTCTAAAGATGAGTAGAACCATTGATACAATGAATCCGATCAACGTCGATGTTATCACTGCCACTAGTAGTGAGAATTTCGCGGTTCTTGGATGGTTAGCTCCTAGTTCATTAGACACTCTCACACTGCACCATTTTAAGATTATGTTTTAAGTTGTTATAGTATAATACCAAAGAGAGGTTTAGACAAAAAGAGTATTGACTTTTGCACGTGTTTACCTTACGGCTGTGTTCATCCCAATAGCAATCATAGCAGTCCATCCCAAAATATTCATGCTTCATTTTCCATATTGTTTACAAGACCCAAAAAAAAAGAAAGATTAAGAGTTAGTCGTGGATCAAAAACTTATTCTTATGTATATAAATTTTAATAAAAAATAGTTACTATGAAGAAAAATGTGCTGTGCACGTAGTGGGGTCAAATAAGGACAAACAATCAACTAGTAACTTTATTTTTTACATTTTATACATTTAAAAAATTATAATGATTGAACCGTTGTCAAATTTATAAAGGACCAATATAAAGTTAATATAAAGTTATAAACTAGTTGTTAAAAAAAAAAGAAGTTAATATCAACTGTCACATGTGTCCTTCTCGTTTCAACATAATTATTTCATGGGAGTACACAATTATTTACTTTTCTTATAACTATATAAAGAAGAAGAAAAACTATGATGAACAAGAAAACACATTTGACAGTCGAATTTTAGCTTTATTTTGTTTCTTTTGGGTTTATATATTTGTATAACTATATGTCTAAAATTATAATGTTATAGACCAAACGAAATAAAACAAAAAAAGGTTCACAATTTTAAATACAGGAAATTGTTTCACTGCCCAAGAAACCAACGACTAATTTAGTTGACAACGATACGATTAAGTCTACTACACACGACGAGTTAGTGCTACTTCCTAGAGATTCTTGATGATAACTTTTAAAAATAAAGAAACTGAACCAATCAAACAACGAATCTTAGAAACCTTAAATTACTTTATCAAAATGAAATTACTTTATCAAAATGAATACGTATTATTAAAAAAATTAAATTTACCAGATGGAGAGGGCAGCTACGGAGATTTCAGCATTCTTCAAATATCCAGCAAATAATATGATTGCCATAAAATACCACACCTCCAAACTTCAAAAGTTAAAAAAAAAAATCAATCAAATTAACAAATACATTATTAAATAATTGTTATAAAAAATTATCAAAAAAAGACTCACCAGAGCATAACAGCAGAAGCCAAAGACAACCTAACGAAACTCCACAAATTATGAAAAGCCTCCCACGATAAACCTGACCAAGCTTCACCACACGTACCACTAAATATGTACACGAGCTGAGCCATGTCAATGAACACCCACGACGCGTTAAGCACGACGGCTAGACCCGGCATACCCCATTGGAGCTTCACAATGACAAACCACGTGAGAGGCACGTGTATAACAAGTGCAACAGCCGAGATAGCGGCCATGACCATTATCTTGCTTTGTGATTGCAAGAATTTAGCGGTTGGGAAATTAATCGCGTATGCGAAAATCTGAGGGATCATGTAGATGGAAAATATTCCGGCGGCGCTAGAGATCGCCGCCGTTTGACCTATGGACGCGAGGATTGGGGCGGCGAAAATGTAGAGAAGAGAGAGTATAAGAGCGGTCACGTTTAGTATCACCCATGAACGTTGCAAGTAAACGCCGAGCATCGACAATTTCCCTGCTCCAAACGCTTGTCCACATAGCGTTTCTAACGCACTTCCCATTCCAAGCTAGTTGCGTTCACAATGACACACATTACAAGTCAAAACAAAACTTTTTAAAAATTACGGAAAAAAAATTGTGATATTTTTACAAAAGAAAAAGATTATTTTTTAAAAAAAATTGAATAAAAATAGTCTATTTGATAAATAAATTATACTTTGACTACAAACTGAATAATCACGAATTCATTTTTTCGGCGTTTTTATTTACATTTTTTATATGTTAAATTATGGCTATTTTTAATATTGTGTACCTTTCCCTATTCGAAATGATCTTTTTTGATAAAAATAAAATAAAATAAAATATAGAAATTTGTTAACAAAAATGTAGAATGGAACATTTTGAATGATTTGGACATCTCCCAACTTTTGGATCTTTGTGTGTTATTATATGAAACTCAGTCAAAGAAAGAAAAAAAGAAACCAACATTTTTGATAATAAATACAAACCACAAATGTTAAAAGACGTGGATATATGGTTGACGAGAAAACAAAAGAAGTGGTGGATGTAATTTACCATGATACCGAATGAGAAGCCGGCAACGACGGAGTTTTCGACGGAGACGGCCGCAAGAGCGATGGTGCTGATGTGACCAGCGAAGACCTGAGTAATTGCGCCGAGAGAATATTGGTTCACGGACGTGAAAATAGCGGGGCCGGCCAAGTACCATAGCTTTTTGGTTTCCACGTTGAACTCCCTAACGAATCCGGCGACGGTGGTGATCGGAGGAATATCGTCGACGGATAAGAATGGAAGATCGGGATGTTCTTCCGCCGCAGTGAGAAGCGTCTCCGTGATATCTTTTTCTTTTCTCATCTTGAGAGAGAGATAGAGAGATTAAAGGAGGTCAAAGACTAACGAGTGTCTTATGAGTTATGATTAATCATTCATGAATTATATAGATTTTTTTTTGGATATTTTTTACACAAAAATGCTTTAAGAAAGCATAGTATATATAAAAGGGAAATAAATTAAGTAGCAACTAACATAAATTATGTAGCAAAAAAAAAAAATTATGTAGCAACTAGCATTCAATAGATATTAATCACCAAATGTAGAAAAATAATGTTGTACATGTTGATAAAATTATAATAAATATTGGAGGTATTCAAATGTGTTTTGGTAATATTATTAAATGATATGTGTCAGTACTGAGTTTTTTGGTTTTTGGTTAAAACTATGGTCAAATAATACTAATAGTCTATTACTAGGAGTCATTTTTCATATTTATATATATGTTAAAATCTTTAACCATTTTGAATAAGAAAATGTGATGGTGTTCTATAAAAATAGCAAGAAAACAAAAATTTTATTTGAATAATAATTGTTTTTTCTCTTTGTATGCGAATAATAATTGTTTGTTAATTTGAATAATAAATTTGAAGACATTATTTGAATTGATACGGTTAAATTTTTTTTTTTTTGGACAAATGACACGGTTAATCTTTAATATCAAAATACAGTAAACTTTTTAGAGGCTGCTATATGCGCTAAGACCATCTCCAATGTATTTCTCTATTTTTAGCTCTATTTCTATAATAGAGGTAAGTTTTCTCTATTTTTACTCCAATTTGTTCCTCTATTTTTTTCTCTAAAAAGTTTAACTCTATTTATAGAGGAAAAAACCTACACGTGTTAAAAGAAAGCCAATCAACGACTTTTTCCTTTTAACCAACTGCAAATAAATTAAGCTTTTCATGTGTAAAACGAAGAAAACTTATGTTTCATCTTTCTAAAAAAATATAATATATATCCACCAACCAATTAATGTCTTTCACTCTCAACATAACTTGTTGTGTTACAAGACTCTCCCTTATATAAAGGATTACAAGTGGTTTAGACTTAACTATAAGATTATAATGAAATGTAACCAATCCGGTTAAACTCTCGACTCTAATAATTTAACTGTTGATGTTCTTGAAATTTCTAAGAGACGTAGCTTTTTCATGGATCTGATATACCAGTGGGTCGGAACAATTTCAGGTAACTCCTCCAGACAATATTAATGATGATAACGAGTACGAACTCGTGGTGGGAGCATTGTTTTGATGTGAAAGAAGAAAACTGCGACATGACCATATGATTGAGGTGGTTAGAGTTGTTACCGGAAATTAAAATGTGAATGTTTAGAGCCGGTCCAAACATTTTGAGTGCCCTAAGCAGATTTTTTTTTTTTTAATTTATATATTAATTATGATACAATGATATTAGTAGTATAAATAAAACACTAAGCTATTTAATCAATTTGAATTTAATTTAGATGATATGTATTAGTGTTTTTATGGATTACACAAAGAATTATACAGTTTATATTTAAGCTACCATTTTTACACATTAGTTAAACTTATTCATACACCTATATAAACAAAAATAAATAATGGAACTATATGGCCACTTTTCTATATGCATGACTTAAACTCTAAAATATAAGAATCTAGACAGAAACAGATAAAAAATAACAAAGCATTTACATTAAAAAAAAAAATAAACCAGAACATATAATGGGATCATGTTACGTGTAATCAAATTTTTCTAAGATTCAAACCAGGCCGTAAGCGACCGCTTACGTCGCCTACCCTCCGGACCGGCCCTGTTTAGAATACATGTGGTGATAGTACTAGCTACTAACTATATGAGGTAGTATCAGTGATTTTGACACTAAAACCTTTTTGGGTACTTCCAGTAAAAATACCTGAACCGAACTGAAACCGAATATAGTTCGGTGATTTATCGGTTCTCCTTTGAAACATCCGAACCTAACTAAACCGAACCCAAAAACGTTCAGTTCCCTTATAGTTTATAAGAAGCTAGAACCGAACCGAACCGAACCGAACCGAAGAACCGAATGCCCAAGCCTGACTATCTAGAATCGAATTCTAATAGAGAACGCTGCAGAAATGGTCTTCTCTATGGGCTGAACTAAAAATGCCCACTACTAGCAAAACTAAGCCCACAAAAATAGATTTTTGTTTTCTTAAGGTAAAGCCCACGAAATATATTCAAAGTTCCACACGTGTCAAGCATATTCGAAAATCTATAATCAAATCATATGGCAAATAAAAAAAACTCACGCCACACGTTATTATTCTAGATCTTTTTAATTATACGCAAACATAAAATTTACCCATTTCCTAAAAATGATAAGAATATTTGTTAAATCTCGAATTTATGACCCTAATTAACCTCATTAACGCTTCTTAATTTTTACTTAAAATCTTTCCAACGCATTAATTATTCAAAAAGCAAACACACGTAAACCGTGTAGTTCACGCGCCGGTCAATTCGAAACCGTAGAAAAATCAAAGAAAGAAGAAAAAAAAAACGGACTTGACTTACAGAGAAAGACTTTACAATGGCGAAGAAGACGATGAACAACACACTAGTAACAACAGTATCATCACCTTGAAAGAGAGAACAAAACGCTAGAAATCGAGAGAGTTTGGTGGAAGATTTTCACCAGATTTCATGGGAGAAGAAGAGAGTCGAATTGGAGACGAGCTTTCGATTTTGGTTCTCACGGCGGAGAGACTCCGTGTAGCGGTGGATGAAGCTGAATCGTTCAAAACAGAGTGTGGCGAGGTTGGTAAACAAGTAGATCGGCTTGCTCAAATGCTTAGAACACTTGCTCGATTCGTCTCTAGTTCTTCTCAACAGGTTTATGATCGGCCGATTCGGCGAGTTATCGTCGATGTTAAGAAGAATCTAGAACGAGGTTTTTCTCTTGTTCGTAAGTGTAGGAGACACAATATTATCCGGCGAGTTTGTACTATCATCAACGCTGCTGATTTTCGTAAGGTGATTAATCTTCTTGAATCTTCTAATGGTGATGTGAAATGGATTCTGAGTGTGTTTGATTCCGATGGAGATGGAAGTTTTGGTGGTGGAATTGTGATTTCGCTTCCTCCGATTGCAACGAATGATCCGATTTTGCCTTGGGTTTGGTCTTTGGTTGCGTCGATACAGATGGGGAAATTGGTGGATAAGATTGACGCAGCGAATCAGCTTGGTTCTCTTGCCGGAGATAATGATCGGAATAAGAAGATTATTGTTGATGAAGGTGGTGTTGCTCCGTTGTTAAGGCTTTTAAAGGAGAGTTCATCGGCGGAGGGGCAAATCGCAGCGGCTACTGCGTTAGGGTTATTGGCTTGTGATGAAGATAAGGTTAGGTCTATTGTTAATGAACTCGGTGTTCCGATTATTGTTCAGGTTCTTGGTGATTCTTCGGTTAGAGTTCAGATTAAGGTAGCTACATTGGTTGCTAGAATGGCTGAACATGATCCTGTTGCTCAAGATGAGTTTGCTAGGCAGAGTGTGATTAAGCCGCTAGTTACGTTGCTTTCGCTTGATGTTTTCGTCGATGATATTCATTTGAGTAAGCATAATAGTATTCACTCTCTTGTTCAGATGAACAAAGAGGTTGAGAAAGATCCGTCTTCGAAGCTTTATAGGCCGCTTAAGAGTTCTAAGTCGAATGTCTATCGTGATATTGGTGGTAGTGGAAGTAGAACAGGGAATTTGAAGAAGGAGAGGGATAATGAGAATCCTGAGGTGAAACATGAGCTTAAGGTTAATTGCGCCGAAGCTTTGTGGATGCTTGCTAGAGGGAATGTAGCGAATAGTAGGAGGATAACGGAAACGAAAGGGCTGCTTTCTTTGGCGAAGATAGTGGAAAAAGAAGTTGGAGAGTTGCAATACAATTGCTTGATGACTCTGATGGAGATAACTGCTGCTGCGGAGTCGAACGCTGACCTTAGACGAGCAGCTTTCAAGACTAATTCTCCTGCTGCGAAAGCTGTTATTGACCAGATGTTATGGATAATCAAAGAAGTCGATAGCCCAATTCTGAAAATCCCAGCGATTCAATCTATCGGGTCGTTGGCAAGGACATTCCCAGCAAGAGAAACGAGAATGATCCAGCCGTTGGTCGAGAAACTCGGTAGCAGCAACCAAGAAGTGGCCATAACAGCTGTAATTTCATTACAGAAATTCGTCTGTCCCGAAAATTTCCTCTGCGCAGAGCACTCGAAGAACATAATCGAATACGCGGCAATCCCGTTACTGATGAAACTGATAAGGAACTTCGAGCAGCAAATGCAGTTACAGTGTCTAGCTCTGCTCTGTTACCTTTCAATAAACGCTAGTAACCACGAGCAATTGGAACAGGCCAAGGTTTTGACGGTGCTCGAAGGTGCAGAACGTTTGGCGGGTCTGCAGAATATGGAGTTGAGAGAACTCGTGTCGAAAGCGATATATCAGCTAAGTCTATACAATGCAGGAAGTCACAGTCAAATGCTATCGTATGGTGGTCCTTAAAGCAAGATACAGTTTATAGTGTGTTGGATTCATATGGTATAGGCAGAGATTCTTCATTGTTAGATTTACAGAGAAAGAGCAAAAGCAGAATCTCTTATTTTGTGATCGTTGATTGATCAAATCCTTCATTGTAAATGAAATCGAAACAAAGATAATTAGAAGGAAGGGTAATAAAACTAGCTTTGCTCTCTCTGGTTTGCTTGGTTATGATGATTCCGAATTTTCTGGTATAGTTTTTTCATGATATAAATTTTTGTAAAATGGTTTTTGTTGTAAATGTGGGCTTTATTTTATTTTAATTAAGCTGCGTTATGTAGCCCAGTGGACTATTAGTGTTCGGGTTCATTACAAAATATCAAAAATAGAGGCGTGTTGTTTTAGCCGTCATAAAATTTAGCAACCAATGGATCTGTTACGACATAATCGCTTAATGACATAAATTGCAAAATAAAAATTTGCAGTATAAATTTTTGCTGAATGAAAAATTACATAATAAAATAAACAATTTTAAATTTATTTATTTGCATAATGAGTTTTTATTTGTATTTTTAAGAGAAAATGTAAATTCTATGTTTTGGTAAACATTATGCAAGTATACAAACTCATTCGAATACAGTGCCATGTGTCATTAAATACATATGCATTATCTAATAGCTCGTCATCTGCTTCTAATAGATGTTTAAGTATGACGTTGATAAATTCTTCTTTAATTGAGATATATTGATCAAGATCAAGGATCCTTACTATATTTTGGAATTTAGATTTATTAATTTATTGATAAATTAGTTTTTTTTTATCAATCTAAAGAGAAAATTTAAAATTTTTTATTATTGTAAAGGATCTCACAATGAAAATTTAGAAAATAAAAGTTAAAACAGTGTCACGTAATAATGTTTTGGATACTATCAACTTTGTACTTAAGGTTTAGAAAAAAAAGATCCAAGAAAAGACAAACAAATTGAACTCGACTGTGCAAAATTTGTTCTACTGATGCAATGTTACTTAGCCGAATTAGTTTCAAAATGATTGGTGATCTCAATCATCATAAGGAAATGAATATTAATAGTCTCTTATACTATCCAAGTGAAAAATAATAGTTTAGATATTAGAAAAGTTGATTATTGTTACATTTTTACTATTATTTTCACTTGGATAGTATAAATTACATTTTTATTAGAATCAAGCTCATAGACTCAAACAGATTGACTAGGATTCAAACTCAATCATAAATTATAATGTAAATATGCAATCCTCTTTATATCAGAAATTAAATATATATATATATATATATGTATATTTAGTAATATATGACTATAGTATTTGTTTTATTTGAATCGATATTTTTATTCTAAATATCTCTTACAACATTAAAAAACGTTTGATATTAATATAGAAATTTTTAGAGATTCCTTCACGCATTCGATAGAAAGGTGATTCATGTGTACCACAAAAACATCCATTGAGTGACACTCATTGTCAACTAGACAGAAACAGAAGTAGATGGTTGCTTGATAAATTGCATGATGACTTTCCTCTCAAATCTGAAAACCTAGTAACTATGTTAACATGACTAAGAATGCAAATTTGTAGTTTTAGATAGCAAATTAGCGACAAATAAGAATAGGCCAATATTATCTAAACCTATGTTTGGCTATACGGATCCGCCTAAAAATTTGTAAACTGGATGCGGTGTACTAAAAGATTTTTTTGTTTGTTCAAATCAAATAAAATATTCAAAAACAACGGTCATCATTCCAAATATAAAAAAGTTGGAGTAAAAAAAAATCAATTCTTACACATAATTTTTAAAATCAATATTTTTAACAAATTAAATTCTATAAAAAAGCAGTTCAAATCTAAAGATTAAGAATATATGAGATAGTTGTGATTCCGAGCACGATGTATTATCCTTATTGTTTTCATTCTTATGAATATAACATAAGAATTCTAATTGGTACGGTATTTTAATTTCTATAATTGTTTTTTTTTTTTTTTTTTAATTTCTATAATTTCTATAATTGTTGAGCATTGTTTGCAATTTTTAAATTTATATGACCTCAACTTTACAATTTAAATTTATTAAAAACTCACTAAAGCTCATTAGAGAAGTAGTGGTGTATTGTCAACTTAAGTTTGTTAAACTCATAACTTTATAAATTCACCAAACTTTGGTTTTTGTCTTCTTTTGGCAAATTAATACTATTTAACTTTTGGATTAAGATATAAAAGGTGACAATTATTCTTTGTGTACTAGATAATTAATTGTTTCTTTCTATAGTTCCTGTTTGTCTCTCCATATATAAATACTAAATTATTGTTTCGGAAAGTTTTTGTTATTTTATTCATAATTCTTTGTCTACAATTGAATTAACATACTAATATATAAAATAAATCATGGATTGATCCGCAGTAACACGAAAACAATGGTAGTGGAAAGTGGAAACAATTAGATTTTACATATTTTCTTGACTTAACCGTAATAACAGATATAAATTAATTTTCGTATACCTACAAGATATATTTTTTAAAAATGTATTGTTGTATCAAATTTAGATTTAATACAATGATTCCTTGTAAGCACATTTGAATTAGTAGAACTAGTGAAGTACATTATATTTAAATAATATTGGGGACCAAGTACTATTATTAATTTTTGGATAAGGTCTTTTTAGTTTTATAATGTACTATTAGAGTGTATATAACGGTTGCTTATGATTGAGGAACAAGCAATTGCTACAGATCATTCCCCCATTAACTCATTTTTATTATTATTACTCAACAATTCACCACCTTTTCTATATTATTATTATCCATAACATAATCTATGTCATATTATTCATTATCAGCTCTGTGTTTCCTTTTTACTACTAATATGTAGCCACCTTTCTTTATATAAAGTTAATTACAATTAGGAGGTTTCATGCATCTTTTCATAAATATATAAAGAATACATAGCATACATAAATACGGCATTGCAGATTTCTGATCATTTCAACGCTTTTTAGTTGGCATTTGGGTTACCATTTTGGATTTTGTGTAGCAACACATTAAAATTTGGTTTTCATCGTTAATTCTATTAAATTGGAGCCAATTCTAGCATAAAAAGGGCTTAAAATTATTGGTCATGAGAATTATTAATTAACAATGGACCGAAAGAATGTAGTTTAAGCCTCTGAAAAAGTTTTGAAGAAAGAAATTAAGTGTGTGTTTATACTAAGATGTGTACATTGTACCTAAGTTTGTGTTTTTAAAAAACCTTCCAGAAATTTTAAAATAAAACTTTGGTTGTTGTGAATTTGTAATTCATACATGTAGGCAAATTATATGAGGGAATTGGCGTGAAAAATCTCTAGTTTATATATAAGTTATAACAATTGGGAGTTAGGACAGAAGATAAAAAAAAAAAAATTGGGAGTTAGGACTTTGATCATAACATAAACCTTTTCTTTTCTTCAGAGGGCATTTCTGAAAATAACACAAGAGAAAAGGTCTATTAGTAAAACTATTGCTATATAATACCATTCATGTAGCCATTTCCTTTCACCATACACGAAACAAAAATAATCAAAACATAACAAAAGGTTATAAGAAAATATGAAGACAGTGAAGAGTTTACCTCTTTTAGCTATGCTACTTGGTGTCATAATTGTATCCGCCGCCATCTCCACTATCTCCGTCGAGGGCCGTAAACATCAGGTAAAGAAGATTAAACCCAAACACCGTCGTCATTCCAAAAACACCCCTACCGGCTCTCCGGCACCCGCACCTTACCCGTCCACTAACGAGGGCGTTTTCAACATTATCTCCTTTGGTGCCAAGGGAGATGGAGTCTCCGACGACTCAAAGGTACGTCCATATATTTTAAACATCAACTTGATGTCGTCAAAGAAAAAATAAATGTTAGTATCTTAATTAATGTTTATATACGTTTGCGTTTGATTTTTCGTTTATATTTAGTGTCTAATGTTTTTTTTCCAAGTGAACTAATAATTACATAAAATAATCATATTAACCAAAACTGTTTTTGTAATTGTACACATAATTAATAATTGAGTGGGCAGGCATTGGTAGGAGCGTGGAAGGCGGCTTGTGAAGTTGTCGGAGGGAAGGTGGAGATTCCGGCAGGGAAACAGTTTTTGGTGAAGGCAGTGACACTGCAAGGGCCGTGTGAGGAGGAGACGGTGGTTCAAATAGAAGGAACCTTAGTGGCTCCGGAGAAAATAGGGTCATGGCCTAAGTCAAGCTTGTTTCAATGGCTTAACTTCAAATGGGTCAGTCATGTGACAATCCAAGGCTCAGGGACTCTTAACGGTCGTGGCTCTAACTGGTGGAACTTAGACACTTATCAAACTCAGGTACGCTTTATTTTTATTTAGGCCGTATACTAGGGACTTGATTCAAATTACTAGTAAAAATCACTATACTGAATTATAATCATTTACTATACTTGCAATCAAAATTAAATGTTTTGTTATATGTTCATTTGATATGTTTTGAAATTGTATTTTGAGAAATTTTTATTTTGGTTCGTTTTCTTTTTGCAGACAAGAAATAAGTATATCCCACCAATGAAACCAACGGTAAGTCTAAGCACTTTCACTAAATCATTTTATTATCGGATTTGTAAAATGTTTATTGATGGCTTATGTGAATTATTTGTATAGGCACTTAGGTTTTATGCAGCTGATAACGTGACAGTCCGTGATATAAGTATCGTGAACAGTCCACTATGCCATTTGAAGTTCGATGATTCCGACGGAGTCAAAGTCAACAACATAACGATTTCTTCACCGGAGAACAGCCCTAACACCGACGGCATCCACCTCCAGAACACACGTAACGTCGAGATTCAACACTCTAACATCGCTTGTGGTAAGTCATATTTGCTTACTTTAAATTTCATTTATTTGCTATATTAAGTAACTATATAGTTCCATAGATCATTAAAGATTAAATAAGGATTTAACATTAAAACGATTTTCTTAAGATATAAACCAGAAATTATAACTAAAAAAAGAAGATATTGTTATTACATTATGATTATTTTTCTACCATATACCATTCCATTGTCCTAGTATAGTGCGACTCTTATCATTCTGAAATTTGAAATACATATATAGAGAAATACATGTATATATAATTGAACATAGTGGTTGTCACGTTGTAGACGCCAAAGTGAAAAAAAATGTTAGGACGAAAAGATAATGTAATTTTTTCCTAAAGTATTGTAGAATAAAGAAAGGCATAAAACAGGAAAAGACATCATTGGCTTAATTAAAAAAACAACATTTAATAACGGTATAACTGTCACCAAACTAACTTTTTATGCAAACAAGCAAGCATGCAGAATGAAAAAGCTCACTTTTCTTTAATTTATTGCTAATAAATTAAGAAAGGTTACATGGTCGAGAGATTCTAAATGTTTAAATACTAAACACAAATCATATTATAATAACTTTAATAATCAACAATATGTTATATACATTCATCTATTTTGGGCAGGATTTAATTCTAAAATTTCTATTTCAATCTTTTTAATAAGCATATTTTTATATACAGGAGATGACTGTGTATCCATTCAAACTGGTTCCTCCAATGTACATATATACCACATCAATTGTGGCCCTGGCCATGGCATTAGGTATGTATACATAATAATAAATTTACAATATATTTTTTTTTTTCATTTTTTATTGATTTTTTGTTTGTTTGGTATATATTTGTTTTGGTTTGTGATCACAGCATAGGTGGACTAGGGAAAGATGAGAGTGTGGCATGTGTTTCTGATATCATTGTAGAGGATATCTCTATACAAAACACTCTTGCTGGTGTTCGAATCAAGACATGGCAGGTACATATATTCTAAATATAGAGACCACATTATAGCTTATAAAGAATGATATTATGATCCACAAGTAAATATATATGGTTCTAAAATTTGATATTATTGAAATATACAAAATAAATAAAAAAACTAAAACTAAAAGATATAAATGAGACATTTTATGAAAATTTGAGTTTCTGAGAAAACGCATTAATCAACGCAAGCCTTTCAACAAAAATTTGTGTTCAATTTTTATGTTTTGATTTGCAGTTTTTTATATACATGAATCACGTTTATGTATGGTTTAATTCAGTTATTTTTTTATTAGATTGTAAAAAAGGTTTGGTGAATGACGTGTATATTATGTTATATGTATTCGCAGGGAGGATTAGGAGTCGTCAAGAACCTAACATTTTCGAACATTCAAGTAACGGACGTGAAGGTACCGATAGTAATAGACCAATATTACTGCGACAAGTCCAAGTGTAAGAATCAGACCCGTGCTGTGTCGATTTCTGGTATCAAATACAACAACATTGTCGGTAGTTTCACGGTGCAACCAGTACGTATCGCATGCAGCAACAACGTGCCATGCATGGACGTGGATCTTATGGATATAAGGCTAAGACCTTCTGGAGGAATCAGAGGGTTACAAACTCATCAGCAACAACAAGCTTTGTGTTGGAACTCGTACGGCAAAACACAAGGGCCTTTGGTTCCTTCAAGTATTGGCTATTGCTTGAGGAAGAGTAATAATATTGGTGGTTATTATTCACAAAAAGTTTCTCGGTCCTATGACAAGATTTGCCCTTCATAAAATCTTAAATCAAAATTCAATATTTAGGTTTTCGGCTCATTAGATAAATTCTAGATCAGTAATGCCATGGACCGATTCTAGGTATCTATGTTTACTATATTTGCTATTTAATTTGTGTTTATTTTGGGAGGTCATGATGTATCCTTTTGCTTCCCTTCTGCAACTTTTTGTGGATGTGAGAAGGTGATGGCTATTATTGTATCAGCTTTTCATTTTATTCCATAGTGTTATGATGTATGATTCCAATTTCAGAGGTTTAATACTGTTTTACACATTGCTTGTAATATTTATTTAATATTAATGTTTTTTAAGATTCGTATCTAGTAGTTATCACTAATTATATTATATCGGTACTATTTCACCATCTAAATTAGTCCAATGGAGTGTGGTATGTAACGGGAAATGGTTAAGCTTTTTTAATCGTTTGTTAATATGCTAGTTGATATCTAAAAAGAAACAAGACTGTAAAGTGAATGTGCAAGCATTTCTTTTTATAAAAATTAAATTAGCAAGTTGATCATATTTATGTACGAAGAAAAGAAAATTCGAAAATGCTTCAAACAAAAAATGTGGAAATTTGGGAAATAAAATTTAAAGGGATTGAGGGAATATTCATTCACAAAACAAAAGTTGGAAGGTAAGAACTTTTAATTTCCTTAAAAGCTACAAACAAAAAAGAGTCTTATAAATGATTTATTAGTGGAGTTAGAAGTAGAACCAACTGATAGTACTTTGCCTTTAGTGGAAAGGCCACATTCTCTTCTATAATAATGCTACTAACTACGAAACCTAACTTTTAATATAACAATATTAATTATCCATCAATCACAATATAGATTGGTTGTTAAACTAAAATACATATTTATTTTTGAGCAAATCTCTATGACGTTTTTAGCAAATATATAATCGATAGGCTAGCATATCAACATAGTGTCGATCGAGTTGTAAGAAAATAAATGAATTGTTATATACTAATTCGAATGATATTTTTGATCTTCTGAAGTTAACATTAGAATGAAGTTTTTAACTAAGAAAAATCTATGACTTTGAATGTAAAACACATAACTCGAATAATGGGGATATATGAAGGTGAGAATTATAGATAAGTCATGAGTATTGAGTAATGTGAGAGACTGAGAGTCATATAGTGTCTTCACCGTCCATTAGGCTCTCTTTAATCAAAATCTTTGTCGCACGCGCATGTGATATATATATATATATATATATATATATATATATATATATATATCTTTTAAATTAGTTTCTACATATATCTTTTATCTTTTTTCCTTTCTTTTTCCTTAATTTTATAATTCTTTTTCCAAATAATTGTTATATAGTTCTTTTTCCAACAAACATTATAACTTTTTTCTATTAAGTTAAGGAGTTCACTTTTTCAATGCAACTTCATATAACATGGAGGAACATGATTAATTATTTGTATTCATCAATGATGAACAACTAGTTTACCTTCAACACATATTTGCAAGGAAATAAAACATGAGAGATTCTTGGAGGTCCATGTTCGAGCATACTCTGGTTTCGGGTCTAAGACCATCTTTAACGGTAATTGCTTAGCATAAATCTTAGGTAATAAATAATTAAAATTAAATGAAAAATCAATGTTAATCTTAATAAACGTTTCTTAACTAAGAGACTTTTCTTAGGCTAAGAGGCGACACGTGGCGCGTGTAAAAACAAAAGAAGGAAAAAAATTGATTGTGTTTATCTCTCTTCTTTTCGTTTTTTTATCTCTCTGCTACTACGAAACCGAAGACGAAGAAAATTCTGGCAAATCTTCGATTTAAAATTGTTAATTTAATTCACTTTTAAATTAATATTTTTTTTCCTAAGAACCACAAGTTAAGAGCCTACCATTAAAGACACATAAAAACTAAAAACAAAAATACAATCTCTTAACTCTAAATTTTAGAATTTTAAATACTAAACTATTGTTAAGAGTCAATCTTAAGAGCCTACCAATAATGTTGCTCTAAAGAGAATATTTACAGTTCAAAATTTTCTGATAATCAAAAAAGTTATATACATGCACTATAAAAGATTTATTTTGAAACACCTAACTTGAGTATTACCTAGGCCTGGGCATATGGGTAACCCGTTCGGGTTCGGGTAAAACCCGTTCGGGTTCGGGTTAAATGGGTAATGAACTTACGACCCATTCGGGTATTTCTAAATATTCGGTTCCGGTCCGGTTCGGGTATCGTCGGGTTCGGGTCGGTCTGGGTAATAAGTATGAGAACAAAAAAAAACCCGAAAAATTAAGGTCCCCATTGGGTTCGGGTCTAAATGGGTAAAATTACCCATAAACCCGAAATATGTCTCCATTACCCAAAATTTTAAACCATTTTACATGCACAAAACATCAAATAGAGAGAATAGAACATAAACATGACATCTAAATCCAATCCAAAATCACAATGATTAATACTTAAGAGTTAAGAGTAGAGAATCCCGAATATGAATATGAAAACATAAATCCGATTATCCAAATATCAAAAACATTGAACTAGATAGAAATAGAAGTAGGATTGTAGCCTTGTTGGAAGTTGATAGATGGGTGATGACTGAAAAATACCTCTCATAAGCTCATCTTCCACCATAATATAAGACTATATGACTATATCTATATACGTATATAAACACATATATCTTCAGTTTCGGGTTTATGGGTACCCTATATGGGTAATGGGTAATCCCCGACCCGAACCGATACTCACGGGTTGACTAATACTCTACCCAATGAGGTAATTTTCGAATACCCTAACCCGCCCCAACCCGGTTTTTTCGGTTCGGGTATCAGATTCGGTTTTTTTGCCCAGACCTAGTATTACCAATCATATAGTGTCCACGGTCCATTGGACGGTGAACAAAATATGATATCCTTTACTCGACTCGATAGTACAGTTTAAGAAAATACATTTGTCCGTTTATAATGGGCTTTTCGAGTTGAATCCAAGCCCATCCATTTTAATGCTGTAATTTTAGTTTAGGAAGAATAATCTGTCCCGCGTTAAAAAAAAAACAGAATCGAAATTACTTCAGAGTTTCACGTGAAACTCACGTGTTCGGTAAACGTAGTTGAAACCAGGGGAGTAAAAAAAAAACCTAAAGGAGTCTCATTTCTGGCTCGAAAGGTGCGAGAATCGCTGATAGAGAAGAGAGATAGACTCACACAGGTACGTAAATCTCCACGCTTTCGATCTCTCTGTGTATCAGATCAATCTAATCATGTTAAAGTTTTGATTTCTTCTTCCAATCTCAATCTGGGTCTACTTAAATCAATCGAAATCGTTTACTTTATTTCAAGCTAATTCTTCTATTAAAGTTTCGATTTTTGTTGTTGTTGTTGTAGTATTGATTCGCGTGCTCTGTCTTAAGCTTGAAGGGGGAAGAACATGGCAGACCAAGAATCAGATAAGAACATTGAGATTTGGAAGATTAAGAAGCTAATCAAAGGACTTGAAACCGCAAGAGGTAATGGAACAAGTATGATCTCTCTTATTATGCCTCCTAGAGATCAAGTAGCTCGTGTTACTAAGATGCTTGCTGATGAATACGGAACCGCCTCAAACATCAAGAGTCGAGTGAATCGTCAATCTGTTTTATCTGCTATTACTTCTGCTCAACAAAGATTGAAGCTTTACAACAAAGTTCCTCCCAATGGTCTTGTTCTGTATACTGGAACCATTGTTACTGATGATGGTAAAGAGAAGAAAGTGACTATTGATTTCGAGCCTTTTAAACCGATTAATGCTTCGTTGTACTTGTGTGACAATAAGTTCCACACCGAGCCTTTGAATGAGCTTTTAGAGTCTGATGATAAGTTTGGTTTCATTGTTATGGATGGAAATGGAACTTTGTTTGGTACTTTGAGTGGGAATACTAGAGAGGTTCTTCACAAGTTCACTGTTGATCTTCCTAAAAAGCACGGAAGAGGAGGACAATCTGCGTTGCGATTTGCTCGTCTTAGGATGGAGAAGAGACATAACTATGTGAGGAAAACCGCGGAGCTTGCCACTCAGTTTTACATTAATCCAGCTACTAGTCAGCCTAATGTCTCTGGTCTTATACTTGCTGGTTCAGCCGATTTCAAGACCGAGCTAAGTCAATCAGAACTGTTTGATCCTCGTCTTCAAGCTAAGATATTGAATGTGGTTGATGTTTCTTACGGAGGAGAGAATGGTTTCAACCAAGCAATTGAGCTGTCTGCTGAGATTCTATCTAATGTCAAGTTCATACAAGAAAAGAAGTTGATTGGGAAGTACTTTGAGGAGATCAGTCAAGACACCGGGAAATATGTTTTCGGTGTTGATGATACTTTAAAGGCTCTAGAAATGGGTGCTGTTGAGACTCTTATAGTGTGGGAGAATCTGGATATCAATAGGTATGAGTTAAAGAACAACACAACCGGGGAAATCGTGATTAAGCATTTGGGAAAAGATCAAGAGAACAACCAAAGCAATTTCCATGATGCAGAGACCAATGCAGAGCTAGAAGTTCAGGAGAAGATGCCTCTGCTTGAATGGTTTGCTAACGAGTATAAACGTTTTGGTTGTACACTTGAATTTGTGACTAACAAGTCCCAAGAAGGATCACAATTTTGCAGAGGCTTTGGCGGAATCGGTGGATTGTTGCGATACCAGCTTGATATGAGGACGTTCGACGAATTATCAGATGGTGAAGTTTATGAAGATTCCGATTAAGTAAAGAGAAGATGTGGTTTAAGATCTGAAGAAGGATTTGAAGTTTGGGGAAAACAGAAAGACTAAGAACTTTTGTTTGTTTTACTTTGTCTCTCTCTATTATCTTCCATTTTCATGTTGCCTCTTTAAGTTTTTCTGAAACAGTTATGTTAAAATGAATGAAAATTTTTGAGCTTCTTTAGACTATATTTTGAAGACATTTCGTATTGGCTATTTACACAGCATGAATATTGCCATAACAGTAGTATTAACGGTAATATTAGTCTAATTCTGTCACATTGAGAATCAACATTAATAGTGTTACCTTAAGTAAATGTTCTCAGAATTCAGAAACTGGAAAGTAGCCGTTGGATTATTGGAAAAGAAAGGAAACGAAAAGGGATACAAATAGCAAAATCTTTGTCTAAGATTTCACAATCTTTTGTGTTCTTTCTTTATATTGTTTTCTGAGAAAATCTGAGATGAATCCAAAAAGATGTGCAGCTTGCAAATATCTGAGAAGAAGATGTCCAAAAGATTGCATTTTCTCACCATATTTCCCTCCAAATGATCCTCAAAAATTTGCATGTATCCACAGAATCTATGGTGCTGGTAATGTTTCCAAAATGCTTCAGGTATATATATCTACACATCTTTTAGTGTATCATCTATTCTAAAATCCTACATAAGATCACGTTTGTGCATATATATAAGTAAGTATTCATGGTTGGATTTTGGTGATCCTTTTTTGACAGCAACTTCCTGATCAGACAAGAGCTGAAGCAGCGGAATCTTTGTGCTTTGAAGCAAAATGCAGAGTAGATGATCCTGTTTATGGTTATGTTGGCATTATTCATTTTCTTCAAACTCAAATTCAGCAAACTCAGAATCAGTTGGCCAAAACTCAAGCTGAGATTGCTGTTGCTCAAACCAAACTTTAGCCAAACCCATAATTCTGATTTTATGTAATATCTCAGTTTCATCTACATTTCTACATGTTCTGTTTCTGATTTGAGTGTTCTCTCTTTTAATAAAAGATAGTTCTTTAAATTCCACTAACTTTGATCTATCAAACTTCATTATATGATTCAAGGCCATTAGCTACACTAAAAAAAGTGTTTCTTGAAACAGAAAATGTAAACAAGTTTGAATAGTTTATTATTATTACAAATCCATAACTCAGGACTACAATTATACAGTCTTCACCGATATTTTGAGAATCATAATGTAAAAAAAGAGAAAAGAGAAAAAATGGAAAAACATGAAACAAAGTTGATTTCAAAAGTTACATTCACTTCCAGTTGTTGGCAACAATGTCAGCCAAGTCAACAACTCTCTGTGAGTAACCCCATTCATTATCATACCAAGCAATCACCTTAACCATATCATCTCCCATAACCATAGTGAGTGATGAATCAATGGTCGTTGAATAATCTGAGCATCTGAAATCAACAGACACTAGTGGCTCATCGCAGACGTCGAGTATACCTTTAAGCTCTTTCTCAGCGGAATCTCTGAAAGCAGCGTTAACTTCCTCAGCAAAAGTTTTCTTTGAGACCTGCACAACGAGATCAACCACTGATACGTTTGGTGTTGGTACACGGAGAGCAATTCCGTTGAGTTTTCCCTTGAGGTTAGGGAGCACAAGAGCCACGGCTTTAGCTGCTCCTGTAGATGTAGGAACAATGTTCAAAGCAGCTGCTCTTGCTCTCCTTAGATCACGGTGACTTGCGTCTAGCAACCTCTGGTCACCGGTGTAAGAATGAGTAGTTGTCATTGTACCCTTTATGATACCTGAAATGTTACAAACACATTAAAAACCGTTTCATGGTCGGAAAAGACGAAAGAGGAAGCGCAATTATTGCTTACCGAATTTCTGGTCAAGAACTTTGACAAAGGGAGCAAGACAGTTAGTAGTGCAAGATGCATTGCTGATGATTGGTTCATCATGACTGTAAGCATCAGCATTGACACCAACGACGTAAGTTGGAATATCTCCTTTTCCTGGAGCGGTAATGATAACCTTCTTGGCTCCAGCTTCAATGTGTTTTCCTGCACCTTCTCTATCAACAAACACTCCGGTTCCTTCGATGACAATGTCAATTCCTAACTCCCTAAGATATCAACCAAAGCTGATTCAAATGCTTATCTAGGACATCAGATAAAGACTGATCACATAAGTGGTTTTTCGACTTACTTCCAGGGGAGAAGAGACGGGTTTCGGTTAGAAACAACTTGGATGATCTTTCCATCAACAGAGATTGCAGTCTCTCCAGAAGGTTTGACATCAGCATCAAAGATTCCGAGAGTAGAGTCGTATTTAAGGAGATGCGAAGCCTGCTTGACGCCACCAGTGTCATTAATGGCAATGATGTCAAGAGGAGAGTCCTTGCGACCATGCCAACATCTCAAGAAGTTCCTCCCAATCCTACCAAATCCATTGATGGCCACCTTAAGCTTGGCCTCAGTCACACCTTTCCTGTATCCACCACTGCTTCCCATCTGTCACACAAACGGAACCATCCAAATAGTTTAAAATAACGTAAGAAACAGAAGCAAACGACCAAACTCTGATCACAGAATTTATACGATTTATCGATAGATATGCTTATAGGTGCAAACATTTCATATAGTTGATGATCATCATAAGGCAGAACACGCAAGCTACATATAATGTTGGAAGAAAACAGAGAACTCACTGCAGAAGTCTGGAAGGATACGATGGAAACAAACTCATCGGAAGAAAGTTTCTTGCCGAAGGGAAGAGAAGCAGAGGAGCTTCGCAATCCTGAGAATTCAGTGAAACCCTGAAAACAAAACACAACATTTGCTTAACTTGTGTAAGAGAAACCATAAAGAAGAAAGAAGAAAGAAGAAGAGGAAGAAGAAGGAAGGTACCTTGGGCACAGAGAAAGTAACCGAAGCCATGGTGACCAGAAAGAATCCAAGTTAAGGTTGTAGTAGACAGAGAGCAAAAAGGATTGGTGAAGCAGAGATTGGTATTATAGGATAAAGGATTGATGACTTGGAGACAAATAAGATTAGATTATGGATAGATTTCTTACTCATTTCTATGGTTGTGGTTATATCACTCTCTTGTCGCTTCATGTTTCTATGATCACACATTCACAAAGTCTCTCCTTCACCTCTTTTTTAGATTTTGGGCCTTTCATTTGGGCTTCTTCATTTGTGTGTGTGGTCACGGTTATATAAGGAGGATAAGGCTGGTCTCCATTTGTCTGCCTTTCAAAGTTCAGACTTTTTAGAGCAGGGAATCTTATGAATGCAAGACCATCATATGATTGTGAAACATATTACTACATCTATTGTCTTGTCTGCAGCATACAGTACCCTTTCACAACCTGCCAATACTAATAACCACTTGATCAATCTCATTTATAGTTCCAATTGTATCAATGAGGCGAGAGAGAAACTTATAAGATTGGCTGAGAGAAGACTGGCCAAAAGATTAAGGAAAGCTGATTTAGGTAAACCACAAAGAACTTGTTTGCCTTTTTAGTTGGACAGAGAGTCTATATGCCTGTACTGAAAATAATGAGAATACATCATCTGTACTTAATGTTGCTAATGCCTGATTTCGCAGTTCTACATACCCGTAAAGCGTTTAAGTATCATTACAAATATGCCATGGACATCAGAGACAAAGCTTACAACAACTAACAAAGAAATCTACACATTTCATACAATGATGAGACAGACAAATTACTCTGTTAGGAACTACCTCTACACACGCCTTCAAAATCCTGCAACTCCAACAGCTCGAGGGCATAGAAACATAAATGCTGATTTTTTCATGTTCTCCGTTATGTCACTTGCTCTCTGTTCAAAACTACTTCCCATACGTCTAATTGAATCCAAAGCTACAGCTAGTTATTCCCAATTTTAAAGGTACATAGTCCTAGCACAGATCATACTATGAGAGGAAACTCAATGAGGCTTACAGTCAAAGATCAAAGGATCATTAATCAACAACAGCAAAGAGTCTTTACATTCGACAGAAATCTGGAAACCATAATCAGACCCTGAGAATCTGCAGCTTATTAGAGAAGGCAATGGCAACCCAATCAGGCTGGGAAGATGACCACTGAAGCTGCTCAACCTCAGCACCGGCCGTATAAGCCAGAATCGGATCCAAACCACCTTCAACATGCTGTCCCATTGAAGAGATATCCCAGATCAACGCCTGAGAATCATCTCCAGCAGTGCATATATGGGAAGAGCTATGAGGAGCCCAAGCTATAGCATTGACACTAGCCTGATGTCGCTGAAGCTCCACGACAGGAAGAGCCGGAAACCGAATATCCAACACAACAATTTTAGCACTGCCCATAATAACAGTAGCCATATACCTCGGATCCTGCTTGTTCCAACTAAGCCGCACCAAAGGAGTACTCGGCTCACCACTCTCATAGATAATCGTCGAATGCTCCTTATCACGGAGATCGAACACTCTAACGGAACCATCCTCTGAAACAGAGGCGAATACACCAACTCCACCCCAAGCAATGTCGTAAACCTCTTTATCATGAGCAATAAGCTGAGTATCAACAACTTCACGCTCTATATCCCAAATAGTACAAGTCGTATCAATACTAGAAGTCCCAATTCGTCTAGGCTCAGCTTCATTCCAATCAAATGAAGTAATTGGACCACTAAACTCACTATTCTTATCACTATTAAGACAAGACTTAAGCTCAACACGAGATTCATCATCAGAGATTCGCCATAAACGAAGAAAATCACTCGAAGTAGCTAAAAGATCGGGTCTTTGACATTCTTTATCGGGAATGAAACTGGTTTTCGTTGGTGGGTAAGGATGCTCGAAGCAAAGATTTGGATCTGATCGAATCTCACCATTTGATTCGTCAAGCTGAACGATTTCGACTCGATTCGGATATTGCTCGATGAGGCTTGTGATTGCGAGTCGATACTTCTTGTCTCGACGAATGCTCCAGTTCATTGCGTAGATCTGCCATGGTGCTTCGTATGTGTAAATCTCTGATCTTTTTGATTGCTCATCGGAACCATTTTGGATTTGATCGCTGCTCGTTACCATCTTTGCTTCAATGATGATGCATAAACCCTAGATTCCTCTGCTTCGTCTTCTTCTAATGGATATATTCGACTAAACGACGACGTTTAATCAATTAGTGGGTTTTATTATTGGAAAAAAAAATCAATTTCAATCATTTCGGTTAACTTTGGTACATTTCGGTTCATTTCAGTAGTTTTGATTTAGTTTCGGTTAATTTTAACGTAACTTTCATAAAATTTCGATTTAATTTTGGTAATATCGATAACTTTGCTTAAATTTAACACGAAATTTCGATAATTTGGTTCCGAACCGAATCGGTTATCGAAGCATTCCATTCCTCTGGCCAATTGGTTTAACACAATAAACCGAATTAGTCAAATTCAATTATGGTTCGGTTCAGTTCGGTTTATAAGTCCCCGCCTAGCTTCATCATCATCCATCCACACACACGATCAATCGAGGAGAGAGAGATTATCGTTAATCCATGGCGGCTCCGTCGCCGTCTTCGCCACCAAACCTCCTCTCTCCGCCACCATTCCGATCTCCCGAAGCTTCTTACTTTCTCCGAACCTGTTCAAATTTCTCTCAATTGAAACAAATTCACACCAAAATCATCAAACACAATCTCACTAACGATCAATTACTTGTTCGTCAGCTCATAAGTGTTTCTTCTTCCTTCGGAGAAACCCAGTACGCTTCTCTCGTCTTTAATCAACTTCAATCTCCTTCTACGTTTACTTGGAACCTTATGATACGATCTCTCTCACTCAATCACAAGCCTCGTGAAGCTCTTCTTCTCTTTATCCTTATGCTCTCTCATCAATCACAGTTTGATAAATTCACTTTCCCTTTTGTTATCAAAGCTTGTCTCGCTTCTTCTTCTCTTCGTTTAGGTACTCAAGTTCATGGTTTAGCTATTAAAGCTGGGTTTTTTAATGATGTGTTCTTCCAAAACACTCTTATGGATCTTTACTTTAAGTGTGGGAAACCAGATTGTGGACGTAAGGTGTTTGATAAAATGCCTGGGAGAAGTATTGTTTCATGGACTACTATGCTTTATGGTCTTGTATCTAATTCTCAGTTAGATTCTGCAGAGATTGTATTCAATCAAATGCCAATGAGAAATGTTGTTTCATGGACTGCGATGATCACTGCTTATGTTAAGAACCGTAGACCCGATGAGGCATTTCAGCTCTTTAGGAGAATGCAGGTTGATGATGTTAGGCCTAATGAGTTTACGATTGTTAATTTGTTGCAAGCTTCTACTCAACTTGGAAGCTTGTCTATGGGAAGATGGGTTCATGATTATGCTCATAAGAACGGTTTCGTGCTTGATTGTTATCTTGGAACCGCTTTGATCGATATGTATAGCAAATGTGGAAGCTTGCAGGACGCAAGGAAAGTCTTTGATGTGATGCAGAGTAAGAGTTTAGCGACTTGGAATTCGATGATTACTAGCTTGGGGGTACATGGATGTGGTGAAGAAGCTTTGTCTCTGTTTGAAGAGATGGAAGAAGAAGCAAGTGTAGAACCAGATGCTATCACTTTCGTCGGTGTCTTATCCGCTTGTGCAAATACCGGGAATGTAAAGGATGGTTTGAGGTACTTCACACAGATGATCCAAGTTTACGGTATCTCACCTATTCGGGAACATAATGCTTGTATGATCCAATTGTTGGAGCAAGCGCTCGAAGTGGACAAAGCTTCTGACTCCATGGATTCTGATCCAAACTTCAATTCTTCATTTGGTAATGAATACACGGATCGAGTGAATGAAAGGCACGAAACTCCGAGCCAGCATCAGATTATGTTCTCCAAGTGGGATACAGGCCGATTTTGAAGGTTCAGTGTCTCTTGACATATATTTTTTTCGTCTATTAAACAGATTCATTGATCATCTTTGTAACTATAAAAGAAAAGCTCCTGCAAAAGTAGTGTTATGTCATGTACTTGTAAAAGGAATGGAGTTTAGATATGCTTAAGCAGTGAAAATAGTAAATTCGATTTGTAATAGTGTCATGTATTTTGTAAACAGATTCAAATATCTTTTTACATTATGATATTCTCAAAAGATTGGTCTCTTGATAATTATAAACTTGAGTCAAACTTGTTTACATTTTGTGTTTGATGAAACACTTTGATAGTGTAGCTACTGGCCTCTTGATTATGAGTTTGATATATAAGTTAGTTGAATTTTAAGAGGATCAGTATCTGTTAAGTAGACGCAATCAGAAACAGAAAGGCAAAGGAAATTTTATTGAGAATTTATTGATGAAACTGAGAGATATTACATATAATCAGAATTATGGGTTTGGCTAAGATTGGTTTGAGCAACAGCAATCTCAGCTTGAGTTTTGGCCAACTGATTTTGAGTTTGCTGAATTTGAGTTTGAAGAAAATGAATAATGCCAACACAACCATAAACAGGATCATCTACTCTGCATTTTGCTTCAAAGCACAAAGATTCCGCTGCTTCAGCTCTTGTCTGATCAGGAAGTTGCTGTCAAAAAAGGTTCACCAAAATCCACCATGAATACTTACTTAGTACTTATATATAAGCATAAAAGTGATCTTATATAGGAATTTAGAATGATGATACACTAAAAGATGTGTAGATATAATACCTGAAGCATTTTGGAAACATTACCAGCACCATAGATTCTGTGGATACATGCAAATTTTTGAGGATCGTTTGGAGGGAAATATGGTGAGAAAATGCAATCTTTTGGACATCTTCTTCTCAGATATTTGCAAGCTGCACATCTTTTTGGATTCATCTCAAGATTTTCTCTGAAAACAATATAAAGAAAGAACACAAAAGATTGTGAAATCTTAGACCAAAGATTTTGCTATTTGTATCCCTTTTCGTTTCCTTTCTTTTCCAATAATCCAACGGCTACTTTCCAGTTTCTGAATTCTGAGAACATTTACTTAAGGTAACACTATTTATGTTGATTCTCATTGAGACTGATTAGACTAATATTACCGTTAGTATTACTGTTATGGCAATACTCATGTTGTGTAATTCTCTTTAGAGATAATAAATTGCACTACTAACTGTCTCGCTCCCTTTATCAAAGTTCTAGACCAGAAATTTGGTATTTCCTTCCATAGTTCCGCTTCCACTTTCGTCCTCTCGGATCAATGAAACGGTATTTAATGTGGTTGTAATATTTGCAGGTATCATAAAGGGTTCAATGACGAATACTCGTCTTTAGATCGGTGACCAGAGGTTGTTAGACGTTTATTATCGAGCTCTAAGGAGAGCAAGCACAGCTGTTTACATTATGATTCTCAAAATATTGGCGAGACTGTATAATTATATACCTGAGCTATGGATTTGTAATAACAATAAACTCGATTCAAACTTGTTTACATTTTGTGCTTTAAGAAACACTTTTCACAGGTCTCAAACAAAAAAATGAATATACAGAGATGTTATGTGATACAATTTGGTTCTTGCCAGAATACACAGTCGTGGGATGGTTTCCTAAGAACAGATTTTTGCTACTCAAACATATGTGATAAGAGAAGAATGTACATGAGATTCTGTCTCATGCTATCCGTTTTAACTACCTACTTAAGCCTTTGAAGACATGGTCTTTTCAAGCATTCTTGTTCCTTCTTCTTCCATGGCTAGTTTGCTCCATCCTGATCCTCTCATGGACAAAATCTTAGCCCGTTCGAGTCCATTTCCTCTAAACCCTGTAATCTTCGAAGATACCATTGGCATCACTAGAATCGCAGATGCATTTATAGAGTCTTCGCCAAAGCCCAATGCTGCTAAACAAGCAGCCTGCAACACAATGAAGTAAGGAGTTTTAACTAGTACTGTTGTATAAGCTCACAAATGAAGATGCTTTTACTTGTGGGTACCTTTGTCTTGGCAATTAAATCAGCAGCTTTCATATACATTCCTTGTACAACTACTCTTGTGTCTTTGCTGTGTCCATCTTCAGATGATTGTGGCATCAACCTGTTATGAAGATCAAAATGGTTTTAGTAGCTAAATCATGGAAAACTTCTGAACTTTTCAATGAGAACGCGTTTTTTACCTGTCCTCCTCAGTTGGCACACTCGAGGACACGATAGAGTCAAGAGATGATGAATTATCTCTTGTCTCATTGCCTCTTGTATCATCAGGTGCTAGTAAAGAAATGCCTATGAATACACACATCATTCCTAATATGAACATTGTTGTTCTCAGTGCATCGAAAACCTGTTTAAGGAAGAAGAAAATTATCTAAGCCTAAAACCCATACCATTCTTGACAAAATGATCAAACTAGATCCGTTTTAGCTCCAAGATAAAGAAAAGAGAGGAAATGCATCACAATGTAGTTAATAGATGAACCTGAAACTCTTGAAAGTAGATGAATCCTGTACATATGGAGAAGAAAGTCCAAGCAATCTGAAACATTGGAACTATGAGAATTGCATCATATAGAGACAATCCTTCATTTAATCTTGTCATCTGCAACAGAGCACATGAAAGACGTTTTTACTTCAGTAACTTTATCGTCTCAACGGCACAACAAAGCACCAAAACTTTCAGTAACTTTACGGCTTTTACCCAGAATCCGGCTGTACTAAGAAATAAAAGAAGCATAGAGTATGTGAACCAGCTGTGCAATTGATAGCTACTAGACATGGCCAATCTCAGCAAGTTTGAGCTGCAAAATGAAACTCAAATTTAGCACCTTGATCTGTCTAATTTTCAAGTAAAGCCAGTAGATTTGCAAACTCACAGTGACTTGGCAAATAAAACCGAACATGATCCTATAGCACCCGAGACCACAGCATATGAGAAAGGAAGCAGCATTTTCCAATAGGAGCTAATTTCTTGTCCAGGTATAGATATCAAAACTTCTCCCTTCCTGAATATTTCGATTAAACTGATCACAAAAGAGGTCGGATAGTTGAAAATAGTCAAGGAACAATTTCAAATGCAAGACTCACCTATAGAGGAAATGGTGCACAGCTACTATTAAAATCAAAATCCCACAGTAGACCAAGAATGTTACATTGCTATATTTCTCTGCCAACTGTTCGGGTGTGAAAACTGAGCACAGAAGACTTCCATTAGGTCACGCTTTGTGAAAAAACGATAGACCAAAACCTATCTGTTCAAGAATAGTTACCTGGTGACTGGTGATTACCAAAAGCGACAAGGAAAACGTTTCCAAGAACTATAAAGGCTGTAGCAACGAGTACTCTGTGACCAAGGCATACCACAGATATTAGAAGAGCAGAGATTTAGTTAATCGGTAATGCATGTTAAAGATTGCAGCGAGGTTGTTTGCTTACTTGACAGTCACCATTTTGTTCAATACAACATAAGCAAATGCTATGTTGGAGACAAATTGAATAGATCCAAGAGCTGCTAGAAGGGACTGCAAAGAGAGTGCGTCAAGGTAAGAAAACCAAAGAGAAACCAATGAAATCTAACAAATCGCGCAAATAGGCAGTGTCAAGCAGATCATTCTACCTGAGCAGCATAACCAAACGAAATGAAATTGAGGCAATTCCCAAGAAGAAAGACTAAGATCCCTGTAAAGATTCCAACAACATTGGAGACTCAGAACTAGCTTCATAAAAAACTTGCAAAGGGGAAAAAGGTTTAAGACCAGAGCATACCAACTCTCCAAGTCTGAAAATGTATAATTGGCTTCAATGGCGTCTTTCCTCCGCCATCTTGTAGAGCTAACCTTTCTCTCTGATAATACACAAAGTAAGAAAATACGCTTCACGTGACGAGATCAAATCTAATCAAACAGTAGTGGCTGAGGCAAATGCAGACCTCATTATGTCCCAATTTGAGAAGGTTTGTGCCAAAATTAATAGCAACACTTCCAAAAATGTTGATGAAAGCTCCGATGACCCACTCTCCCATTGGTAATTAAAAAATGAAGATGGCTTAGTTAAAGGATCATCTAAAGCTGCAAACTTGAAGCAATCAACTAGCTCAGGCCCTCATTTTAAATCTTAGCCTTCAAAATCTACAAGAGAAGAAGCATAAAACTCAAGAATGGCTATTTGATGGTTATTGCAAACACAAGCTTGTAGCTTTAACAAGGCAATAAAGAGAAACAGAGATCAAATGGACAAAATTGAAACAAGGGTTTTCGGAGATTAGCAAAGAGAAGGCAAAACCTGCGAAGAGACGATAGAGGAGCTTCAGATCCAGATCGATTCTAACAGAACATGCAGATTACAAATTCTCTCCCAACAAAGAAAACAATTTTTTTTTTTTCCTTTATGAGATTTAAGCTTTACCAAACAAAATGGCGTCGAATAAAAGGAAGAAGAATAAAAATTGGATCTTTCCCCAAAAAATTGAAAATTCTAAAAGTTTTGATTTTTCGTAAGGAAGACCCAATCGCCGATATAGCTTGAAGACGACGATGGCGATTTTAGATGATAAAAATGACGTAGTGGTTGGGCCCTTTTGTGTTGTTAAATCTGTCTTCTTGCTGCTCCTCACGTTTTGTTTTGGGCTTTTTACCATTTTTACTCTCTTCTCTCTCTCGTTGAGAGACACTCAATGGCCAAATAGCAACCTTTGGTGGGCGGGTAAAAGTTGACTCTTTTGACCTTTCATTTTCATTGAATCTCTCTGGAGAAAAAAATGGATTTTTCTGATGAAGAAGACGAAGACTGGTTTGGTTCTCGTTTCAACGACGGTGTTAATGAAGAAGAAGAAGAGGGTTTTGTGTTTTACGACGATGTTGAAGAAAAAGAAGGAGAGGGTTTTGCGTCTGATTTCTATAAGGCTGGTTCTGATTGGTCTTGTTTGGTGGAAGATGAAGAGACCGTTTCTTCTTCTGAGAAGAAGAAACTGAAACAATCGAACTTGTTTCAGATTTGGGGTTTACAAGAGAATTCTCCTGATACAACGAAGAAGATGAAACAAACTGATTTGTTTCAGAGTTGGGGTTTGCAAAAGCCTTCTCCTTTCACTTCCCCTGCTTCGAATTCGTCTAAAAAGACGACGAGTGGTCTTGGAAAGAGACGTAGAGACTCTTCGTTTAGCAATGACTCGCCTCGACCATGTCCTTTCTACAAGAAACTTCCAGGTCTCTCTCTTATTCTTCTTTGCATTCATACACATAAATGTGCTTCTCTCTTTGTCAATTTCATGAAGTTTATGTGATTGATTATCTGTAGGAACACCGTTCACTGTGGATGCTTTTCGCTATGGTTGTATTCAAGGATGTTCTGCTTATTTCCTTACTCATTTTCACGCTGATCATTACATTGGTCTCACTAAAGCTTGGTCTCATGGTCCTATTTACTGCTCCTCTCTTACTAGTCGTCTTCTTAGACTTAGTCTCTCTGTCGATCCCTCGTAAGTTCTTTGCTAATGCTATCTATGTCTAAGGACTTGCTTCTTCAAATTTGTGTATTGAGTGTCTGTGTGGTGAATTCTGTGTGCAGGTTTATTCATCCATTGGAGCTAGACGTTGAGTACACTATTAATGGGATTAAAGTCACTTTGATTGAAGCTAATCATTGCCCTGGTGCTGCTCTTATTCACTTTCGTCTCTTAGATGGAACGTGTTATCTGCATACCGGAGATTTCAGGGCTTCTAAACAGATGCAAACGCATCCCCTCCTCTTTAACCAACGAGTACATGTTCTGTATTTGGATACAACTTATTGCAATCCGAGATACAAGTGAGAGCAAGAATTTTTCAATTAGTAGAACTTATGATGGATTTGATGGAGCGTGCTTGTAATGTTTGTTCCATCTTTTTTGATGGTTCTGTTTAGATTCCCCTCTAAAGAAGATGTGTTAAGCTATGTTGTGAGAATCACAAAAGATTTCCTCAGGAAGCAACCGAAGACTCTGATTGTGGTTGGTTCTTATAGCATCGGAAAAGAATGTGTTTATCTTGCTATTGCCAAAGCTCTTGGGGTAAAAAAATTGCTGACATTCTCTTTCCGTTTTAGCCATCTTTTCTGGAATTGTATATTCTAACTTTGTGGTTTTTCAGGTTAAGATATTTGCAAATGCTTCAAGAAGACGGATACTGCAATCTTTTGGTTGGGATGATATTTCGAAGAATCTTTCTACAGATGGGAAAGCAACATGTCTTCACGTTCTGCCTATGTCATCACTGAAAGTTGAAGTATTTCTCTAACACCTTAAGTATTCTTATATAGCTTCTCAATGTCAGCCTCTCATAATCTTATCTATGTGCTGATAACTTCTCTGAAGAGACTCGACGAACACTTGGAAGTTTATAGAGAACAGTATGGAGCAGTTTTGGCATTTAGGCCTACAGGTGAATTGTTTGCCTTGCTGTTCTTTTTAAGGTTTTTTAAAAAACTTATGGTACGAAAATTAAGTTTTCAGGTTGGACTTACTCCGAGAAGATAGGTGAACACCTTGATCTGATAAAACCGACTTCTAGGGGAAAAATCACCATTTATGGTAAGTTTGATTTTTGTAATATGCACATAGCTCTAGGAGCTTCAATGATATATTATGCACATAGCTCTAAGTATCATGATGATACTATGATGACTCGTATTGGCCAATTTGTCTGACTGTTTTTAAATATTTATCTTTCTAGGGGTTCCATATAGTGAGCATTCAAGCTTCACAGAACTTCGTGAGTTTGTTCAAGTGCGTACCAGGAACTTTGTTATCTTATCTATCCCTGTCTGTCCTGTATAAGTTTTACACTTCTTTTAGCATTAACTGATTTCGGTATGACGCAGTTCTTAAGGCCCGATAAGATTATTCCTACGGTGAACAATGGAAATGCTGGAGCTCGCGAGAAAATGCAATCATGTTTCAGAGAATGGCTCAGACGCTGAGATTCAACTCTAGGTTGATGGGTGAAATTGCTTCCTATTGGTAAGAAAATCAATCCGTTCTATTTCTATACTTTTTCCTTTTTCTGCTATTTCTGAATCTCAATATGTTGATCATTGAAGCACTTGGTGAATACAGTAGAATTGAAGCACTTGAAGGATTCATAATATTCTTTGATCAAGAGGTTTTATTCTTAGTTATTCTCTTGTAGCATATCTTCAAGTGGCTAATTCGTTTAGTTATGAATCATAACTTATGATGGTTGGGAAAGAAAATAGTTCAAAGAAACAATAGTTTCTATATGCTACATTTACTTCTCTTTACATAGAAGGATTAGCATCACACGAAAAGCAAATGAGTAGACAATGCAAAGGGGGAATAAGATAACCAAATCAGATCCAAGAAGAGGGAGATTCAGAATCTGGAGATAGAGGATTAACCTCATTGCAAAACTTGATTTGTCGCTGAGTAGAGAACTCCGAAGATACTTCCTATTGTAGTCATATTCAAAGCAATTAGCTGTAGTACTGGGAATTGGACCAATCTTCATCTGGTCTGCACTACCCTGTGTATAATGTTCCAGACCCATGCCTTTTCTATTTGAAATGGTTCTTTATCTCAGAAAGTTGCAAATGCCATAGCCAGTAAGGCCATTTCCTTCCCGTATTTATGAGGTTATTCTTGAAAAATGAGAAGGATAAACATGTTGCTAGTAATCTAAGCATCTTTTACTTTCATAGGGAGATTAGCATTGGTCTATGAGTCCTAAAATATTTGTGTCCTCGTGTTGGTTGTTTCAGAGAGCATCTAAAACAATGGATCCTCTGAATTATCTTTTTGATTTTGAGAAACCAAGTCACAAGGTCTGAAATCATTTGCTTCTCAACTTTGTTTACAGAAGAAGTCTTTCAAGATGAATATATAACAATTGACAAGTTTGATATGCCTAGAGAAACCAAACTAGTTAGACTACAAAGCAGTACCGAGGATCAATTTGACGCTCTCCTCGATTTGAAATGCTGGAAAGGGCAAGCGAGTCTTCCTTTGTGCTTCCTTCTTCTGCCATTACTCTTAGAAACTCTTCAAGAGCACTCTGCATCCACTCATACCGACAAAGTTCCAAAGCTTCTTTTACATTCAGCTGTGGCATTTACACAAAACCCTTATCAGTCATTCATTCATATAACATATCTACTTTCCTCGCGGTTATCAAAAGCAAAGATTTGCGGTTTTACCCATCTTCTCTCGCGGTTATCTTGCTCTGGCCATATCGCAAGTTCTTCCTTCACCTCTAACGCAAACATATAACCTTTGCATCCACCACCTAAGCAGCAATCAGCTTCCAAACTGCTACTCTTGCTTCTAAATTCCCAAACCCCTAATGGATCTTCCTATATAACACACCAAAATACAATCCAATCTTAAAATCTATACAAGAACTTTCGAATGAAGAATGACCGTGGGAAACTTACTCTTAGTATTCCTTTAACTCCTGCTTCTTCCATAGCTTCACGAGAAGCAGCTTCAAGAACAGTTTCATCATCTTCCCATCCTCCCTAAACAAAACACACAAGTAAAAGATTTCATACAACAGCACTTTGCATTATAGTTTCAAGAATTTAAAGCAAAAGATACCTTTGGGAAGACAAGATCGTGTCGATTGGGAGATGAAATCATAAGAACTTGAAGCTTGGTTTCAAAGTCAACACTTGTTGAGTCCTCCTCTTCATCTTTCACCAGCCTATATGGAATACATCTGTCACATCCCAATAATGGTGTGAATTAAAAAGAACCAAACCAATAAAATATCAATCAAGAAAGATTCAAGCTTTAAGGTCAACGACATGAAAGTGAAAGGAGATGTAGAAAATGGTGAAAAGGATTTAGTACCCAGAAACAAGACGGAAGTTGTTGTCATAACGTTGATGGTCTCGTCCTGTTCTTGCTGAAAGATTCGACATTTTTGATAAACCTGAAATCAACCCCAAATTTAAAAACACAAATTTTTCTTTATGATTGAAGAAATCGAGAGAAAAAAAAACAGAGAGGGAATTACGGTGAAAATGCAGGTCCTAAGCTTTGAAAAAATCGTGTCTTTGGCTGTTGGTGTCAGCAAGAAACATCATCATAGCTTGCTTTCATGGCGAATCATCTTCTTGTTTCAAAAAGAAAAAAACTATCTTTTTTGTTTTATTTTACCCAGAAGAACTAAAGAACAGATAACAGGTGAAACACAACCAAAAGAAAAACAAGAAAAATGGAAAAAGAAAGGAACGGTTTTGGTTTGTTGGCCATATAGAGGAAGCAGGCAAAAAGATGAGGTTTTTCCGGGGACAAATTTAAGAGAGTCAGCTGACGAAGCAGAGCATTCAATTCTTTATAAAAAATAAATTGTTTGCATTTTCCTTTTCGAAAACAGTGTTACCAACATTTTATTACGAAAAATATTTTAAATTACGTTATTGGGGAAGCTATTTAGTTTTTTTGGTAAACTGACATAAGACCCGAGACCCCGAACAACACTAATTTTACTCTTTTTTTGCCCAATTTTAACCTCACTCGTTTATGCACATGTATTATTGTTTTCGTTATTATTTCTTGATTTTTGGATGTCCATTTACTTCGTTTGTTCATCGTTTTCTTAAGTCTCATCATCTCTCTAGCACCATTGTTCAATTCCTTGTAACTGGTTCGTCGTGTATATTATTCACTTCGCGGCGCCGGAGAATTCACAATCACTCTCTCGTATATGCTATTTAACTCACCGTGCCGGAGAGTTCTAATAATTTATTTATCTAAATTCCTTGATATCTCTCCATGGCCTCAGTGAGATCTGCATTTTTGCGTTACAGATCTTTGCATGAATGTCCAAAAAATTTGTAGATCTATATTTAAATATTTACAAAAAAATATATTAATAATTCTCTATATACGTTGTTACATGTATATAAATGTTAATAACGCTCTACATACATTTTCACATGTATATAAATATTAATAACACTTTACATATGTTTTTGTTTTCTTTTTGGTAGTTCTACGTTTTTGCAATAAATTAACTGACTTATTTATTAGGTCACTTTAACAGGACAACATTTAATAGCTGTCAGTTTTGTTTTTCGTTTCCTTTAAAGTCAAAAGTGATTCTCCACACGCATGGCCAAACGAAAAGGTGGTTTTGTCGTAAATATTCCGAACTCCAAACCCATTTGTCAACCGTGTTTATCATTGTTGAAGACCAAAATCTTATAATGTCGATTACCTAATTTCATGCCTTATTTTTGTCTCTATACAAATTAACTCTTGTTTAATTTAGATTAAATCGAACAGAAAAAATAATATCAATCAGAAGGCGGGTTATAGCTGTAATATGGATATGGTTAAAGAAAATCCCATAAAGACATTAGTTACATATTAAAGATTCGCGAAATAAAAACTTTGAACAATGAGTTAGTTGGATCGATCTTATATGTTTATGGTACGTGACGAAAGGATAAGAGACCAAGCACCAAACTAAACCAGGTTGATCCGGTTTGATTTGTTGGTATCTTGGTTTTTTAGTAGCTTACCATAAAGGTAAAACCACAAACAAATCCAAAGATACTGAATAAGCCCAATAAATTGGCTAGATAGCCCATTAAGTTTCATGGTATGTAGAACGAATGTCCCATTTGATCAACAAAAAAAAACAACTTATTGGGCCTAAAATGGGCCTTTAAAATCGAGCTAGACGGTTGGTGCAGAAGACTATGATTGATTTAATTTTTTGAGTCACTTTTTCAATCATTTCCGATTTGTATGATTTATTCATGATGATGACCACGACCGCCGTTTCAATCATTGGTCTAATATTTCAAAATTCTCTAATTTTAAAATGAAATTAAAAAAGTTTGAAAAAACAGAAGAGAATAAAAAAAAAGTCAAGAGAAACGTTAAAACGCAGATTGAAACAAAACATAGAAAAACGCAAAACGCAGATCGTGGAAATGTGAGTTTTTGAAAAGTTAGCGTCAGAGAGAAGAAGCAAATGTATGTCGATACAGCTGGCTTACGACCCCACCATTTTTTACACTGTCGATGTGAGAAGAATTGTGGTCCTATATAATTATTTAATTTTGTTAAAAGTGAGTTTGTTGAATATTTTATTTATAAAGGAATATTTAATGAATGTTTGTTCGCTGGATAATCTATTTGTCATTAATAACAACAAAAGGTTAATTATTTAATTTGCTTTCTAATAGTACTAGTTAAAACTACAGTTCTTTTTGCTATTATTGTTCGTGTATTTATGTTTTGATTAGTAGCAGTATAAGATGTCAAAAAAATAAAATAAAAAAAATTACTAGCAGTAGATGTGAGTCATGTGACATCTAAACTATAAAAAACATGAACACTAGTATGAAAGATAATTAAATATTCTGTTTTGATTTATAACATTATTAAATTATAATTTTGTATCCAAACGGTGAAATTATAAAATACTATTTTTTTATTGAACTAAAAAATTGTATTATAGCATAATCTTCTTGATATTAATATAATCGCACTAAATTGATAAAGTATGAATAATAAATCGACTTATATTTTTTTTGCTATTTCACATATTTTTTTAGATTAACCACTAAATATTCTGATTTCACCGAAATAAATCTTAGAATGAACAGATCAATTGATAAGAACAAAGAATTATAATTTAACAAATTTAAGCTCGTCTCCCTAAACCGAATACTATGCTAATATTTCACATATTGCAAACAAAAATCTTAAACTAAATGTAAATCTATGACATGACATAATCCTTTATTTTTGTAATAAACATAAGAATAATAGGATAGTGCAGAAAAAGCTGTGATTCCAATATAATTATGTGATTGATTGACTAAAAAAAATGAAATCTAAGAATTATAAAATTCTGTAGTTATGAATCCCATCTATCATTGGTTGCTTATTAATTTTTGAGAAGAAAAAAAATTATAAACAAACAAATAAATATCTTTTTTTTGGTAGTCTTAATATTCAAGTACGCATTTATTAAAGTAATAAAATAACCCATTTTAAGGACAAAAGAAAAACATACGATAAAAGAAAAAACAGAGAGATTTGCGGAGTAAAAAAAAATTAAAAAAAAGGAGAAGAAGGCAGAGACAGAGTGGTGGTCTTGTTCTTCTCCTATTAAAACTTGCGGCGGCGGAAACTGCGTTTCACGGCGGTCGTAGTTTCTTCTTTCTTTAAAAGAAAAAAATAAAAAAGTTTGCTTTCGCTGTAATTGCAAACTGGCGAAGTACCCCACTTGCTTCTACTCTTGTCTTCAAAGGTTCTCTTTTTATTCTTTTTTTCTCAAATTAAACAAATGGGTTTGGTGGTTGCACAAGAGTAATAACTAACCAAAGTAAAAAAGTTTGATTCTTGTTGTTGTTGTTGTTGCTGTTGATTCTTAGTTAAGTAAGTAAAATTTTCAGTGAGTCTAAAGAGAGAGAGAAAGAGAGAGTTGTTGTCTGAAACGATGTCACTTTCTGTCGGCATTGTCTGCGTTCCGACACAAGACTTGATTTCTTCTTCTTCTTACCCTTTACCTTCGAGTTCTAGAAGAAACTGCGGCGGTTTGATTTGATGTTTCATTGCTCTTCTTCTTCTTGATAATCCCATTTTCACACCAAGCTTCTTGTTTCTGATTAGAAAAAGAATTTGATTTCTTGAATCTGCCGATTTTAAGGAATGTGGGGAATCACGTCATCGATTTGTTGAATTTTTGTGATATTTAATCGCCGACGAAGTTGAGATTTTCTGGAGATCTGTCAAGGTTTTTAAAAATCTTATATTTTACTTACTACTGCATGTTGATTGATTGATTTTCACTAAAGAATCTTTATTCAATTTTTACAAAGTTGACACCTTTTTTTTTTTAACCTCTTAAGCTCTGTTTGCTTTTAAAATTGTCTCTTCTTCTTCTTCTTTGTTTTTTTTCTTTTCGCCGACATTCTTGTTTTATTCTTTTTCTCCAGGGTTATCGCATGGTAGTAGTAGCTTGGAGCATCGGTGAGAAAAAGAGAAAGAGAGAGGCTGTTTTGTTTTCCAAATGTCAGCAATTCTTGCAGCTGCCATTGGTGGTGCTGTAGGAGCTCTTGCATTGATTGCTTTGTTTGTTTTTCTCCTTTGGTTTTGTGTCTTTCGTCGTAAGAATCTGTCAAGAACTTCTGAGACTGGCTCTTCTGATCCATCTACTCAAGGTAAATGTACAAATCACAAATCCCATCAATTCAATTCCTCTCTCTCTCTCTCTATTGACTTTCTTGGATGATAGCAAAATGATTTAGACTTTTTTGCTTATTTCAGAAGGACGAAATGTTGCAATTGAGTTATCAGTGAGAGAAGCTAGAAGATTTGAAATGGAGGAACTTGCTCAAGCCACAAAGAGTTTTACCAATAAAAGTCTTATTGGTATAGGCAAATTCGGCGAGGTTTACAAAGGTTTGCTTCAAGATGGTGTTCTTGTAGCTATCAAGAAAAGACCTGGTTTGCCTACTCAAGAATTCGTTAACGAGGTTTAAATCTTGGTCAAATGGTTGCTTATTATAGTCTTCTTAGAGCAAGTGTTTTGATTGAGAGGATATGGTTTTTTTCAGGTTCGTTATCTATCGTCTATCCATCACCGTAATCTTGTTACTCTTTTGGGGTTTTGCCAAGAAAGTAACACACAGTTTCTTGTCTACGAGTATGTTCCTAATGGAAGTGTTTCCAGTCACCTGTACGGTAACTCTCTGTCCTTTATAATAGAGATTAATGTTGTTCTCGTTTGGTATTTAATCTGTTTGAGAAATGAGTTTGGGCAATGTAAGTATCATTTAGGTCTTTTCTTCTATTAGGTGATGGTGGTAAAGTACCTGGAAATAGACTAGAATTCAGACATAGGCTTGCAATATCTATAGGAGCTGCTAAAGGTAAATCCTCTACAAAAGCTCAATGAAGCCAGCTCTAGCTTGTGTCCTGATCTTGCATATACCCTTTTGTTATCTCTAGGCTTGGCACATCTTCACTCGTTGAGTCCTCGATTGATACACAAGGACTTCAAAACCGCTAATGTTCTTGTGGATGAAAATTTCATTGCTAAGGTTGCGGATGCAGGAGTTCGTAATTTCTTAGGAAGAGAGGAAGTTGGTACATCGTCTCACATTGTTGCAGATCAGATTTTCCTCTCCCCAGAGTAAATTAGATTTCACCTTTTAGGCTCTCATATATATGCTTCTTTTTGTACCAAAGTTTCTTAGATCCTCCCCTTTCTTCAGGGTTCAAGAGTTCAAAAGATTTTCAGAGAAAAGTGATGTCTATGCTTTTGGTGTATTCCTCTTGGAATTAGTAAGTGGAAGAGAAGCATCAGAACCATCCCCTTCAAGCTCAACACAAACTCTAGTCGAATGGGTAATGTCTAATCACTCTCAGATCACATAATGTTGCCAATGTAATCTATTTTGAATCTCACTTGTATGCATTGGGAGCTGCAGATGCAAAACTTAACGGATTACGCGGATATACCAATGATGATCGATGAGAGACTAGGAGGTACATACACAGCAGAAGGAGTTGAGGAGCTTATTACATTGACACTAAGATGTGTTGATGTTTCAAGTGAGAAGAGACCAACAATGAGTTTTGTTGTGACAGAGCTTGAAAGAATATTGGATAAGGAAGTGAGCTTAACAACAGTAATGGGTGAAGGTACTCCAACTGTTACTCTTGGAAGTCAGCTTTTTAAAGCAACCAAGTGATTATAAAGGAACCATCTTTTTACATATATATACATATATATATATTATAAGTTCTCTGAGACAAAAACCAATCAGAGAACTCAAGGAGGAGGAAGAAGAAGAAGACTGATCAGCTGTTTTGTGTTAAGTGTATAAAGAACAGCTGAGCTTATTATTATTATTCGTTTGTTTTTTTCTCTTTTCCTCCTTTTTTACTTCCTTTGGAGGTTATTATTTTCAGCAATTATTTTTTTGACAATGAGTGCAGAAAAATATAACTTTGTAAAAACATTATTTATTGATATAAAGGAAGCAAAGAGTGGAATGTTGTGTGATTCTTTGTTGAAATTTTGTTATAAACTTGGGGAAATTTTGAACTTGGCTTCAAAGACTTTATTGCCAAGTTGGTTGGTTGAATAAGTTTAGATCAAAAGATTCCAATTGGCTAACTGTTGAACTAACAGAAGGTGATAACTCCCTGTCTGAAGAACTCTAATTATTATGTTTGTACAGAAAAACTCAGAGCTACTTTTTCCTATAAAGTAACCAATTTTAGGAAAGATTTTGACCTTTAGCTTCAACCTACCTATGCTTTATAGCCTTTATTGCCAAAGGGAGATATAATAACCAAGTTGGTCTCTAAAGTTTTGATCAAAGATTCCAATTGGATAACAACACTCTTGGACTAGTATAGTTCCTACATTTTCTCCATTTGCTACTAGTGAAAATAAACTCAATGCTCTGATTTATTACTGTCCCTAGTTTTGCTAAAAACCTTTGTGGGCACACAGAACTATAAACAAACAGTCTTTGAACAGATTGCAATATCAAAATCATGTTTGGTCTGATTTTATGTCGGGAGAGAAAATCTAATGATAAAGACTCTTCTTCTGTAGATGGTGAACTCGTTAATGAATGAATTGGTGGGTCTCTCATTTAATCTTACCTTCCTGATTTTGACCTCACAGAAGAAAAAAACACAGTACTGATTGAAAAGCTTAGAAAAGAAAATACAAAACCAGAGATTGTTTGATTCTTAGTTCTTACATAGAAACAGAGCTAATGTTTTGTCATAAATATTAAAAACGTTAAAAGTTTTATTTTTTAAATGAGGAAAAATGAGAACCACTCGATTTTGGATAGACCCATCATGTAAAGGTTTAAGCTTTGTTAGCCAAAGAGAAAGCTTTTTTAGTTCTCTTGACAATGGCGACGAAGCTGATTTCACCGCCGTTGTCTTGTCCATGGGTTACTTCAAGAGAGGTGTCAATCAAAGGGCTTCCACGTCGGAGAAGAGAATGGATGGTCACGAAGAGAAACAGAGTCTCTGCTGTCACCGCCATGGTTGTGGAGCCACTCTCTGTTGTTTCTTCTTCAGCAATTCAGATTCATCAATGGTGGGAACAAAACCCTAATTCGTTATTGTTAATGACGGAGGCTACTGGTGGTTACTCGTTGGCTAGCTATTATACGTCTTTGGGTTTGTTTGTTATCTCTGTTCCTGGTCTTTGGTCGCTAATCAAGCGCTCTGTTAAATCAAAGGTTCGAACTTTACGAATTACAAAAACCCTAATTTTCACACCCAATTCACAGTTTCTTTGACTTTAAAAGTTTGAATCTAATGTTGGGGATTTGCAGATAGTGAGAAAGACGTTTGTTGTTAATGAAGTCAAGAAGGAACCAAAGCAAGTAGCTGGAGAGATTCTATCTTTCTTCACAAGGAAGAATTTCAACATCACTGATCGAGGAGAGACGATCACGTAAGCTATATAAAGTTCGAATTTTTCATTTGGGGTTTTGTGTTTAGTTACTGACATTGTTGGGGGGTTTTGATAAAATAAGGTTTGAAGGAAAGATGGTTCCAAGTAGAGGACAAGCTGCTCTGCTTACGTTTTGTACATGTATAAGCTTAGCAAGTGTTGGTCTTGTCTTAACCATTACAGTTCCTGATTTTGGAAACAATTGGTTCTTCATCACCCTTCTCAGTCCACTTGCGTGAGCTCTCTCTCTCTGTCTCTCTTTAAGGTCTCTGAGACTGTGTTTTTGTGAATGATTTGGAGATGATTGTGAGTGTTGCAGAGGAGTGTATTACTGGAAAAAGGCGTCGAGGAAAGAGGAGATAAAAGTGAAGATGATGGTGGGAGCAAAAGGGAGATTGGATGAGATTGTGGTTCAAGGAGATGATGTTCAGGTTGAAGAAATGAGGAAGGAGCTTCAACTTAGTGAGAAAGGCATGGTGTATGTTAAAGGTCTTTTTGAGAGATCATCATGATAACATTTTAGCCTCTCCCAATTTTGCCTTTTGGGGAATGTGTTTATACTTTAAGGATGAGATTTAATGACTTTTTAACTCATTTTCCATACTTCATACTAAACAAATCGATTTGAATATAATGTCATGAGGATGTAATGTTGATAAATATAGTTCATTTGATTGAGCAATTTTGTTATTTTGAAAGTGAAAATCCGTAAGTATGTATGGTCTTCATGAGTGATCGGCTAGTACATGATTACCAAAGCCAATGTTGGTTCAGTATATGTCCTCCTGTGATCCTCCATCAACTGTTCCACGAATTGGTTTAAAAACTCTCTGAAGATGCGTTCATAGTTTCTCGTCATGAGTTTATTCGGTACGATGGGTATGGTTTGTTTTTGGTACTTGTGATTTCACCAGCTATAATTGACATGGATGCCAAAATCAAGATGGAAAAGCTGAAACAAGAACTATATAGAGCTGGAAATAATAAACAATTCTTGGGTTCACCTCCTCTTGTTAGCACAAAATCTGACATCTAATAAAAATAAATAAACTCATTTAATTGTAAAATCTAAACTCAAACCACACTTTTTTAACTCCAAACCGACATATAATCTCGTTTAATTACAAAATCTAAACCCTCATCCTCTTTTATAAACTCAAACCGATATTTAACCTCGTTTAATTGTAAAATCTCAACCCTAACCGTTCTTTATAAACCAAACCAATATTTAACCCCGTTTAATTGTAAAATCTAAACCTGTTTATAAATCCAAACTAATATTTAACCTTGTTTAATTAGAAAATCTAAACCCTAACCCTCCCTTATAAACCTAAACCGATATATAATTTCGTTTTGTTGACAAAATAAATTTTACAATTAAATAATATATATATATATATATATATATTTGTTTTTTTTTCAGAACAAAGTAGATATCATTATTGACTGTTTTGGAATAGAATATGTCTAAACGAACCACCAAACTCTTAGAATGGGATCAATAAGAGCAAGGGGTAATGAAAATACTAATAGGAATAGAATATGTCTAAACGAAGTCTAGCCCTTTATTACAAAATTTCATCAGATCTGAGTGTTCTCCGGTGCATTTTTGTCTTCAGGCTCAGTCTCATTCACGTCAGTTTCATCAATGTTAGAAGATCCTAAGTGGGGAGGAGGAGATACTGACTCCAACTTGTCCCCCCACTCGAGCACACCAACAAACACGTTCTCCTCTTCTCCTTCAATCACCGCTTCCTCTTCTCCTCCAGTCTTCTCTGCTTCCTCAAGCACACTAACAAACACATTCTCCTCTTCTCCTTCAATCACCGTTTCCTCAATCATTACCGCTTCCTTTCCTCCATTCTTCTTAGCTTGCTTGATCATATGCCTCACGTAACCGAAAGTGATTGGATAAATTAGTGAATTTACCGAAACAGCAAGCTGGTGATTAGCAGCTTCGGGAGTAACAGATGCTGAATCAAACGGCTTCTTCAGCAAAACATGTTTAAAGGCAAGAATCTTTTGGCATGCTTTGATGGTGAGGCTCCCACCCGAAGATTGAAACAAGCGGAACAAGTTGAGCTTTGGGATTGAATTAGAAGTTTTGGGGCTTGTCTCTTACGGAGGCTGAAACTTGCTGAGTTCCCTTTTCAAGGTTACCAAGTCATCATCTTTGTGCATTCGATGTACATAAGTTTATATAGTTTGAATGATGCTAGTCACATAGTGTTTCATGTAAAGTTTTAGCGTCAAGTTTGTGACTAACAATATCCGAATTATGAATTTATGTATAATATTGACGGTGTTAAAAATAATAAAATGAAGATTTAACCCGTATTGAAGCGGCGGATTAATGATATTTTAAATTTTTATAAATATTGATTCACACCCGTCTCGCCATATAACATGTCCTGTGTTATTTTTAATTTTTTTTATATGTTCAAATGTTCATATATAATATTTTACACTTTTTATTGATTTTAAATATATCAATTCTAATATGTAAAAACTATTTAAAAGTTTAAAATTTAATATTTCGGGTAAAATTAAACAGTCTAACTAAAAATCGAATTAAACCGTATAAAACTTTTCAATTTGGATGCTTGTTAAGTTAAGCTTCCTTCTCATTCGAATATGAATTCATTTTGATTTTATATATAATATGACTCTGAATCATTTTCTAAACATTTCAGACGATGAGACGTTGAGCACACAATTTTTTTTATCAATTGAGTAATATATGTCCGTTTTAAAAATTTCGAGTCACAATTTATGCAGAAACAAAATTTGAGATTTTTCTTAGATTTATGTATTATATGATGATTCAAAACAGTTAAAAAAATAAAAATAGGAGAATCATAATTTTAAATCTTAACCAAATCTTTTAAATATCTATATTATTATATATAGAATATTATGTGGATATTTTTTATTTTGTAATCATCAAAGATGCAAAGGATATCTTATTATATAAAGTATGGTTTTCAAAGTCAATAACTCACGAGATCGTGCCACATGTCAAATTTATCGATCTCAGATTTCGACACATGTAAAACAAAAATTCCTTATATTTGTTTAGAAAAAAAAATTATAAGGAAACTATGTGTATATCTCTTAAATAAAACAATTTTAAAAAAGTAAAGTAGACAATTAAGGAAACTACATATGTATCTTATTAAATAAAAATAGAAATTAAAAAAATTAATTACTACTTAGTAACTCATAGGATTGTGCCACGTGTCAAATTAATTATTAAGGAAATGATACGTATATATCTCATAGAAAACAATTCTAAAATCTAAAGAAGATAATTATAAAAAAAAACTAGATGTATCTTATTAAATAAAAATAGAACTTTAAGAAAAAATTTATAAGGCAACTATACATATATATCTTATATAAATTAATTTTTTAAAAGTAAAGAAGATAATTATAAGAAAACTATATGTATCTTATTAAATAAAAATAGAAATTAAAAAATCATTTACTAATCTAATTTAAAGCTAATAATTCTAAAAGAAAATGATTACTTTTTCCTTAAGAATTAAAAAATATTTAAGGAAATTTTACAATCAATTATTATACCTATAAAAAAAAGGATTCTAAGTACTCACCTCTATATAAACAAATAGATAGCTCACCAAACAAAAAAAAATCTTAGGAAATTATATGTATATATCTTATATATTTTTTTAAAAAAGTAAAAAAAAGATAATTATAAGGAAACTATATGTATCTTATTAAATAAAAATAGAAATTAGAAAATCATTTACTAATTCTAATTTAAAGCTACTAAAAATTGATTTTCAAGGATTTAAAATTTAAATTTTTAGGTTGGGGTTGATTAATTTAGATTTAAGGTATAGTTTTAGGGGTAGGGTTTAGTATTTAGGGTTTAGGGTTTCGCTTTGAATGTTGAAAATTTAATTTTTAGTTTTGTGGTTTTTTGGGAAAACAAGAAATTAAGTGGAACTTTTAAAATATTAAACTAATAATGATAGTTTGGAAAATCAACACTTAAGTGTGTTTTTTTAATAGAATTTACCTATATTTTTTAGTGGTAAGCTATTAAATTGTAACTAGATGTAAATAAGATAACAGTTTGACCGGTGGTGTATATATAAAATATTTTCAGAAGAAATTGTGGAATCATATTTTAGGCGAAACTGCAAAACTACGTTTTTTGAGATTTGACAATAACAATTTTTTTTGCCAACAATTTGACAATAATAATAATGATGAATATCTTGGCAAAAATTTTGGTGATTGGTAATTTAAATTTATTTTATTATTATAATAAATGTACCAACAAATTTAAAATATAGATATGGAGATAAGTGTATTAAGGCAAAAGATGAATATATATAAACAAATCTTCTGTCTAATTAAAAATTTAGCTTTTTAGTTTTTTTTTTTCCTCTGGATTTATTATTAATTGCAAATTATGAGAACTGTTACATAGACGATTCTATAACTGACAATTCCTTCCGACCCTTATTGGATCCACGACAGCTACACTTCCTTCTTCATGCTCTTGATGGACACCTTCAATGATACACGACCTGACGACACATTCCTCTCTGCGTAGAGTCCTGGCGAACGACTGCACTTCCCTCTCTGCGTAGAATCCTGGCGAACGGCTATAATTGTACATCGCTGGAGATCTCCTGCACAGTTGCCTCCATTAATCTGCATATTTGTTAATAAATCGCAGTATCTGGGGTTCGAACCCCAGACCTCTTGGTGTAGAAGCATTAATTAACCCTTGGTCAACCATTGGGCCGAGGGGGCTTCCACTAGCTTTTTAGTTTAAATATAATTTTATTCATAATAAAAAAAATTGATATTTTATTTTGTTAAAATTAAATTTATTTAAAATTTTAAAAACCCGCCCATCGGGCGGGTCCTAATCTAGTACCATAAATGTTTCAGAGAATTAGTATAGATATCCGGTTCACAATTTTGGATATTTGTTTGATCCCATCTAAATACATCTTTAAAAAGGAAAATCACCAGCAATCATTCCATTTGTCTTGCAATATACAACTAAAATGGACCATTTGATCACTTCTCCCACAAGCAAGTCTACAGTTTTTTTAATTTTTAAGTAACACATTATTGAATTAAACTTTAATTATCTATATTGTCTCTTATTGGTTAGGAAGTGGATAAGATAAAGTCTAATCTAAATTAAATCATTAATACAAATCAGTAAAGACAAAAAATTAATTTAAATAAATTATCAGAAGAAGAATGATAGTGATTCTTCACGCGCGTCTCTCTCTTCTTCGTCTTCTACAAAAACACTTGTTCTTCACGATCCTCTCTGTAATCTTCTGAGAAGCTCTCACTCGCCTCTATGGAGGTAAACTATTTCTCTCTTTATCTGATTCTGGCGGCGATTGTAATCGGCGGCGTCAACTCCGAGTATATAGAGTACAACACAAAACCGAGAATCGTCCCTGAAAAAATCAATGTTCACTTAGTTCCTCACTCACACGACGATGTTGGTTGGCTTAAGACCGTTGATCAGTACTACGTCGGAGCTAATAACTCCATTAGGGTACTCTCTTCACATCTCTCTCTGTCTCTTTTCATGGATTCTGCGAATTTTTAGGGATTTGATTTTTGTTTTGAATTTGATTTGAATCAGGGAGCTTGTGTTCAGAATGTATTGGATTCTGTAATTGCTTCATTGCTTGATGATGAAAATAGAAAGTTTATTTATGTTGAAATGGTAAGATTTAGATATTACCAAAAATGGAGATTTTGATTTTGGCTTGCTTGATGAAATTAGTTATGGTTGAGTATTGTTTTTAGGCGTTTTTTCAAAGATGGTGGAGGCAACAAAGCAATGCTAAGAAAGTTAAAGTCAAGAAGCTTGTTGACTCTGGTCAACTAGAGTTCATGTGAGTTTGATTCATCTCTTACCTTTTTTTGATGTCTTGTATGTATTGATTTGTGGTTTTTGTAGAAATGGTGGAATGTGTATGCATGATGAGGCGACTCCACATTATATTGATATGATTGATCAGACTACATTAGGCCATCAGTTTATTAAAACTGAGTTTGGTCAGGTTCCTAGAGTTGGTTGGCAGATTGATCCCTTTGGACATTCAGCAGTGCAAGCTTACTTGCTTGGTGCAGAGGTATAATTTGTTCATCGGTTGGTTTGTTTGGCTTCACAGAGAGTTTAGATGAGTTCAGTATGTGAGTGATTAGCCTATTTATCAGCTTAAGATATTCTGATTGGACAACCCTTTGGTTTCTTCTACAGTTTGGCTTTGACTCGCTGTTTTTCGCTAGAATTGACTACCAAGATCGTGCAAAGAGATTAAGAGAGAAGACACTTGAGGTTATTTGGCAAGGTTCCAAGTCCCTTGGCTCATCTTCACAGGTTTAAACTATTAAACCTCACATTATAGTTCTGCTGTTTCCATAGATAGCTTTGTCTCATTGCTATTTGATGTTACTTGTAGATATTCACTGGTGTATTCCCAAGACATTATGACCCTCCTGAAGGGTTCGTTTTTGAAATAAATGATGTATCAGCTCCTATCCAGGTAAAAGCAATTGAATCGGCTGTGCTGTTTTTTGAACTTTGTTTGAACGTGCACTGATGAAGCATCTTGAATATAGGATGATCCTCTCCTTTTTGACTACAATGTTCAAGAGCGAGTCAACGACTTTGTAGCTGCAGCCCTCGCACAGGTAAAGATCATATCCATCTTTTCTTGAAATTAGCAAAATCAAAAGAAGCTTTTCTGTGATGTGACTTGAATTTTTCTTTTCAAGGTTAATGTGACCAGGACAAATCATATCATGTGGTTAATGGGAACTGACTTCCGTTACCAGTATGCATATTCGTGGTTCAGACAGATGGACAAGTTTATTCATTATGTTAACAAGGTACAGTGGCTTTCATACTAGCAAACTCATATCACTTGGATTTCACTAGTTTCAAGGTAAGAGAGATGATTCTCTTGTTGTTTGGACAATCCAGGATGGGCGTCTCAATGTTCTGTATTCGACACCATCTATCTACACCGATGCAAAATATGCTGCAAACGAGTCTTGGCCCTTAAAGACTGATGATTTCTTCCCGTGAGTGTGATAGTTCGGGTTTTACTTTCTACAAATGCAAATGCGTATTGATCAAATAAATAATACATGTACCTGTGCCAGGTATGCGGACAAACCTAATGCATACTGGACAGGGTACTTTACGAGCAGGCCAGCCTTTAAGAAATACGTGAGGGATTTAAGTGGTTACTATCTGGTATGGCCTAAAATATATATTTTTTAAATTTCATAGATTTGTGGTTATTTTTTTCTCCATTCTTACATGGCCTTATCTCTTTTGAAACAGGCAGCTCGACAATTAGAGTTCTTGAGAGGTAGGAATAGTTCAGGACCAACAACTGATATGCTAGCCGATGCTTTGGCAATTGCTCAACACCATGATGCAGTTAGTGGTACACAAAGACAGCATGTGGCTGCAGATTATGCTCTTAGACTCTCAATGGGTTATCTGCAGGTGCGTTTTAGTTAGGCATCTCATGTGTTGTTCATGCAATTTTTGTTTCTCTTGTGGGTACAGCGGTTTAAGAATTTCTGTATGATCATTACTAGGCCGAGAAATTGGTTGCCTCTTCCCTTTCCTTTCTATCAGCAGCAAAATCAAGTACTGAAAAAAAGAATCCTGGCACAAAATTTCAGCAGGTAAATGTGCTTGTTTAAGATTTTTCTAGGATTCTAATAATACCATGGCCGTGTTAGAAGAGTTGAAAAGACATTGAGATCGAATTTTAGTGGTTAATGTTATTGCTTCCACAAAAGATGCTGTTGCTGAAGGCAACGTAGAGGTTTTAGTCAGCTGCTTTGTAGCATTTTCATAACTTGAACTCAAGTTCCAAAGACATATCGTATTCTAAATTAAGCTGATTCTTACCTTGTACATCAAATTGGCAGTGTCCCCTGCTTAATATCAGTTACTGTCCTGCATCTGAAGCTCGTCTGTCCAGCGGGAAAAGCCTGGTAAGTCTATCGGACAGGCTTACTTTGAGTCTATGAAGTCTTGGACCTCTTGGTTAGTTTTTATCTTCACATTGATCTCTCCTTGTAGGTGGTTGTAGTTTACAATTCTCTAGGATGGCAACGAGAGGAAGTTGTCCGAGTTCCTGTAAGTATTTATTATCTACTTGGTTGACGAATGTAGTTCTCACTTTATCTTTGTTTGCTTTCGAATATTATTTACCAAATTTACCTGATAACTTCTTTAGGTGTCGTCTGAAAATGTTATTGTGAAAGATGCATCTGGGAAAGAAGTCGTGTCTCAGCTTCTACCTCTTTCAGACATCGCTTTGAGAATAAGAAATGAGTATGTCAAAGCGTATCTGGGAGGATCACCAAGGGATGCTGCAAAACATGTGCTTGCTTTTACAGCTTCAGTACCACCTCTTGGGTTCAGCTCGTATGTCATCTCAGACACTGGACGAACAGGTATGTTTCAGAATGTGTAATATTGTGTCATAAATTTGGTGTGAATTATAGGATCTTGAATACAACTTCATATGTTCTAGCTCTACTAGCCACAACTTCATATGGTTCCTCACTGATGCCAACGGATGTTATGTATTTACTTGCATCTTCGTTTTCTCATGTGATTAAGCGCGTGGACTATCTGCATCATATGTTACTTCTGGAAGCATGAATCAAAATGTAGAAGTTGGCCAGGGAAATCTAAAGTTACTCTATTCGGAAGAGGGAGTGAAAATGACTCGTCACTTAAGTACCAAAAATCAGGTGTGCCTGTGTTTTTAAAATCTAAACTTACCTATTTTTCCATTCGGATATGTAAAACATCATCTGATGTTGATATGTGGTGGATTTTAAGGTTACTGCAGAACAATCATATGCTTATTACATTGGAAGTAATGGAACTGACAAGGATCCTCAGGTAGCTCAGCTCTTTAAAAGATACAACCTTATCTACTTAGCTCTCTTTTTGTCGTGTTTTAAACCGTTCGCTTCTCTTATATTTTGATAAGGCTTCTGGAGCTTACGTTTTTCGACCAGATGGTGTGCTTCCAATTAAATCTGAAGGAGAGGTAATACATATAAGCTGAATCTATAACCTTATTTCCTGACAGTATGTAAAAACACAAAAGAAAACTAATTGTCTTGCCTGTATCAGGCTCAATTGACTGTTGTTCGAGGACCTTTGTTCGATGAAGTGCACCAGGAGCTTAACTCCTGGATATCACAGGTTATTTTCTCTTTGCAACTATTTACTGCTCTCGAACAGTTTAATTACATCACAGAAGCTATTAACTGTTTGATCCATCTTGTGATGGGTCTGTTAATTTGCAGATTACCAGAGTGTACAAGGGAAAAAACCATGCTGAAATTGAGTTCACAGTGAGTTGATTTCTTTTCACAATTCTTCGCGTTAAACAGATGAAGAGGAATTTCAATATTGTTATTTTCTACTTTCTAGGTTGGGCCTATACCAGCTGATGATGGTATTAGCAAGGAGGTTATCACTAAACTGACAACCACCATGAAGACAAATGGAACATTTTACACAGACTCTAATGGGCGTGACTTCATAAAACGGGTATAGATGCAAACTTCTTTAATTTTTTAACAACTGTATTGTTTCTATTGTAACATACTTTGTTGTATTTCCTTGTAGATTCGAGACTTCAGAACAGATTGGGACTTGCAAGTATACCAACCAGTTTCTGGCAACTATTATCCTGTAAGGCATCAATTCCTTCTCGTGATATACTATGGTCCTGTACTTGACTGAGCCGCATTATACCTGCCTTTTGTCTAACATATTTTTTTCCTTTAGATAAACCTCGGGATATACATGCAAGATAAAACCTCAGAGCTATCGGTGTTGGTGGATCGTGCTGTAGGCGGATCCAGCTTAGTGAACGGCCAGATCGAGTTGATGCTTCATCGGTCTGTCAAATAACTTTCTCTACATAACCAAGACGAGCATCTGCTGTTTTGCTTTTGTTTCACTTTTTTTTTCTTTTTTTTTTCGTGTAGGAGAATGCAGCATGATGACATTAGAGGTGTTGGTGAGATTCTTAATGAAACAGTCTGTCTCCCTGAAGGATGCAAAGGATTAACGGTAAGCTTAAGTTCTCATCTCATTTGTAGCCGTCCAAGTTGCAATGTATCAGCTTTTAAGGGAACATGTGACTGAGCTTGTTTCCAAGGTGGTGCTAAATCGTTTCTTTTTAGCCTAAAACAGTTTGGGTAACTTTGAATTGTTTTGCAGATACAAGGAAAGTTTTATGTACAGATAGATAAACCTGGAGATGGGGCAAAATGGCGTCGAACATTTGGTCAAGAAATTTATTCTCCACTACTTCTAGCATTCACAGAACAGGTTGCTCTTAAAAAAAGAAACATCTACTTCCCTCTAGTGAAGTGAGATAAGGTACTTTTTTTTGTAGGAAGGAGATAGTTGGATTAATTCACATAAGACGACATTCTCAGCATTTGAACCGTCGTACTCATTACCAAAAAACGTCGCATTACTCACCCTCCAGGTTAGTTGGATTGTGTACTGTATATATGTCAAAGACGTTTTAATTAGTTTGACCACACTACAATGTGATTAAGTCTGACATTTTCAGGAGTTGGAAAATGGGGAAGTTCTTCTAAGGCTTGCTCACTTATTTGAGGTTCTTACTTTTCCTTTCTATGCGTTTCCACCGTTAATGTGTTATAGCTATGTGCTTATTCGTTGTGGATATGTAGTTTAACACTAGGCCGATTAAGATAGCAAATACTTAGAGATATTTACAAACTTGCATTACCTAGAAAACCCAAATATTGCAGTGCCAGGAAACCAAAACAATTTAATGTATAGAGTTAGTTCTTTAAACCAAACCGTAACGTTTAGGGTGTATTTTTCACCTGAAAATCAAACTGTTTTCATGCTTATACTCATCAGGTATTAAGAAGCTGATTTTGCGGTTAATCCTCGTGCTGTCATTTCTCACGACGATTATTTTTGGTTTTTCTTAATAGTCCCACATGTGAAATAAGATGAGACCTAAAGTAATATAGAATTACTAATTGGTTTTAAATTGAAAACCCATGAACTGTGACAATTTTACTTTTTAGAAAATTTTGGGTCACTAAGAAGCAGTTAAAATCTAAAGTGGAATTTTTTAACTCTTCTCTTAATGGTTTCATAGAAGTTGAGCCCTTTTGAGTTACTGTCTTGTTAACCTTGTGTAGATTGGGGAGGATAGTGAGTACTCAGTCATGGCAAAAGTAGAGCTGAAGAAACTATTCCACAACAAAAAGGTACGCCAAAAAAAAGACAAATGACTATCCGTCTTTTATTTGTCTCACTGTATGTTAACAAAAACAATTGCTATTCTCTTTTGAATATGTTTGCACAGATAATCCAAGTGACGGAGACAAGTCTTTCAGGGAACCAAGAGAAGGCGGAGATGGAGAAAAGACGGCTAATCTGGAAAGTAGAAGGCTCGGCCGGGGAGGAAGTGAAGAGAGGAGAAGCGGTGGATGCGGAGAAGCTAGTGGTTGAGCTTGTTCCGATGGAAATCCGAACCTTCTTGATAAAGTTTGATAATCACATTGAAATGGTTGGTGACAAAGAGCAGCAACATACATAGGTTTTGAAATAACACACGTTGTGATCTTTTTTAATTTGGAGAAGAGAAAACAAAACAGTTTGATTGAAAGTGTCGATGCAAGTTTAATTAGCATTGGTCTTTTAAATAAATCAATAAATGGATCAACCGTGGTCGGTATTTCGGGTAACTACAACGATGACGAACGCAATTTTTGCGTTTGCATTTCTACGTTTCCATAAGTTCGCAATTTTTGTAAATACGTTTACATAAGTAAGTATATTTTTATACTTTTTAGAAAATTCAGATACTTTAAAGTCTTTTTTTCTAACAAGAAAAAATTATATAAAATGTAAACCCTCATAACTAGGGTTTAAGGTTAAACTTTACAGTTTACATGTGTTGTTGACAAAATATATTATCAAACCGAACACAGTAGATAAACTCAAACCGGTGTTTTATTACATTACGTCATTAAAACTGTGTAATAAAAGATTCGGAATATCCGCCCGCGTAGAAGAGGAATCATATTACGGGTTAACGGATCCGGGTCGGGTATACGGAGCAGACTCTAAGAAAAACCAAAAGACGACGACAAGTTTTTTTTGGCCTTGGGTAAAAAAATTTAAAGTGAACACAGAAGAAGCGGTGGCTCTGAGCCGGCGAAATCTCCTCTCTCATCCCTAAAATTTTCATGTCCATCTTGCCTCCTCCGATTATCCAAGGTCACAATTCGTCTTCTCCTTCTTCAGATTCCTCTCTAAACCCTAGCTCTGAGCATGGCAACAACTCTTCTCCTTCCCGGATCTCTTCTTCCACCGGAACTCGATTCGCCGGACATTCTGAATCCACTCACAATTTCTCCGGTGGCTCTAGGGGTAATGGAATTGATTACTTAGCTACTCGATTTTGCTTTGCCCTAAATTTTAGGGTTCTTACATTAAAAGCTTGTTAATTTGGTTGAGTTTTGATTTGTTTTTTTAGGGTCTCTTTGTAAACTTTTTAGCTTTTGGAGATATTTATAGTGTGTTATGAGCTCACTTTATGTCTCAATTTTGATTCTTTTTGTTTTTAACTGTAGAACCGATTGTTGCAGCTGAGGAGGGACATAGCCGTGGATCTTCTTCCAAAGAGGTAAACTTTAGATACTTCTCAGTAAATGATGAGACTTTAACTCTACTTTGCTTTGAGTTTTTGTTGAATGATCGGTTTGATTGTTGTTTCTATACTGCAGATGACGCAAAATGGAGCAGGGAAGGAGAGTTTTTCCCCACCTAATGCAGATAAGCGTGACCATTTTCGATATGATGGTCGAAGGAATAGGTCTAGAGGGAGGGGTACTGGAGCTGCTGGTTCTTCTTCTTCTCAAGTGCAGCATAATACCGGACCTTTTGATTCTCCTAGAGGCGGAGTTTCGCATCACAATCCAACTGGTAGAAGAGCTAATATGATAAGCGGGAATCATTTACTCAATTTTCAGTATGATCCGATTTCCCCGTCACAATCTAGGGGTCCTCCACCGCCAAGAAGGCAACAATACAAGGGGAGGCCTTTTAACAAGGATTTGTTTCTTAAGGCCAATTATAAGTTTGTTGTGTTGGACACTGGAGATCATTCTCCTGATTCTATGGATCCTGATAAAATGCTGCAGTGGGATGATATTATTTGTGTAAGGTATTCTACTCCGTCTCCTGTCCAGTGCCCGATTTGCTTGGACTATCCTCTATGTCCGCAGATAACTTCCTGTGGGCATATTTTCTGTTTCCCGTGTATTCTACAGTATCTGTTGATTGGTGTCGATAACCACAAGGTGGAATGCGTCAAGAGGTGTCCTTTGTGCTTTGTGATGATTTCTCCAAGAGAGTTATACACGGTTTATATCGAAAACGTCAAGCAGTGTTCTGTTGGAGATCCCATCGAGTTTGTACTTTTGACCCGCAAGAAAGATTCTTTTGCTCCAACTCGGAAAAATGAGCATGACTCGGCTGTTCCTAATGATGAAAATGAGATATATGATCCGTTCTCAAAGTTCACTTTTACCCAAGATGTTGATCTCTCTGTCAGACAAGCAGTTTCGGAGTTAGACAGTTGGATTGCAAGAGCAGATCCTGAGCTCGTTGAAGACTTGGAGAAGCATCTATATGTAAATGCTGCTTTGGAGCGTTTGGAGCAGAGAAAAATGTACTGGAATGAGCATAAGCTCTCTTATTACAGCAAATTGAGCACAACGGCTAGAAATCAGACACAATCATTCTCACCTCCTGATGTTTCTCGAGTTGGTTATCAAGCACCCAGCTGGGCGCATGGAGCAACAGATAGCGGCTCCAATGATCAAGATAAATCAGCTGAAGATTCTTCAGTGGATAAGTCCGATGGAGAATCTCAATCTAGTTTGGAAAAGAGTTGTGATAATGGTCATCCTCTAGATGACGTAGAAGCACCATCATCTTCCTCATGCAATGAAAGTAAAGGTTTCCTGTCGCACCAAAATGACACCAAAGACCTGAAGGACAATGATGCTTACAACTTTTATCAGGTAATCAGTTTCTGATGCATACTGTTGTGTTTTCATAAAGTACTAATGAGCTGCATAATGATTGTTATATTGCTATAGGCTGGTCGTTGAATATATTAGAGTCGGTCTCTTTAATGTTATTATCTGTTTTTGATAATCTAGGTGGTTTTGTTAAATAACTGTGGTGGTTCTATCGTAGATACTTAATTTTTCTTACCGTTGTGCTCTGGTTGTGTACCTATACAGTCTGTTGATGGTCAGCACATTATCCTTCACCCTTTGAATTTGAAGTGCCTTCTGCATCACTATGGCAGCTATGACTTTCTTCCACCAAGGTAAGAGTCCCGGGTAATGCATCACAATTCTCATTTGTCAAAGACTAGGGAATAAGTTCAATGGAAGCGTCTTCATTATCTAATCATTTCTGCATGGATTTGGGATGCTGATTAATCATACACTTTTATTAATCAAGAACCGGTAAAATAAAGACTCAATTGTTATTTAGTATGAAAAGCAAAACGGACAATACATTCAAGTAAAACTTGTTCAGTACAAGATGTTATCATTTGTAGTTTGTGGTTCTAATAGAGTTCTGATTTCGATCCATGAAACGACAGAGTGAGTGGAAAGATACTGGAAATGGAGACCGTTACCCAGTCAGAAGCGATAAGGAGACGCTACCGCTTTTTAAGTCATTTTTCTTTAACAACTACATTTCAGGTATATTTTCTCTTGGTTGCTCATATCTTCTGCATATGTTGCTAATCTTGACATTTTCTCATGAGTTTATCCTTGGTTTGGTAATCTTTTCAGATATGTGAGATTGATATGAGGGACTCCTTGCCTCCTGAGGCTTTTGTTCCATTTATAGATGAAATCAAGAAGCGTGAGAAGCAGAGAAAAGACCGTGCTAGGAAGGTATTCCTCTTTCTAACCATGAAACACAACTAATGGTCTCTTTATCTAATATCTTTCAGATTCCAACCTCCATTTGGCTTTGTGTCTTACTCTCCTTTGATTTCCATTGTTTAAGGAAAAATCATATGATGTTCAATTTTCAGGATCGAAAAAATAAAATCAAAGCTGAAGTAGCTGCAGCTGCAGAGCTTGTACCATTGATGTCCAGTTTTGGACAGTCCTCTCGTGATGACTTTCCTCCATTTTCCTTGGATGACTTTGAAGGTAAACAATAGGAATCTCTGGCCTCTTAATTGGATTTTGGGTTTCGTGATCTAATAAGCAGCTTTTGTTGTCTCTTTTAAGCGCTTGGAAACTCTGCCCCAATATCATCAAGCCCTCCAAACATTGGAGAGAGAAGTTCCTTCTCACATGTGACAAGGCTCGGTTTCGCAGCAGGCCATGACTCTCCCAACTTCAGTAACGAGCCAACAAACGCTCAAAGCAGCAGCAGCGTAGTCACAAACGCAACCACAGGTAACCACTGTTTTAGCTCTGCAAATTCTTATATGATTCTCTGATAACCTATAAACATGTTTTCAGGTGCAAGAAACACAAACATAACATCATTCGCAAGTGTAACATCAAGAACAACAACAACAACACCAATCGCACCAACCATCAAAGAGCCCGGAAAGAGAGGGAAGAAACCAAGCCGAGTGCTTCTATCGACAACCAGTGTACGCCGTTACTGAAAAGGACTTGAAAGTGCTATGGATTTGTTGTGTTATGTATAATAATCTTTTCATCTAAGAAAAACTGAAATAAAGAAAGAACCAGAGATTGTTGTGAGTAAGTTTAAAACTGAAGCTTTGGCTTTGTTTCTTTTTGCAACCCGACTGATGATAATGAATGTGTCTCTCATTACTATTCCATTTAGGACAATTATTGAGACTCAATCATACTCCCTCTGTTTCACAAAGAGTGTCATTCTAGAGTTTGATTTTTGTTTCACAAAGAATGTCATTCTACATTTTCAATGTGATTTTTACACAAAATTTCCTGATTTACCCTTAACTTAAAAGCTACTTCTCATTGAATTTAAATCATTAATCACTTATTTAATAGGGGCATATATGTATAATTCAATGTTTTCTTAATTTGTGTGAAATGTGTCAAAATGACACTCTTTGTGAAACGGAGGGAGTATGATTTTAGAGAAATTTGCAAAAATAACATTTTAAAGTTTAATAATTAAGGAACTAACCATACAAAAAAAAGACTATGATATACCCTTTATTTGTTTGATGATTTTTTGTAATTTTATTAAAATCTCTTTATACCGTAAGAATTGAGTTATCAATATGAATATATGATAATATCCAATATCTAAAATTGAATAACCTAATTCAAATAAACTGCAAATGATTGGTTATAAATTTTTTTAATTTTTTTTTGCTAAACATTCTGATTCAATGGTAAATCTAGGGAACTTTTTGATGGTATAGTTATTTAGTTGAATGAGTTAATTGTATAATTAAGATGATTAAAATTAGAAAATTTTAAAATAATTTTGAATATAATAATGTAATTAAATATAATGAAAATTCATATTATTGTATTTAGGTTTGAGAAAAAAAGACACGTGTCAAAATGAAGAATGCCACAATATACAGTTTTCTGGTTTAAAGTTTTAATTAATGAAAATAAAACAACAAATATATAAAAATGATTCATGGAGTTATTTTATTTTATTTATCTAAAATGTGTTAGTTATATATATTACTTTAAATGATGAAAAAGAAAAGAAAGAAAAATATTGAAAAATGTTTTAAATGTTTTTGGCACCCCCAAGTTATGTTGCAAATGTGGCCATTCGGATAACTAAATTAATAGCATTCAACTTCATTCTAAACTCCATTTTGGAATAAAATTCTCTTATACCATATATATCAACACCAAATCTCTACTCATTTTTTATGTCCCATCACACCTATTTCTCCAATTGTTTTGGCTTATAAGGATGAAAGTCACGATATGGTAGCAATTTTTGATGTTTTTCTCACTAATGAACTAAGGAAAAAAAAAATTAAATAATCTAACAAAAATAAGAAAAAAGTAAGCAAAACATAGCAAAACATAAGCAAAACATAAGCATAATAGTAGTTATAGAATAAATTTGAGATATTAAACAAAAGAAAGTAAACCAAAAATGGATGATTTTTTATATAAGATGTTATGGTAATTATTTACAATATTGATAAATTATGCATCCTTACACATGTAAAAAAAAACGGATGCCACATATCAGCTTCTCAAAACTTAAGTTTTGTGGAAATCTTACTTTCTTATATAAGATTACCTTGTACACGGAAACAAAGCCACCTTCTCCTAACTTGTTTTCGTCAGAGAAGTTATTTGTCGCAACCACTATTTCACTTAGCCTTAGATCAACCATCTGATCTCCATCATCATCCTCTCCACCAATAATGCATCCCCCAAATGTCTCCATGATGTTTTTTTTAACGCAAACACCATTCGTCCGATTATTTCGTGGATGGAAACTAGGAACACACTTGCAACTCGTATCACATATCCCAAAGGACCCACAAAAGCCATTAATCTTGCAAAAGCTAGGTTCATAAATGACGGCATCTCCACCTGCTTAGTAATATAAGATGTCTTGAATTTCCCCAACTCAGTAATAAACATACGAAACAGGACTCCGTCACGTACCGAATAGGAGATGTATGACTTAGTCACATTGACTACAAAGCCCAACTGTTCGAATTCATATTTCTCAAGTACCTTGACAATTCCTTGTTGGGTAACCAATATGCCACTCGACCAATAGGGCTTAGAATCACTCCAAACCATGTGGAGGGAATTTCTTGTGCTAGGGTCAATTTTGAGAGTATATTGACCCGCTGATGGATATGTTCTGTCTTTCCAACTGGTGAAACGCGTGTTCAACCATATCTTAGCGCATGGCAGCTAGGTGTTTTAAGGGTGGTCGAAGCTCTGCTGCAATACGAAGTTAAATGAATCTCTTAGTACAAGGTTGCCATTTTCGAGAACAATTGCTTGAACTTCACGGCTGTCTCTTCTGCTTCCATTAAAAGGAAGGCCGGTGGACCAGATTGTCTGGTCCGTGTAATTATCACAGAAAATTAAATTTCTATTTGATATCTTTATAACGAACAGAGAATTTCGACTATCTTCAGAACAAGATACTTTATTAAGCAACCAAACTATAGTTCTAGGGTAATTTTTATACCATACTAGATAAGTCCGCCTAAATAGGTTGGTGTAAGATATAAATGTAAAATTTTATCGATGATATTTGAATTTTGAATAGTCAATAGTAATCCACACATTTTTTTTTTGATATTTAATTTAGTAATTTTGGTTTTAAACAAAATTTTAACTTACACATTTCATTTTGCTATACATTTTAACCATCCATCTTATTATATAAAGCTTGTTTTTTAAAGTTAGTGATTCGCATGATCGTGACACGTGTGAAGTCTATCGCTAAGATGTTGATATGTGTCAAAAAAGATTTAAACTTTTTTATTTCTTAAAAAAAATGAAATCTAAAAAAGAAACATTTTATATGTCTATATTTAAAAGTTTTTAACTTTTATTTTTCTTAACCAAAAAGAAAAACTAACCATTTTTTTCATTTGTTATTGATCGATTAACTTTGGCATGTATTATTTTAAAAAAAAATCAAATAGCATGGATATTAACTAATAAACAATGACCGTTGAAATTTAAAATAATCATATAAGTTACTAACATTAATTAGTTGGATAAAGATTGTATTTATCATTGTAAGATATTGTTTAAATGAAACATACAAAAAAATGAAAAAAATAATGAGCTTATAAGAATGAATTTTTGAATAGTTGATGAGAATCTTAGTATGGTTATACTTAATGTTTTATTTAAATTTTTTTAATGTATGTAGTTATAAGTGAAAACACAAATAAATTACAATGTAACCAGAAGGTTTATCTGGTTTCTTCACCATTTTGAAATTCAACTCATTGAAACTGTTTTTTTTCTTTCACTTTCCATTAATTTTGAAAGGTCTTTTGTCTTTCCTTTTATAATAATAAAGTTTGTGAGAATCCAGTTTTTAATCCAAAACAGAGTAAAGCCAATCAAAGATATTAATCTTCTCTTCTATCATTTGGATTTCCATCGTCTTTGATCACTCTCACTTCATTTCATGTCTTTATACTTACTTCTTACACAATTCCCATTTTCAACTCCTGATCAGATGCAGAGATGCTTGACCGTTCTTGTTTATGCCTTCGCCATGTTGATGAACTTTGTTTGTAAATAGGAAAAGCGTAAACAAGAACGATCAAGCATCTGATCAGGAGTTGAAAATAGGAATTGTGTAAGAAGCAAGTATAAAGACATCACTTCTCCAATTTGCTTAAATTATACGCTTAATGAAACTTTTGTGAAGCCAAAGTTACATGGCATTACAACAACACCAAGCACACCAATCACACCAACCATCAAAGAGACAGAAGAAACCAAGCCGAGTGCTTCTATCGACAACTAGTGTACGCCGTTACTGAAAAGGACTTGAAAGTGCTATAGATTTGTTGTGTTATGATACAAGTATAGAATCTAACTAACTAACTAACTAACTAACTCTATACAAGTATGTATACAGTATCTATACAAGCGTATATACAGTGTATATATACGTAATATTATGTATAATAATCTTTTCTCCTAAGAAAAACTGAATAAATAAAGAACCAGAAATTGTGGTGAGTAAGTTTAAACTCAAACTTGGGCTTTGTTTCTTTTTGCAACCCATATGACTGATAATGAAGATGTCTCTCAGAGGACAATTATTGAGACTCAATCATATGATTTTGCTGACTCAGAGGAGTAGAAAAAAACACATAAGATTCCAAAAAAGATTGGATAACTATCCGGTGATTTTCATTCTCACATGTTACAACAACAAGCATGAACCTTATCCTTTTAAAAATATCTCTTCCCTTTGTTCAAACTTTTATCTTATTTGTCAAATAAATGTAGGAATCAAGTTTGGACCACTGATTTTAGTCTCTTTTGTTTGAAAAGTCTTCTATAAATAAAGCATAAACTGTTCCAAAACAGAACCAAAACATCTAGAATCACTAAACCAATCTTCTTAACCAAAAGATCAACTGATTACAAAAATGCAGGGAGCTCTGTTCATCAAACCAACAATTCTTCTTCCTCTTCCTACTTCAGTTTCTTCTCCAAAGCTCACTTTTCTTCTTCCTCACGCAACCAAAGCTTCAAGACTCTCATTTCTCAGATCAAACAACGCATCATCTCCTTCAACTTCTGATCCTAACACCGTCGACTACAACTCCTCCCTCCTTTCGTAAGTCCTTGGATTACTTTTCTTTTTCTTTCTCTTCTCATCTACTGACTCAATCACATCTTTATACTCAGTGTTTTCCCAGCTGAAGCATGCGAAGTTATCAGTGGATACGCTTGTTCTGCTGACATTTACCCTGAAGTCAAGCTCGATACAAAGCCCGTCTCACGTCCTGTCGCTTCAGAGCCCGTTGACAGAGAATACGAAGAGTATAACAACCCTAAAACGTAAACTTCACGTTTTCTAAAACCCTTTCCTTTTCCTTACCTCTGATTCTTAGCTTGATTTTAAGTCTTTGATTGTGTGTTTTTTGGACTTGGAAACAGGGTTTTCCGCGAAGAGGCCTGCGATGATCTTGGAGGAGAATTCTGTGAACCGGGCTATCAAAAAGATGCCAACTAGAAGAAACAAGATTTTATGTCATGTGAATATGTGTTTGTATTGTAACCACTCCTTAATTTATGATATCTAGCTTCACTACTTAATCGAGATTGATGTTATGGATCAGACCCGAGTTCCCAAAGTTAATCAAACAGTAATAAATTGAATACTTGATAATTAAAGTGATGAGAAATTTTGCATACTAAAAGGTTAGATAAAAGCTTTGTTCCATAGGCAATGTTCGTTTGTTCATCCACATGATCCATTCAAATGATCCACCTAGATAATTCATGTGGATATTGATTGTTTCTGAATTAATTTGGTTGTGCATCTGGATGAACCATCTGAACGAAACTTGTAGATGTGATCGTGGCATTGCATTGACTTGTAGAGTTGTGAACTGAATGATTTGTTGACGACATAAACAAACACAACAAGCTCATCGGTCCAGAGGTAAACAAAGCTTGTTTTGGTTTCTTGATGTTGTTTTATTTGTTGAGAATCAATCAGATGTAAATCATCAGCTTTTGGTTTCTTTTTGGTTTAAATCTTGTTTTACAATTCTTCCATGTTCAAATACTTTTGGTTTATGAAGGTATACTAATTCAATTCTTCAATGTTCAAATATTAAGATGAGATTTTATTGTCCAGTTTAAAGGTAGCATTGCTTTGTCAAGCTAAAGTATTATAGTAGATTCATTAAGCCATTTGCATCCATCTTTTGTTTCTTCACCCCAAAATGTGTTTATCAACACTTAAACACCAAACTTCACTTGTCTCTTCTCTATCTTTCTTTTCAAAACTTCGAAACACCAGACACCAAATAAAACTTTGAAATTGTTAAGAGCCCTACCATTGGACAAGATAATTGTTAAAATCCCCAATGAAGTTCCTAAACTTTGAAATTGTCAAAATTTAAAATTAAGAAAATGGTAAGAGCCCTAATACGCTGTGTTAAAAACCATTTTCCATGAGATGGTTCTACATAATTTAAAAAACTTGAAACTTGGATGGCCTATATTAGAAGTTTTTGATCAAACGGTATATGTTCACCTTGAAAATAAACATCAAATGGTAAATAAGTTTTTTAAATTTGGTAAAAATAAAATAGTAGATAGTATAAAATACAATAAATAAGAAACATTGACTAAAAACAACAAATAAGAAAAGAAATCTACATATTTTAAGAACTGGAAACGTGAACAACAAATATTAGAAGACTTTAATCTAACGGTAGATGTTCACCTCGAAAATCAAGTCAATTTGATAGAAATATTAATAAATAGATAGTAATATAAGAAATAATAAAAAAAAACGTTGACCAAGAAAACAAATAAGAAACAAAATCTACATAATTTAAAAAATTTGAAACGTGGATGGTATATATTAGAAGACTTTGATCTAGCGGTAGATGTTCATCTCAAAAATTACGTCAATTTGGTAAAAAATATTACTAAATAGATAGTAATATAAGAAACAATAAATCAAAAAAGTTGACCAAGAAAACAAATAAGAAACAAAATCTACATGTTTTAAAAAACTTGAAACGTGGACGGCATATATTAGAAGACTTTGATCTAACGATAGATGTTCACCTCGAAAATCACGTCAATTTGGTAAAAACATTACTAAATAGATAGTAATATAAGAAACAATAAATAAAAAACGTTGACCAAGAAAACAAATAAGAAACAAAATCTACATGTTTTTAAAAAAACTTGAAATGTGGATGGCATATATTAGAAGACATTAATCCAACGGTAGATGTTAACCTTAAAAATAACACCAAATTAATTCTAAAACGCTATAAATTGAGGTTTTCGTTTTTCTTTCTTCTTCACACTTACATATCAAACAATCTGTTCTCTGTTACATCCTTATTTTATTCATAATTTCATTTATTCTTTAAAAAACTTTTAAGAAAAAATTATCCTTTCTCTCCCTTTCTACTGCTTACCATTTTTTTCAAAACTCTTAAGTCTCGTTCTAGTCTTTGCAGTAGTGATATGAACATGTTTTCTCTTGTCGTATTTTCTCTTGTATTCATAGGTGTTTTAGTTGTAGTTTTTGGTTTTTCTTTCTTCTTTGTTATCTCTGTATTCGCTGTCGCAAAATTGAAAATGGTATACATACTTCACATTTTACCAAAAAAAATGAACATGTTTTCTCTCCTGCTTTTTGTTTTATCTTTTAGAAATCCAAATTTTCATTTTTCGTCTTCATTGTGTGATAATCTGAACCGTTTCTTTATATATTGTATTTATGTTATAACTTTTTTTAAAAAAATTCTTGTATCGATTGGAATCATATATTGATCTTTTATTTACTGACCTCATGGGAATAAATTTTTGTCTCTCATATACTTATTAAATGTGAACAGAACACAAAGGTGAATTATGTTTTCGCATTAAACTTGTTTTTTCTTTTTTATGTGAAACATGTTTTACTATTCGCAGAGTACATATCTGATCATGGAATTTCTTGTGAAGGACTTGAGAAAATGGGAAGATTTTTCAAGGCCCATCATAGATAGAAATCTTCTTATTTTTATCCTAGGGATGTACCTCCCCTCTGATGACTCTTATTTCATCATTCTCATTTCTTATATTTGATGCTAATGCAAGTTTCCCGTTTTCTTCTTTTGATCACATGGTTGACCATTCGTATATGCGCTTCTCCCATTTCCCGTATTAACCAAATTCTCAAGATTCTAGAGAGTTTCTATACGGAGATTGCGAAAGCGTAAACAAGAAGGGTCAAACATGTGGTTAGGAGATGGGAAAGGGAATTGCCTAAGAAGCAAGTATACAGAAATGGAATGGAAGTGTGAGTGATCAAAATTTCAAAGGCCACAAACATCCAAATGATAAAAGAGAAGATTTATATCTTTGATTAGCTTTTACTATGTTTAGGATTATATTGGAAAGCGAAATAAAAAAAACTAGTTTCAATGAGTTGAGGTTCAAAATGTTTATGAAATGTGGCGGTTCTTGACCTTTATTTTGTGATTGCAAAATTAAAGTTTTCTCACCATGTTAAAATTTTGTTTCGTATTGGCTGGTGTGATTAAACTAAGAGAGAAATTAAGGTGATGAATACATGTTTGATATATACTTCTCGAGTTTAATAGCAAGTTTAGATGGAACAGTATTGTTCCATTGAAACGTGTTATAAACTCGAGAAGTATATAGTATCAAACATGTATATTCATCATCTTCTACCTCTTCTAGATTTCAAAGTTATTATTCTTAACGAGAAAGAAAGGGAAGAAACTTTTTTGTGACATTGTTGATATTGACAACAACTGATCTAAAGCCTATCATTGAGCTTCTTCCTCCTTCTCTTAGCCATTCTTTACCTCAAGGACTCGTAAGTCTTGGTGGTAAAAGAAATCGTGTTTGAGATAAAATAATGAGTAGAAAAGAGTTTTTTTTTTTTACTGGAAAAGTTTGAATCCTTAAAAAGAGAAAGACTTTGGCAGAGAAAACGTTACATAAAAGAGTACGAAACGGCTTGAATCATCAAAAACTAGAATCACGAGGACTTCATTAATACTACTAGAAAGATAAGTCATAGAAAATTCAGAGAAGCTAAAACCCTAAAAAAAAGAGGTCAGGTTTTTGAAAGATTCAAAGGACCTACCACTTTTACTTTTCTTCTTTCATACTTCATCACATCCTCTACGTTCTCGTGACTCTCTCTTTCTATCTCTTCTGTCTCTAACCGCCATTAACTCTGTGTCCTCTCTATATCTCTCTATCTCTATATCTTTATTTTGTACGGATACATACAACGGATATAAAAGTAAAAAGTTTGTAATTAAGCATTTAAAGAAAGAAGAAAAAAACAAAATTTGTAGGGTCTATTCTTTGCTCTGCTTCTTCCTTTACCATTCTTTTTCTCTGTTTATTCTTAAAATCTGAGTGTGTTCTTCATTCTTACATCATCTAAAAGCTCCAAGATTATCATCATCAACTAATACCAAAACCAAAGATTAACCTAACTGTTTTGTCTGTATATGTGAGCAAATGTTTTGTGTCTTCTTTGAGAAGTTCACTCATGAGCAAAGTTGAAAGAAATTCTATATCATAGCTCTAAGATGAAACATAAATGGAAGTTAACATTGATAAAAAAAAAAAAACAGGTTGAAGTTATGTATCCAACAACAACAACCCCAAGTTCTCAAAAGCTTAATTAAAACAACTCTCATTTGCAATTGCATTACATGCTTAAATTGAAGTTAAGAAAAAAAAAAGTTGAGAAGAAAACTGCAGATTTAAAGGGACTTAGTTCTTCTAGCTCTGCTTCAACAGATGCTTAATGGACTCGAACTCAGGATTAGATCAGATCATACCAGCGTACCCTGCTGTATCGAATAGCACGGCTTTGATTTGATCAGGTAATATCTCTTGTCCTTCTTGGCATTGCTAATAGACAAATAAAAGAACAAGAAAACATGTTAATACGAAAATCTTCTACAAATCCTAAGTGTTAAACTTAAAGTAGATGATCCTTACCTCAGCGCGGAAGACATCCAATGCAAACCCGTTGAAACAGCTGATCACGGCTTGCTGAACATCCAATCCAAGATTATCCAAAGCTTTCATGGTAGCGAGCAAGAGACCCGGTCTACGACCACAGAACATATGAATGTTCACTGCTCTTCCTTCCCTTAATCTAACCTCAACCTGAGAAAAAGAAGCAGAGTAAAGTATCAAACATGAATCTTTGTTTTCTTCTTTCCAGTCTAAGCAAAAGTTATACAGAATATAGTCCTTACTCTTGCTTGTTGGCCTTTAGGACTTGGTAAAGAAGATGGACATAACTCTTCTTTGACCCGGCAAGAAAGAGTCTGCGGTGTAGGCGTTAACGGATGGAAGCTTGATGAAGTTGGAGGCAAAGATCCAGGAGGAGTTGACTCAAGCTCGTTGTGAAGATCATTGATCCTTTGTAAAAGTTCCTTGAGATAATCAATTGCATCTCCAAGTATTGATGCTCTATCCATCTGCAATTCATCCAAAATCCATAAAACACAAAACGTCATCACGAGCTTCTTCCTCAAAAGAGTAAAGCAACTAATTCAAAGTTTGACAACAACAACAAAGGCCATGCTAGAATTCTGAGTTCAAACCATACAAAAGCTACAACACAACAATTCTCTCTAACTGAGAGTAATAAGTAAATGATGAAGACAAAGCTCTTAAGGAGATAAAAGAGAAGAAGTAAGTGGTTACTTTGCTTATCTTGGGGACAACTGATCTAAGCATATAAAGCCTATCATTAAGCTTCTTCCTCCTTCTCCTCTCAGCCATCAGATTCTTAGCAGGCATTCCTTTCTTCTTACCCTTACCTCCTCCAATCTGAACACTCTCAGCCGCTTTACCGCTCTCATTTAGCTCATCAGACTCATAATTCAACCCTGAAACCTCGATTCCAGTCTCATCCATATCTCCATCATCACTAAACCTCCTCATTCCCGAACTCTCCGAGTTTCCCATTTTGCTTCCAGAGCTCTGACGCATAGCAGCACGTTTCTGGAACAGAGTAGGCTGTGCACCAGACGATGCTAACACCTCCAAAGGCTTCAGAACTTTCGCTCTGTTCCCGACAAAACCGCCATTTGCAGGACTTCCAAATCCTTCTAACTCCAATGGAGCAGTGAATCCACCTCCTCCACCACATAACATTGTATTGTTGTTGTTGCTTTCTGGCCCAAGAAGCGACCGAGCAGACAAGAAATCAGGAACAGAACTCAAATCCCTGTTCCCCAATTGTGTCAAAGAACCAAACCCCATCGAAATAGGAGCATGGATTTGACCAAGAAAACCAGATTCAGAGCCAAACTCAAAAGCATTATCAAAAGGGTTTGCAGATGAAGGAACATTGAGAAGACAAGACTTGTTATTAGCCGACAAGAACTGATTTTGCTGAGAAGGGTCAAGACTAAAAGCTTGAGAAGGAGAACAAGAAGAAGACGAATCAATAGAGTGTTGAAGAAGAAGATTATCATTAGGGTTAAAAGGAAAACCACCAAGAAATCTGAAATCTGGTTGATTCTGTAACATTTGAAGATCTTGTGGATGTGTTTGGTTACTAAACCAATCACCTTCAAGCATAGGCTTAAACTGAGAAGAACCATCTTCTTGATTCCTACCCCAAGAACCTTCCTCGTTCTCTTCTCTTTCTCCACCACCACCTAACCAAACCCCTCCACCATTGTTTCCGTCAAGAACCATCGCCAAAGTTAAGACCTTTACCACAAAGTCAGAACCTTTTGAGGAAAACTCTGCAAAGTCTCAACCTTTAACTGAAATTTGGAAGCTTGAAGACAATTCTGCAAAAGTTTTGAAAACAAAAGATATACTTTGAATATTCAGAGACTTAAAAGTAAAAGAAGCATTAAAGTAGAATCACGAGTATTTCATGAATTGAAGAAGCGAAATCTGAAAAGGAAGATAGAGATAGAGAGAGAGAATGATAGATTCATTTCTCATAGCTTCAAAAATTGAAACTTTTAGGTAAAAGATTGGATTCAATTTTCGCCCACCATGAAATTGCTTTATCATTGAACACATACCCCAGATTTCTCGTGACTCTCTTTGCTTTGCTTCGATTACAGTTTCTCTCACCGTCACTATTTCTCCATTTTTGCTTAATTTGGTTTAAGCTTATCTCTCTGTCTCTGTTGTCACTGTCTCTGTCTTTATATAGAGAGTGTTAAAGTAAGTTAATGATGATAATTTGTCTAATTAGCATCGTTCATGCAACGCGTGTCTTCCATGCATTTCCTTAACTGATATTATTACCTAATTATTATGTTCAAATTATTTCAATTAAAGTTTATTAAAAAAAATATTGTTTTGCATTTTTATTATTTTGGAAATAATCATGTTGTAACGCTTCAGTTCTATGCTGATATTTTTTATTCAAGCATAAGTATGGTGTGTGCATTTTATCTGTTTTATGAATATTGATTTTGTAAGTTTTTTACACATTAAATTTTTTATTTTATTTTTTTGGTTCAATCATTTTTTTCAGTACTTGTTTTTTTCTAATTATTATCTTTATGATAGTTATACATGCATGATTTCAATACAAAACGCTTCCCAATATTTATAAACCAATATTCACTCAATTTAAAATTGCGTGTCGTTTGAAAATAATTTTTTATTTTAAAATAAATATTTTTTCCTATTTCCGATACATAATTTAGTATAAATATCTTATTTAACCTCAAATCTATTGAAGAATAGAATACCAAGAATAAATTTGATTTTAAAAGGTATAATAAAAATATTAATATGTTTCCTTAATTTATGGGAAAAGTGTCAAAATGACATTTAGTGTAAAACAGAGACGGTAAACATGTCAATTAGGGCTAAAGTTTACGGACTATTCCGGTCCAATCCTAAAAAACAACGGGTTCGGGTTTAAGAATATATATATATATATATATATATGAATATATCAAACACTCGAGAAGGTGAAATTTTGAATTAGAGCGATTTCAAGCCATATAAAGCGGTACAAAAAAATTTATATGATTAGTGTCAAAAAATGTTCAAAAAAGCGTTGGATACTAAGCGGGCGGTAACTCATCTTTTAGAACGTCTAATCGGGGCTTACGCGATTTTAGGTGATTTAAGTGTTATAACATAAAACATTATAAATATAATATTATAGGTAAAAAAGTATACCAAAACATCCATTAGAAAAGAAAAATACTAAATCGTAGACACAAACATTTATATCAAACAAATGGAAAATATCATATTTTATAATCATGTATATGGAGTTAAAAACTTAGAAATTTAAACTATGTAGTTAGAAATTGGAAAAATACACCGCTTAAAAGCGCTTAGAATCGCTTTTAAACCCCTTGAATCCGTTTTATAACAACTTTGCATAATCACAACACGTAGAAAGTAGCCTCTACGGTCTAGGCAGACACGACTAGGTGTTGCTTGAGCGTCTAGAGTGGCCTAAACGACCTCCTAAACCGCTTTAACTTTGGGGTATCAAACAAACACGTGCTGCCGCAACCGCCTGTCAAGTTGGCGGAAAACCAATCAAGCTCTAGACTGTAGTTTTGTACCCGTTTCAATTAAACAGAGGAAAACACATTTTCACTTCATCTCCTCTGTTAGCTTTCGATCCCAGGTTCAACATCAGTTATATTTCAAACTTTAGATCTTGAATCACTATCAGAGAAGACGATGTGAGAAGAAATATTCTTTTCATTCAATTGAAAACAGGCAAAAAAGCGTACAAAAGTTAGAAACAAAGTCAATAACCAAAACTAAACCAAAAGCAAATGTTGTTACTAAACAAGTCAAAACTGAACCAGAATAAACTCGAAAAAGTGAAGAAAGATTCATTATCATCGATGCATTGATGAGACAAGTGAGCCCTGAAGATATGTATACGATGATGGAAGAAATTTGCTCGCATTTGTTATTAACTCTATCAACTCCTCTCCTTGTCCCTTCAAAATGTAAACTTCTTCATCAATCTTCTTCACCACCGAGCTGTTGCAATCTGAAAATAGAACCTTCACAATAGGGCTTAACTCTAATGTAGAAACTGGTTCATCTCGGCTCGAGCAAAGACCAGTCAAAGACCAAGAGTTTGGATTTAGGATAACGATCTGGAACAGAGGTGATTTAGTTGTCAAATCTTTGACCAACACGTGAAATGATAACTCTTCTTTGGCACATTCCACTAGCTGATTAGTAAACATTCTTTCCAATGTGTATTTCCTGAAAACATCCAAGGATTCACCGGTCGCTGATGATGTGGAAATATAGCATTTGAAGAGTCTAACTCCACCATCTATGGGGTTATCATTGCTCCCGCCACCAAAAGGATAGGCTCCAAGAAGAGATGAACACTCTGGGCAAGCAAATTCAATCCAGTCGACATTCTTCGACACATTCGATGCTTTCGCCATAAAAACATCCTCAAGAAACCCATCAAGAAGAAACTTCTTATCAAGTGTAAGTTTCTTCTCCAACTGAAAACTCTCATTAGAGTCAGGCAAGTCATGTACACAACATCCAGGTAGTGATTCATTACCTATACAACGCAAAATCGAGTCATCCGCTTGACCGCAAACACTCTCACCTCCATTCTCATGACTCTCAGCATTTCCTTCACTACTTCTAGAACCCGGTTCAACTACACCAATATCAGCACTCAGAGCTAAACTCGATTCAAATTCGTCTACAATTCCACCTTTACCAGACAAGATACACTCTACAAGATCATCCTTGCTAAGCAAAACAGTAGTAGCACTAAGTAAACACAACCCACTCGAGCAAGTATACGAATTCGTGTACTTAACTACCATCTTCTCACTAATTCCACCAAATGAACAACAACAAGTACCAAACCAATTATCAGCAGATTCTCTCCAATTAATAGACGGCATTTCAGAGAAATCGAAAAGTTCCTTCTTTGTTAACCTATTTGAGCAACTTCTACAGTAAAAGTGAACTCCTCCCATTAAAGATAGAGTCTTTAGATCATAACCCATCACTAAAGGCTTCGACTTTTCTCCAGAATCAGTCACCAAATTGAAGTCTAAGACTAGAGGATGATCAACAGGGAGTAACAGAACAAGTTTTACCTCGATGTGATCGTCTAAAGCTTTGAAATTTACAGGAGATTCAGTATCGAGTAAAACCCTAGGAATGGGAACATGTAGATAACCATTCTCTTCTTTGCTTGTGGCTTCTTCATATTCGTTGTCATTGATCCATGTGACGAGAAGGTGAGATTTTTCGAGGATGATTGAAACATTGAGGCTTTTGCAGTGGATTTTAGGGTTAGTTGTGGAATCGAAAAGAAAGAGACGAAGATTTGGAGAATGAGATTGAGCTTCCCATGTGTATCTCCATGTCCTCTGGGTTTTAGGGTTTTGCTCCATGAAATTGGAAAACTGCCCTGTTTCGATTTTTCAATAATTAATTTTCTTTTAAAGTATTTAGGATTGGTCGGGTTTTCAAACCCGATCCGATTGACTCAATTCCGGATTTTTTTAGGAAAGTTTCAAAATTCAAACAATAGATCCAAATGACTCAAATCCGAGTTAAATCAAACTCAAAATACTAATAAAAAAATTTGATCCGCAAAAAATGAACAAATTTTTTCTTCATCGATAAATTTGTTTTTCAAAAGATTTATTGTTTGGTTATATTTTATATTTTACACATAATTTTTTCTTCATCGATCGAGTAATATATGTATGTTATAAAAAATTTGAATCACATGATATGCAAAAAAAAATATAAATTTTTATTAACTATACATATATTTTATAATAATTCAAAATAATATAAATATAAGATTAAATAAAAGTTAAATGAGAATCATATATTTATGTTTAAATTAGTTAGAGAGGTTTTAGGAAATTAGCTCAAATTTGTTATATTAGCATTAAAAATTATATTTGATTTCCTTATCTATAAAAATAGTAAAGAATATGCCATAAATAAAGAGTTTAGGTATAGTAATTAGTTGAGAAAAGATATATTTTTTAGATTTTATGAATTAATTTCGTTTTTAAGTTTTGACAAAATTTAAAGAAAGATTCGATTAAGATTTCCGGGTCAAAAATTGAAAAAAAATCCGACCCGATTGAATTCTTAAAATATACTTCAAAAATGTATAGTAGATATGTTTTATGACAAAAAAACAAATTACAGTATATGCATTTTATAAATACAGTAAGTGTTATTATATGGTGTGGGAAATAAGTTGGGTATCTTATTATATAAAGTATGGTTTTCAAAGTCAATAACTCATAAAATCGTGACACGTGGCAATTTTATCGATCTCAGATTTTGACATGTGTAAAACGAAAATTTCCTTTTATTAATTTTGAAACTATAAAAAGATAATTGTAAGAAATTATAAATTTTAAAAAGTAAAAAGATAATTATAAGGAAACTAAACAATTTTAAAATTTTCATTAAGATAATTTTTATAAAAATGTATCTTATTGAATAGAAATATATTAAACGAGAATTTCCTTTTATTAGTTTTAAAAATATAAAAAGATAATTGTCAAAAAAAATTAAATTTTAAAAAGTAAAAAGATCATTATAAGAAATTAACAATTTCAGAAAAGATAATTATTCTACATACTCACTTATATATAAACAAACTATCTAAGGACCCGTCCGATGGCCGGATTTAATTTTTTTTAAAATTAAAATCATATTTAACAAAAAATTAATTAACAAAATTTTAAGTAGAAATTATCTTTCAAAAGTAAATATAAAAATATTCACTTTCACTGTTTTCATTGTTTCTTTAACCACTAAAATTATTGATTCAAAAATCATTTCGAAAGAAAATTAAATTCCATAGCAATAATTTATTGTATACTTATATGAAG